ATATTAGTGTGCCATGGCACGGTAATTATTGAAATGGTACGGCTAAAAAATGTTCTCGGTGCCCTTTTGACCGCCTGATTTTCAGAGACATAACTCACATTTAGTCATTTAATCCCAAAACAATTATTTTTTTCCAAATTAAATAATACCATACATATTTGAATGCTCATAAACCTATTTCTTTATTTAACAATAAATTTCAAATGATGATCATCATTGTCATTTATTCTAAAAACATGTGGGCATACTCGATTTCTGAAAGGCACACCTAAAATATTTGTCTGGTGCCCTAAGGCACACTTAGAAAAAAAAGTATTTCTATCCCTGCGTACCTTATAACATAACAATTTCTCTCGTGGAAGCGAGGTGGGTGTCAATATAATACTACTCACAATATTATTGGGACTTTGACCACAACCTCGCTTCCGAGGAATGAAATCGTTATGTTACAAGGTGTGTCATGCAAAATCTTTTTGGTCATCAATCATATATATATTGTACTACAACTAGTAAGTAGTTTTGAACACAAGTAAGATATCGTTCGGGCTTCCATAACGCTTAAGCCGCTAGACTCACAAACATAACCCATTTAGCTTAACTCCGGGTCCGGTGGAAATCAGTGCATGGTGACACCATCACCCGACCCTAGGAGCAATTGACAACAACGGAACGATTCGGCATGTCTTTGTTGACGTAAGAAATCAGCAAAATGACGAGCTTGTTACACACTTTATATACAACTAACTGAAAATCCTTCCTCACATTACGTCACTTCCGGTTCGCTGCAGTGCTCTGGCAACAGAGTTACGTAACCTGTCTGTGGTTTCGTTGGTGGGCGAGAGTGAAGCAGACAGTCTTTTGGCAACTTTTAATCGCTCGCTATTAATCAACCACAAGTTTTTTAAGAATGAATTTGGTGTTCCGCTTAAGACTAGCCACAAGTCTTTCATATGAAATTGTTAAAAGTGTGCAAAAAAACCAAAGTTTATTCGTTCTTTAAATGATTATTTTTCATGCACAAAGATGGGAAATTAGAACTTTTTAATCTCTGAGAATAAAATATGTTGATCATTTCATGGACAATTATAAAATATGAAAATATTAATGTTCAAAATGTGACTAAACTTACACAATAATGCAGCGAAAATAAGTATCGTGATACACATCGAAATGTGACATGGGTATCGTGAGGCGTATCGATTCATGAAACTTATGTATCGTGACATCCCTACTGTTAAGTGTCCACCTTCATCACTTTTGTTGTTTTCACATGTACACATGTACCTTTCTGCTTCCAACAGTAAGTACATCAAAGTCTGCATCAGAAACATGTTCTTCATATTACAGAAGTTGATATCCATACATTTTCCACCTGATATGTATCACTTCTAATGTCATTCAAAGATTTTATCACTTCTAATGTCATTCAAAGATTTTACCTCTGGACTATATTTACTGAATCTAATTTTGAATTTCATATTTGTTGTCTGAAAGTATATGATATATTTGTGACATTTTTATGAGGTGAAGTTTATTTGAATTTTTATGTTCATTATCATGGCACAGGATGTGGTGTCAGTGTTTTGCAATCTGTTACATTGTTGTAACTCTGGGACCTGTCCATGGTATGATCCTCACCAAGCTGTGTTTTCTGACTTGTTTGACACATGTCATCATATTAGGGCTGGGACGATTCACCGATGCACCGGTACATCACGATACATTTTAGTTTGATACAGTTATCATAACGTCGACTGGTGTATCGATACAAAATGATACACAACTTTTTTTTATCAAAACAGTATTATCTTTACATGTTAAAGTACTTATGTAGAGAAAAATACGCAAGTATGATAGAGTTACGTGTTTGTTTATTACAACAGTGTTATTGTTATACACAAATACCTTGAAGCAAATCATTTTAAATCTTAATTCTGTGTCATTCTTTCAAGGTGTACGTATCAGGATACATATCGTATCACAGGTAAAATATCACGATACTTATCGTATCATGACATAGTGTATCGTCCCAGCCCTACATCATATCACATTGTTTTGATCGATGCTTATGAAGTTGGTCACTGGATTGTCAGTAAGAGAGACAGAAGCCTCGGTATGGAGATTATATAAGTGCTTCCATTACTAAGTCACTGAACTTCTAGGGATCATGTCATTATAAGTTTCAAACAGGTGTGACTGGAATATTGAAATGGCCACATTAATGTTTGAATAAAAATGTATTTTGATGCTGTGCATTTAGTTGAAAGAAATGGTCTTGTGTGTTGTTCAAGCACCCTTGTAAAACACTGCTGGATCAGTTTATCATGTTTATTGAGCAGTACATCATACCGTTAGACATCCTTAGTATCAGACAGGATTTCTGTCACATACATCATTTACTGTTGTGTAAATGTATTTAAGCAATGAGTCTAAATCAGTTTCATTAATACTGAGGTTCTGCATTATATTACCATGTAAATGACAGCAATATATCAAAATGTTGGAAACTGAATAGTGTTTAAATATTTTTAAACAACGTTGTAAAGACATGTAGTACCAAGAATGGACGCAAGATACTGAAGAAACTCAAAATCATTGCACATGTATTCTGCTTTTAAATCTGATAATAATGATATTGTTCCAGAATTGTGTTTGATTGCACTCTCTTCGTTTCATCTGTGCAGAGTTTTAACAAAATTCAGATGCAGCACCACCAATCTGAAAATAGTTTTGCATAGAACATCTAAAGACAATGACATTAGTGTAGCTATGTGTGATTATGGTAAAAGTGTACCAGAAGATGAGTATCATGTGTTAATAATATGTCCTTGATATGCTGCAGAAAGAACTCAATACATACAAAGCATCTATATCATGAACCAAAATAAACCAAAAATTGTACTTTTTTTTAAATACTAAGAACCATAATATTGTGCTCCGTCTAGCAAGTTTTGTAAACAAAATATCATGTCCATGTGCTCTGTAAAAATATAATCCAAGTTTTCATTTTGTACTATTGGCCTCATGGCGGTGTCGTCCCACGAGGCCTAAAATTATTCAATTAGGTAGGTACAGTTCATTAGGCTATGTGGGACTTCATGCCTCACTGGTTTTATGGGATTACGGTGGATTATTGCTGGACTGGTCCATTATATGGATATAGCTACAAACATACGTATTTATAGCAAGTTTCTTCCTTCTCATGTTAGTTGGAGAAGGAAACTGAATAATATCCACTTCATGTAAATACTCCTCCAGTAATAATAGATCTAATCTTCTTAAAGGTCACATGCAACGTAAAACACAACTTTGCAGATTCTGATACCTTTCGGTATGGACTTACCGAAACAAAGCGTCAAAAATGCAAATTCAACTTATAAAGTTGGAAAATAACGCGATGAAGAATAACGCGCGAAATCGGAGTTCAAACGTTTCACTAATTTTCCCCAGACTTTTCTGGGGAATACGGGTTTCAACAGCTGGCTGCGCTCATAGAAACGCGGCGCAGTGAAATAGGGTTCGCGAACTTGGAAGCGGGCTGTCTGGTGAATACTCGGTGAAGGCTTTGGTGTGAGCTAGTTTCATAATGTTTTGTTGATATCTCACAGGCGAGCTTTTGTATGTTATGACAGTAAATAAACTGTTTATATAATTTCATTTGTCTATTTCACCACACGCTCTTCTTACCGAAGTCACTTTCTCAGTTCGATACTTAAAAGCAATGTCATTATTTAGAGTTGACACGATTTCTAACTGTGATATAGATATGTCGCTGTCACAGACAAAACTCAATGTCTTGTTTTATTGACACCAGTGTGTCTGAATGCCTGGCTGCTAATGACAATATTCAATACACAACTGCGATCACTGACCACATGCAATTTGAACTTAACACCTATCAGGCTATACATAAACCATAAACAAAACGCATTGATTTATGGCCCTAGTTCGGTCTCTGTCACATTATGTAATTACACAGACAGGCAGGTGTGATACTTGAACACATGACATGTTATGATGTCTGTTGATTGCAAAATGTTATACACAAAAAATGAGCATGTATTTACAAAACCCAACTTTCTATATATACACACACAATGACCCGTGAAGGCGGCATCTGCTAATGAACCAGCCGTTACACTTGAGTGCACACCCAACCGCTCTGACTGGGTTCGGTATCCCGGCTGCTTCGTTTCGAGGGAGGTAAACCCAAGTACAAAATATTGCACTTTTGATTTGCGATTATACGCTTATAATTTTGTTTATTTGTTTTTTCATAATCAGCAATGCATATTATATGTCATTAAGAAGTGATAATTGTGTTTTAATTATGTTTGATCTTTGGGTTGCATGTGACCTTTAAGATTAACAGTAAGTGCTTTCATCCCACTCTTGTTTCACACCCCAATTACCTCATTAATTATATCACGCGGGCAAACTGTAATTAGGCCTTGTGGGATTTATTAGGTGTGAATTTTAGGCCTCGCGGACTGTAACCCTCATGGCTACATTTATGAAATATACTTGTCTGTCTGTCATCATTTCCCACTGATTGACAGGCTGTTTACAGTACCTGTATTTCTGTATATATTTGCTGTCACGCTGAAGGCCAGGGTTTGATTCCCCACATGGGTACAATGTGTGAAACCCACTTCTGGTGTTCCCCGCCATGATATTGCTGAAATATTGCTAAAAGCGACGTAAAACTAAACCTCACTCCCTCACTGTATATATTTGCAGCATTTGGTTGTGTCAGGATATGCTTCATTTTCCTGTGGGGGCTACAGATAGCTTCTTGTTTTATGGATAAATAAACAAAATGTAGTCTATTCATTCTGATTCATTTGTCCATTTTGATGATTCAGAAAAAGATTTTGTGTTTTGTGGTCATGGTGAAGTGAACAGAATTGTATGTGAATAGGTGAGCTATGTTATTGGATATGTGTCACTTTTCGCAGTCATTTTGGTTATAGCAATAATTTTGACAACATTTTTTGCAGAATACATTTGTGTTTGGAGGACACTTCTGTATGGTGTTTGAATCCTTGTCGCCTCATCCTATTACTGAAGTATTTGGTGACCTTCACTTTCCCAACTGTACGGTAGGTAGCCATCTTGTGAAACTACATCATCTCCAGTAATCTATGGCACAGTGGTTCACTGCTCAGAGTTGTGTCCCTTAGCCATGGACCCGTGAAGGTCCGGGTTAGAATATTGATCTTCAGTAACCCATGCTTGTCGTAAGAGGCGACTAATGGGATCGGGTGGTCAGGCTCGCTGACTTGGTTGACACATGACATCGTATCCCAACAGCTTAGTTCGATGCTCTTGCTGTTGATCACTGGATTGTCTGGTCCAGTCTCGATTATTTACAGACTGCCGCCACAAGGCTGGAATATTGCTGAATGCGGCGTTAAACTAGACTAACTACCTCACTCTCTCACTTTCTTACTCACTCACTCACTCAATGATGAAGCTAATGTTAAACTTCAGCACCTGCATTTGGTAAAGAAGTTATGTTTCCAGGTGTTGGTGTTGATGAAGCTGTGTTAGTGTGTTGTATGATGAAGCTGTGTTAGTGTGTTGTATGATGAAGCTGTGTTAGTGTGTTGTATGATGAAGCTGTGTTAGTGTGTTGTATGATGAAGCTGTGTTAGTGTGTTGTATGATGAAGCTGTGTTAGTGTGTTGTATGATGAAGCCTGTGTTAGTGTGTTGCATGATGAAACTGTGTTAGTGTGTTGTATGATGAAGCCTGTGTTAGTGTGTTGTATGATGAAGCCTGTGTTGGTGTGTTGTTGTATGATGAAGCTGTGTTAGTGTGTTGTATGATGAAGCTGTGTTAGTGTGTTGTATGATGAAGCTGTGTTAGTGTGTTGTATGATGAAGCTGTGTTAGTGTGTTGTATGATGAAGCTGTGTTAGTGTGTTGTATGATGAAGCTGTGTTAATGTGTTGGTAATGATGAAGCTGTTAGTGTGTTGTATCATGAAGCTGTGTTAGTGTGTTGTATGATGAAGCTGTGTTATGTGTGTTATATGATGAAGCCTGTGTTAGTGTGTTGTATGATGAAGCCTGTGTTAGTGTGTTGTATGATGAAGCCTGTGTTAGTGTGTTGTATGATGAAGCTGTGTTAGTGTGTTGTATGATGAAGCTGTGTTAGTGTGATGTATGATGAAGCTGTGTTAGTGTGTTGTATGATGAAGCTGTGTTAGTGTGTTGTATGATGAAGCTGTGTTAGTGTGTTGTATGATGAAGCTGTGTTAGTGTGTTGTATGATGAAGCCTGTGTCAGCACCTGCACAGTGTGTTGTATGATGATGAAGCTGTGTTAGTGTGTTGGTATTGATGAAGCTGTGTTAGTGTGTTGTATGATGAAGCCTGTGTTTGATGAAGCTGTGTTAGTGTGTTGTATGATGAAGCTGTGTTAGTGTGTTGTATGATGAAGCTGTGTTAGTGTGTTGTATGATGAAGCTGTGTTAGTGTGTTGTATGATGAAGCTGTGTTAGTGTGTTGTATGATGAAGCCTGTGTTAACCTTCAGCACCTGCACAAGGTAAAGAAGCTGAGCCTCCAGCTATTGGTTGTTCTGGGCTTCCTCCGACAACAGAACACCATCCATGCCGACCTCAAGCCAGAGAACATACTGCTGAAACACGGTTAGTTCATCTAGAATACAGAGGATTCAGGAATATTACTGAGGCACAGAATGATATCACTGGTGATTGAGGCCACCAGAAAATAGATGTTTAATCTGAACGCATGTTCCACCTTCAGAATACACTTTCGGGCTGATACACTACAGAACTCATTGCTTTGCTTTTCAATTATAACAAGATTCAATCCTTCCTGTATCTTCCCGGAGACCGGAAGGTCGCGGGTTTGATCCCCGACCGCGTCATACCAAAAGATGTTAAAATATGGTATTGTTGGTCACTGCCTGGTGCTCGACATTAAAGGGTACAACAAGGACTGGTCGGCTCGGAGTCAGTATAATGTGTCTGAGTGGGGTATTCATGCTTAACTGCAGCATGGTATCTAAGTGACCTAGCACAATAAACCAACTTAAGTCTAGGCTAGTACACATACACATGTATGCACGTCGTCATATGAGCGAAATATTCTTAAGTGCGACGTTAAACCACATTTCACCTCACCTCACCTTCCTTTTTCTGATACTGAGATCACATGATACTTTGATGATGGTTCTGATAGTTCTTTGCCAACATGACCACTCATCCGTAGGGCTGGCTACCATTGTAGATCATAGAGACCAATAATCATTAGCGAAATATCAATCAATTATTGATAAATATCAGAGAAGTAACTTTGAACATTGCAAAAAGAATGTGAGAAAGAAAATAACATAGTTCCTATCACTGGTGAGAGGTGATTCATTTGTGCATAGATTATTTACAAAAACAGCATTTTGAACAAAACTTAAAAGTTACTACAGAATAAAGATGCAATTTTGTGTATTGTGTGTGTGTAAATTGAATCTTCATCTCATCATAATAGTTTAGGATGACACATTCTTTTTCAGAGGAAGTCCTCCTTGGGGTACATATACGCATTAAAATGTCCATTTTAAAATCCTACGCCAGTTGTAACAATATTGTAATAAAAATATTTACAAAACATTGTTCAACCACCCTTAGCGGAAGGTCTAGTACAAGGGCCCCATACACCGCATGCATGCAGCCATATGAGCAGGAAACTCACCTCACCTCACCCTTCACCTCACACCAGCCAAGAGCAGAAACTCTCACCGTCTACCTCACAGTTCACTTTTCATGCTGTCGTTTAGGATGACACAATTTTCATATAGATTAGTAGTTATTTCTTCACATGAACAATATTCCAAATATCAGTCTCTAGCCAGCTCTACTGGTATGATTATTATTCTTCCAGCCAATGACAGTCAAGTCTGTGACTTTGTTCACATGATACCTCAGTGGGAGTTTTGATAGTTCCATGGCAACATGACCATGAACTTTGATATACCGATTAGGCTATTTCATCAGTGTCATGACCATTACATTGGTCAGTAACAGTTCTTTGTTTCTTCCAGTCAATGACCTGAGCTCGGTGACGGTGATAGACTTTGGGAACTCCATCCAACATGTCCACAAAGAAGTGTCTCTGTACTACCGTGAGTTTGATGTCCAGACTCTGCTCTACAGGGCACCAGAGGTAACTACACCATTGATTCTATACCCTAAGTGAGAATAGTTTAGCGCCTCTTGTAGCAGTACTACAGCCCAGTCACAGTAGGCGCCGGCTGGTGGGGTAGCCTAATGGTTTAAGCGTTTGCTCGTCATGCCGGTTCAATTGCCCACATGTACAATGTGTCATGTGTCCCCCTCACCGGGTTCAATTGCCCACATGGGTACAGTCAGTCAATTTCCCACATGGGTACAATGTGTGAAGCCCATTTCTGGTGTCCCATACAGTGATATTGTTCGAATATTGCTCAAAGCGGCATAAAACCAAACTCACTCACTGTAGGTGCCACCATGAATTAGGATCCATATTTGGCCAATATGTGAAATCAACTGTCTTTTATGTGTCACTTTTGATGTGCATTAACCAGTATGCTGTCATTAAGTATGCTAATATGAGCACTTTAGCCATGCTTAGCAACCAAGCTTGGCAAAAGGATTTAAATATCCGTCATCAGCTTTAACAAAAATTTGGAATTCTGCATTCCAAATTCTATCTTTTAAAAAAATGTTTAGAAACATATTTGTCATGTTGCTGTTTTTGTCCTGTAAATGCTTTTGTACTGAAAAAAATAAAACTGACCAATGTAAGACGTTGAAGTGTTAGACTTTATGGGTCCAGGGTTTAACTCCCAGATTTTCCCAGATTTTGATCCCAAGTCTCTCAGTATCATACAGGACATTTCACCCAAGTGGAAAAAACCCACCACCTGCATTCCTTTAAACTTTCTGACAATTTTGTTGTCTGTATACAAAATGAGCGAGCAAGTATGGTTTTGCGCCACTTTTAGCAACTATACAAAGTGAAAAACTCAGTGTTCATAGACACAAACCAAAACATATTGTTTTGACAATAGTTACTTGAGTACCCTTTTATATGCTTTCTCTTCTTCATAGCATTGTCTGATGGGAGGGGGCGATGGGGTAGCCTAGTGGTTAAAGCGTTTGCTTGTCACGTCGAAGACCCGGGTTCGATTCCCCACATGGGTACAATGTGTGAAGCTCATTTCTGGTGTCCCCCGCCATGATATTACTGGAATATGCTAAAAGCGGCGTAAAACCTCACTCACTCACTCACCATCTGATGGGTGTGAATTTTCTGTACCATCAGGTAGTGGGGGTTGGGGGATGTTACCCTAATGATGCTTGCTATATTTGTAATTTACACAGCAACACCACAAGTGCTGATACCAACTGTCATTCAGTAACATTGTCTATAATGAGGATATGTGTTTGGTAGGTGATGTTTGGAATCCCGTTTGGCACCGAGATCGACATGTGGTCCCTAGGCTGTATTCTAGCAGAACTTTATCTCGGACGACCCCTCTTCTTCGGAAAGACGAAGCCAGAGTTACTAGCATCAGTAAGTCTGTATAACAACAGAAATAAAATAGCAAATTATACCTTTCAAATATTCCCTGAAACTATTATATATTTTACAAAAGAAAATCACACAAATCGTGTACTGAATTGAACCTAGTAATTAAAAAAAAGGCCTTATGACAAAAGAGTTTGAGACTACAGGATCAACTAGCAGAAAATATGCATTCATTCTTGTACCTTAGTCAAGTAATGTTTGAGGATTTATGGAAGGTGTGGGTCACTACTACCAACTTACCTTCCTATGGCTTCTTGGCTTGGACATAGCACCTCTGCTAAAAGACAGCGATATGTTACAATTCATCAGATTTCAAACAATTCATAGTTCATGCTGGTTATAGTGCTATCCCATTGTTGCAGTTTTACATACATACCCTACTCAGAAACATCATTCAGACCAGTCCTTCAGTTGTTTTGTTGTCTTAATGCTAATTCCCAGTCTGGTTATCAACAATTACCATGCAAGACTCGTTTTAGTGCTTTGTTACTTGCACTGGTGCAACCCAATATTATAAAGTGCAACCTAGTTATTAGTCTAACTTGCAACAGGTGCAAGTCAATTTTTAGTGGGTAAACTTCTGAATAAAACATAAATAATTCAGTAGCATATTCTTTATTACATATTGTAGTAAAAGCAGTGCAACTGGAATTTGGCTGGTACAACTAGGTTTCTGTTTTAGGTTGCACCTGGTGTAAGTAGGTTAACATCTCTTAAATCGGGCCCATGTTTTGACATCTTTTGGTATGACACAAACAGGCATCAAACCACCAACGTTCTGCCCTCCAGATACTCAAGGCAGATGCTCTTGTAGAGTTATGTCCCTTAGTTGTTCCAGGATCAGGTGCCTTAATTTTGTGTGTGCCATCACTTACATACAGTATTGTATAAAGATGACTTGCTGGAAACTATTGCCATTGAAGAGATGTAGAGGGAAAGTTAGTATCACTCATTCTTGTGACAGATTGAGAATTATTTTAAAATACATGTGCAGTGTTTATGTCAAGTAAATATTGTGATTATATCATGTCTTTCAGATAACATCAATTCTAGGCCCTTTGCCAAAGGAAGTGTTTCAGAGAGGTAAATACTCCCGGGAGCTGGCAACATTCACAGAGGATGTGGAGCAAGAAGATGGTAATGATCTGTAGTGTGTGATTGTTCATCACTAGTCCACATCTTCTGAGAGCTGTACTTGCCTGTACACAACATCAGTATCAGGAGGGGGCGGTGGGATAGCCTAGTGGTTAAAGCGTTCGCTCGTCACGCCGAAGGCCCGGGATCGATTCCCCACATGGGTACAATGTGTGAAGCCCATTTCTGGTGTCCCCCGCCATGATATTGCTGGAATATTGCTAAAAGCGGCGTAAAACCATACTCAGTCAGTATCAAGAGAGTTATGACTATACAACTAAACAATAAAGTCTTGTAAAAAAAACTGAGCAATTTAATGACAAATGTTTGCGGACATTTTGCTGGATATTTTGTTATTGGTTTTGTTTTAGAAATGATGGATTCAAAACAGTATTCATTGATGTAACCAGTGTTGTCCGTTTCCCAGTTCTCAGAAAAAAATATTGTAACATGTTGCACCATCATACCATACAGTCTTAATGTGAACTTTCAGCAACTGCCAAGATTCTTGAGTGTCTTGAAGGATCCAAGGATTATGCATTTGCCAACTTCCTGTCCCAGCTCTTCCGATATGACCCAGGTGAGTCACTGCACAACCTCCCCTTCTTCCAGTTCTTTAAATATGTAACGTCCCTGTTGGTATTTCAAGGAAAGATTGTTTGCCAGAATCACAGAGAATCGCTTTAGAGACGGTTTGGATCAGATGTGTAGCATTTGTTGCTTAGCTGATTGTGTGTCACTGTGGTGTGGATTGTTGCTTGGCTGATTGTGTGTCACTGTGGTGTGGATTGTTGCTTGGCTGATTGTGTGTCACTGTGGTGTGGATTGTTGCTTGGCTGATTGTGTGTCACTGTGGTGTGGATTGTTGCTTGGCTGATTGTGTGTCACTGTGGTGTGGATTGATTGTGTGTCACTGTGGTGTGGATTGTTGCTTTGCTTGTGTCATTGATTGTGTGTCACTATGGTGTGGATTGTTGCTTGGCTGATTGTTGCTTTGTTTTGTGTCACTGTGGTGTGGATTGTTGATTGGCTGATTGTGTGTCATTGTGGTGTGGATTGTTGCTTGGCTGATTGTGTGTCACTGTGGTGTGGATTGTTGCTTGGCTGATTGTGTGTCATTGTGGTGTGGATTGTTGCTTGGCTGATTGTGTGTCACTGTGGTGTGGATTGTTGCTCATACTTCAGTCATTAGTTCAGTTCTGAACTGATATCTCACAGACTGCATGATATACAGTAGACTATAATGATGATAATAATAATAATAATTATAATAATAAGGGCCTGACGATGTACACCTCTCCGTGGAGAGCCTAGATAGGAGAATTTTATTCCCTGAACCAAACGTGCATCACCCAGTTAGGGCTGACCCCCCGAAGCTGGTTTTTCACTTGGTTACAGACAGCCAAGAGGAAAGTTTTACAGGCAACTGAAAACAAATGGTGATGGTGAGCATGATAAGCGGCCTCCCATGGATGCCAATGAAAGGTTCTGGAAACAGTTGTGGTCTGTACCCGGCAACTGTAACCTTGAGGCACCACGGGTCAGTGATTATGGCCATATGCATGAGAAAGTAACTAGGTCGTTTGTCTGTTACATCTCATCAGATTGCCTGAAAAGTGTTATCAAAAAGTCCAAATCTAAAACAGCTCCAGGGCCTGATGGCATTCGAAACCGGTACTGGAAACTATTTCCCTGTGTCCAAACACCATTACTTCACTGTTTCAATACTCTCGTGGACACCGGTGATGTTCCTCCATGGTTCTGCAAAGGTCGCACAATACTCCTTCCCCAAAAAAGGAGACTTGACTGATCCCAAAAACTTCCTCCCTATCACATGTTTGAATACACGATACAAATTTTTCACAGGGTGTTTGACAAACCTTGTGTCATCATACTGCTCTGCTAATGATATAGTTTAGAGAGAGCAGAAGGGAGCAAGAAAGGGATGTTGGGGGTGCAAGGATCAACTTCTTGTACAGAAAATGATTTTGGAAAAGGCTAAAACATATCACCGCAACCTCTCCATGTGCTGGATTGACCATAAGAAAGCATACGACTCTGTCCCTCATGAATGGATTCTGAAGTCTCTTCGTTGTATTGACCTCCCGGAGCGTCTACTTGATTTACTCAAGTCTTTAATGAGTTGCTGGTCAACTCAAATTGAGATGTACTCGCAAGGGCAGGTGCAGACTTCGGAATCTATTCCAATAAGAAGGGGAATTTTCCAGGGGGACTCCTTCAGTCCTTTGCTTTTTTGTTTGTCTCTAAATCCTTTTAGCTTTCTGCTCAATAGAGAGCAAGGTTACCATCCCGGACCTCCTCAGCACAGATCCTTTACTCATCTCCTTTACATGGATGACATCGAGCTCCTTGCCAAAGGAGATACCAATTTGAAAAAGCAGGTTCTCCATGTCGAGTCCTTTTCTTATGATATTGGCATGACATTTGGGCTCGACAAATGTAATACTCTTCATTTGAAACGTGGCAAGGTAACTAATGATGGATCGGTCAGGTTGCAAGGGGGAGGAGTTATTGAGCATCTTGTGGAAGATCAGGCCTACACCTATCTTGGAATGCAAGTTCAAGACAAGCTCCAGAGTGCTGAAATTCATGAAAAACTTCGGGCTGAGTACAAATCTCACTTAAAGAAAATCTGGAGCTCAGAGCTAAATGCTAGAAACAAGGTCAAAGCCACCAATACTTTTGCTGTGCCAGTCCTTTCCTATTCCTTTGGAGTAGTTGACAAAACAAAAGATCCAGAGTCTTGACCGCCTGACCAAAAGGATCATGTCTGATAACAGAGCCCACCACCCTCGTTCCTCTCTCAATCATTTATATATGCCAATCAATTCTGGAGGTCGGGGTTTGATTATTGTGGAGGCTCTACATGATAGAATTTTATTGTGTACTTTTGCACCTATCTATTTATCGGATGATCCTCTGGTGATGCATGTGAAGACTCATGACGAAAGGAGGGTATTCCACAGCTATTTTAAGCGTGCCATGGTTGTTGGACAGAATCTGAAATTTGAGGTTGATTTTGTTGATGGCGATGTACTGGTGGACGGTACAGTGATGGGAGTAAACCAGGTGAAGTCCTTCACCAAGTCTGCCCAGAGTCGGTCTTTTGTAGAGGGTTTCTGAGAAGCCATTGCATCGTGTGTACATGCAGTGTGTGGAACAGAATAGCAATCCAACCAACTCCTTTGCCTGGATGAAGTCGACTCGTCTTAAATGTGAAACTGAGGGCTTCCTTTTTGCTGCTCAGGACCAGTCACTTCCCACTCATAATCGCCAAAATGTGATTCTTAAAGGAAATATCAATATGAAATGCCGACTTTGCAATAAATTTTCAGAGACTGTCCAACACCTTGTCAGTGGATGCCCTTCCTTGGCACAAACAGCATATCTGAAACGACATGATGGCATGGCTTGCTGCTTCTACTACCGTCTCCGCCATGCCTGTGGCTTTGACTCCGAGGTCCATCCATGGTACAACCCTGAACATGTCCAGGGCGTCATGGAAAATGATGCTTTCAAACTTCTCTGGAATAGGCCCATATACAGTCTCCTGCCAACAAACCTGATCTCGTTCTTTTTGATAAAGCCTGTGAATTTATTTATATCATTGAATTTTCTGTCCCTTTTGACAGCAATGTGATTGGCAAGATTCAGGAAAAGCATGATAAATATGCGGACCTCGCCTTTGAAATGTCTTGCTTGCATCCCAAGTACACTGTCGTCAGACACCCCATTGTTCTCGGTGCCCTTGGTTTGGTACCTCCTGATCTCTTGGCGCAGATCAGGAGAGTGCCCGGGTTCTCCACCGGGAGCACAGCCCTTCTGACACTCTGGGTAATGCAGAAGGCTGCAGTGTTGGGGAGCCTTCATATTCTCTGGAAAGTTCTTGGTGGGTTCAACTAGGCAGCGTTTCCTGGGAGAAGTCCCATTCGCTGTCTGGGCAGCGTGTAGAGGGGGCGAGGGCCCTGAGCTGATGATGAGCCTTACCAGCCTGACTGTGCCAGGATCACCCGAACCCTCTCTACTGCATTTTTCATCTTTAATCTGTAAATAATAATAATAATAGTCCATTAATACTACACATTTATCCATGCACGTTACATACTCAAAGTGCTGACATATTACCCCTGGTCAACGAGTACAGAACACTCCCTGTGGAGAGAATACAACCGGTAGCCTGTCAGGCGCTCAAGGTTCAAATTCAGACTACCATCAGATACCCAAGTTTACTGCTAGGTGGACAGAGGCAATTTTGAACAAACTCACTTGCCTAAGGTGAGACCACATGTATCACATGTGTTTCATTGTGGGGCAGGACTGAAGTCCTAGAAGCTGCCAAATACGGTCACCCATCCAAGGACTCTCCATGCCCAACGTTTCTTAACTTCAACTGATTGTGGCCTGAGCTCTGCATACAGGACCACACACCATCATAAAAAAAGCTAACATACATTAGAAATAAAGGCATTTTAAAGAAAAAGTCATATTTTTGAATATTTGCCAGTTCTATTCTTTTCACAGATTTCATCAGTGTACAATAGCAGAGGTTTGACAAGATATAAACTGTTTATAATGAACACGCAAATAATGAACTGACATGGCACATAGATAGATCTGGTGGTGTACTGATGCCTTTTGGTAGTTTTGGATTTCTGAATAAAATATATTTTGTGTTTCCATGGCAACAAGTTTGACTTTGACTGAAATTGGTGGTAGTGCTCTTTTCCGGAGCAGAACTCTAAAACCATTCAGTGTTTCTTCACTGAACTTGGCACATAGATAGGTCTGGTGGTGTACTGGTGCCTTTGGTAGTTTTGGAATTCTGAATCAAATATTTTTGCCGTTTCCATGGCAACAAGTTTGACTTTGACTGAAATTGGTGGTAGTGTTCTTTTCCAGAGCAGAACTTTAAAAATGTTCACTATTTCTTCACCAAACATGGCACGAGCAGTAGGGCTGGATATTGCCCTGATTTTCATATTGCGATATATTGCAATAATTTAAGAGATATTGCAATACATATTGTGATATATTGACTGGGAGGTTTCTGTCCAAGTGAGTACATCATAAATTCATAATAGCTCTCTGTGTGCGACATCATCTTCTTAGTTGCTGTTACACCATACTTTCAGGCTCCCCGTCACCATTCTGTATGAATGTGTGCCAATGGTTTACAGACAAATAAAATTATATACAGCCTTAAAGCCGAATGTTTAATTAAAGCACTGTATAGCAACAAAGTTTTGTGAACATAATGATAAAGGTAATAGTGTAACATGATTTTCATGGTCAGTGTTGTTTGCTTCAACGGAATGCACTTCAGTGCAGTATGTAATTATTGTTACTGTTTGTCAGTGATTCACTCAGATTCAACTCCAATATAAACATTTATTAACACGAACTATTGCAAAATGAAACAAAAGGAGATTTAGGAGAACTACTTGAGCTTAAAGTCTTATGTGACCTTCAATAACTAAGAGCATTGACTAGAATGTCATTATACAGTCCTACAAAAATTATAAGACTTTGGCCTTTATGATAAATTGCTAACATATGTCCCATTATAAAACAAACAAAATGGTCACTCAGCCAGAGGCTGTACTAATAAGTCCAAATAAAAGCTTGGTCAAATCCTTTAAGGGCATTTAGAAGTGGAATGCATAAGAAAATCCGAATGACTCAATATATTGCAGAATCTGAACCATATCGCAATAATCGATCGCCGAGATACTGTACTGGTATATACCGGGTTTACCGGTAATATTGCACAGCCCTAACGAAAGCAAAACTCTAAGACCGCTTTTAATGTTTCTTCACCAAAGGCATATAGATAGGTCTGGTGGTGAACTGGTGCCTTTTGGTAGTTTTGGATTTCTGAATAAAATATTTTGCCATTTCCATGGCAACAAGTTTGACTTCAACTGAAATTGGTGGTAGTGCTATTTTCTGAGCAGAACTCTTAAACTGTTCAATGTTTCTTCACTGAACTTGGCACATAGATATGTCTGGTGGTGTACTGGTGCCTTTGGTAGTTTTGGAATTCTGAATCAAATATTTTTGCCGTTTCCATGGCAACAAGTTTGACTTTGACTGAAATTGGTGGTAGTGTTCTTTTCCAGAGCAGAACTTTAAAAATGTTCACTATTTCTTCACCAAACATGGCACGAGCAGTAGGGCTGGATATTGCCCTGATTTTCATATTGCGATATATTGCAATAATTTAAGAGATATTGCAATACATATTGTGATATATTGACTGGGAGGTTTCTGTCCAAGTGCGTACATCATAAATTCATAATAGCTCTCTGTGTGCGACATCATCTTCTTAGTTGCTGTTACACCATACTTTCAGGCTCCCCGTCACCATTCTGTATGAATGTATGCCAATGGTTTACAGACAAATAAAATTATATACAGCCTTAAAGCCGAATGTTTAATTAAAGCACTGTATAGCAACAAAGTTTTGCGAACATAATGATAAAGGTAATAGTGTAACATGATTTTCATGGTCAGTGTTGTTTGCTTCAACGGAATGCACTTCAGTGCAGTATGTTATTATATTTGCTGTATGTCAGTGATTCACTCAGATTCAACTCCAATATAAACATTTGTTAACACGAACTATTGCAAAATGAAACAAAAGCATGATTTAGGAGAACTACTTGAGCTTAAAATCTTATGTGACCTTCAATAACTAAGATCATTGACTAGAATGTCATTATACAGTCCTACAAAAATTATAAGACTTTGGCCTTTATGATAAATTGCTAACATATGTCCCATTATAAAACAAACAAAATGGTCACTCAGCCAGAGGCTGTACTAATAAGTCCAAATAAAAGCTTGGTCAAATCCTTTAAGGGCATTTAGAAGTGGAATGCATAAGAAAATCCGAATGACTCAATATATTGCAGAATCTGAACCATATCGCAATAATCGTATCGCGAGATACTGTACTGGTATATACCGGTTTACCGGTAATATTGCACAGCCCTAATTGAGCAAAACTCTAAGACCGTTTAATGTTTCTTCACCAAAGGCATATAGATAGGTCTGGTGGTGAACTGGTGCCTTTTGGTAGTTTTGGATTTCTGAATAAAATATTTTTGCCATTTCCATGGCAACAAGTTTGACTTCAACTGAAATTGGTGGTAGTGCTATTTTCTGGAGTAGAACTTTTAAACTGTTCAATGTTTCTTCACCAAATTTCTTACATGGGTATGTCTAGTGGTGAACTGCTGCCTTTTGGTAGTTTTGGAATTTTGAATAAAACATATTTTTTTTGTTTCCATGGCAACAAGTTTGGCTTCAACTGAATTTGGTTTAGCCAAGTGATTAAAGTGTTCGCTCCTCACGCCTCAGTCCCAGGTTCGATTACCCACATGGGTACAATGTGTGAAGCCCATTTCTGATGTCCCCCGCCGTGATATTGCTGGAATATTTCTAAAAGCGGCGTAAAACTAAACTCCACTCACTCCCTCACCATATATACTGCTGCAGTAAGACATACTTCTTCCACAGATGAGAGACTGAGTCCATCAGAAGCTGCCCAGCATCCCTTCCTAGCCCAGGAGCTCTGTGTCAGTTTCCTGCTACCTCCATCAGCCAGTAAGTTGCAGCCATATATCACATGATAAATTAATAAATATGATCAGTTATCAGATATATCGTCAATGGGATGAATTATTACTGATTATCGATGTTAAAATTGTGTAATCGATAACATCATACATAAACAACATTGTGATGATATAAAGTTTTGATTTTCATACACAAAGTCAAACTTCAAGGGCTGCTTCTTAATTATGTTCAGGAAGCTGTTTCTAGTAATCCATGTATAAATGTCACCTTTCACCATCAGTGTTGAATATGTTGATTTCTTTCAGACTTTCTTGGTGTCTTTGCTCCAAGTTACTTGTCCCATATTCTGATAACTGATCCATATTTTGTCAACAATTATTATCCCCCGCAACGCATTTTGCGAGGGTTTTTTAAAATGGACTCCCGCTCCATCCGCGGCGTCCGCATCCGCCATCTTTTTCTGGTGCATCCTAAAACTGTTCAATATTTCTTCACCAAACGTGGTACATAGATAGGTCTGGTTTTCCGAGCATAACTCCTAAAACCTTTTAATATTTCTTCACCAAACTTGGCACATAGATAGATCTGGTGGTCTACTGGTGCCTTTTGGATTTAGAATAAAATTTGGATTTCCATGGCAAGCAAACTTAAGGTCTGGTGGTACTGTTGCCTCTTTTCTGAGCATTGCCATGGCAAAAAGTTTGACTTTGACTGAAATGGTTCTAGTACTCTTTACCAAACAGAACTCTAAAACCGGGTGCAATGTTTCTTCACCAAACTTGGCATTTAGATAGATCTGGTGGTGAACTGGTGCCTTTTGGTATTTTTGGATTTCTGAATAAAATATTTTTGGCGTTTCCATGGCATCAAGTTTGACTTAGACTGAAATTGGTGGTAGTGCTCTTTTCCGGAGCAGAACTTAAAAACTGTTCACTGTTTCATCACCAAATTTCATACATAGATAGTTCTAGTGGTGAACTGATGCCTTTTGGTAGTTTTGGATTTCTGAATAAATTGGTTTTTTTTTTCATTTCCATGGCAATAATTTTGGCTTCAACTGAATTTGGTGGTAGTGCTCCTTTCTGGAGCAGAACTTTGAAACCTTTCAGTACTCTCCTTCCACTTAGCTATATACACACCAAAACATTTGACATAATCATAACTCATAGACATATTCATGAAGAGTATTCTGCCATTGCGGGGGATATTGATGACTTTGTCTTCTTGTTGATCTCTAACATCAGTATGGATAGCCAGAGAGAGGACTGTTGTTCTATCTGCCTCAATCAAGCTATTGTTTTGGGCTGTTTCATTTCCTAACAGTAAAAAAGGGTGAACATATAGCTATCAAGAATAGCCTCCCTTATTTCATACCAGGATTTACTTATCTTTGTTCTAGAGCCATATTTACCTTGCCCACAGCCATGATCAAACTGTTGCGCAAGCTCCGTCACTTTGGATTTTTCCCTTGTGTCTTAAGAGGCAACTAATGGTATTGTTTGGTCAGTGGCTTGGAATATAGATCAATGCTTATGATGTCAATCACTGGATTGCCTGGTCCAGACTTGAAATTTGACTGACTGTCATTGCAAAGATGGAATATTGCTGTGTATGGCTCTTAACAACAACCAGACATTGAGCTATCGCATCGAATTGTCACAAAAACACTATTCAAAGATGTGTATTGTATGTACAGTGTTCTATTGGTAATATTGGGGTAGCCTAGTGGTTAAAGCTTAACAACAACGAAGACCCGGACGATTCCCACATGGGCACAATGTGTTAAGCCCATTTCTGGTGTTCCCTGCCGTGATATTGCTGGAATATTGATAAAAGCGGTGTAAAACTAAACTCAGTCAGTCTATTGGTACCTCGGGGCAGTGGGGTAGCCTAGTGGTTAAAGCGTTCACTCATCACGCTGAAGGCCCTGGTTCGATTCCCCAAATGGGTACAGTGTGTGAAGCCCATTTCTGGTGTCCCCTGCCATGATATTGCTGGAGTATTGCTAAAAAGCGGCTTAAAACTAAACTCACTCACTCACTCCAGTGGTACCTCACTCATATTGTTTCATCTCTTCCAGAGAGACCCCCATCTTCTATCCTACTGAACTCCAAGGTGTATAGACACGGTGTGAAGATTTCTTCAGAGGTTAAACGTCAGAATCCGTCAACTTACGATTTACTAGTTATGGGAACCGACAGAAAGGTTTGGGATCATGGCCACCATGACACTAGAGTGGCGGAGGTCCAGCCATACAAGCAGGAGTTGGATACAGATCAGCACTCAAAAAGTCAGGGTCCAAAGTCTCCTGACATGTTTCTAAATAGTGCTGTTAAAAAAGGGATAATCAAGAAGACAGAAGTCATTCTGATTTCACTCCTTTCTCCCCATCAAGAAAGCAATTATATGAGTATAAAGGAAAGAAATGATTCAGGATTTTATGAAAGAATGAATCTAAAATCTGATGACAGTAATGATTATGCCAAAAGATATGAGAGAAAGCCAGCATTTGATTTGTCCAAGTCCTTGACCTCAAGGTCTCCACAACAAGTGAGAGGTCAAAAAAGGTCAAGGTCACCTAAACATGTCGAAGTCAAACAAGATCAAGGTCACCACTGAGTCAAGGTGATAGACACAATCAAAACTATACAGGTTTCAACACCCAAACTGTTAAGGTTCTAAGTGGAAGAAGTGCTGTGTCTGCTGGTACAAAACACCCTGATACTGGTCAGTGTTGGTCGACACAGGACTTGTCACCAAGAAGTGATAGGGATAAGTCACTGACTGAGGGAAGAACAGAAAGAAATAGTCTCCAGTGCCCAGTGAAAGTTCTTGTGAAACAAGACCGATCTCCAGCACATTCAGCATTAAGAGAGCAGGAATCAGCATGGAAGTTAAATCAGTCCCATGTTTCAACTAGGAAGACTGTAGAGATGTCTCCACAGAGAACAAGCTGTTCAACCTCTAAGCACATCTCTGATATTTTCTCAAGTGAAGATCGGGAATCTCATATGATGGCAACATCACAGCAGCTAAACAGATATTCCTTTGGTGGTCAGCATCAGCAACTCAGGGACTTTGGAGTGGAAGGAACTGGAAGTAAAACAGTTAAACAGAGTCCAGGTCAACTTCAGAAGAAGGTGAAGAGGAAGCTGTTAGAAGCTGACACATGGAGGAAGTTCCTGGAAGAAGACAAACATGATGTGGGGAAGAAGTCTGAGGAAGAAACAAAATACCATGTAGATAATGTGAAGGACAGTATTGGAACTAAGTTTGAAGATGAAACAGTGTGTCCTTTTCTGGATAGGGATGGTGATGACGTCAGTGAAGATTTGAAAAGATGTCATGCCTTGCCGCAGCGTTCAAAAAGAAAATCCTCAAGTCGTGATAATTATATGATGGTTACACCAAGAACATTATTAGAAGAGGAAGAATGTGTAAACATTGGACACTCAAAACCTGCTGGTTATCAGGATAACTATGAGGCTTTAAGAGTCCAGAAGTCAAAAGAGATGAACAAGAGCATAATGGAGATAATTATGTCTCCCAAATCCAAAATTTCCAGATTCAATGTTTCTCCAAATGAGGAAGATGATGATTTGAGAAGACATGAGATCCTAGGACCAAGGTCTGCTGCCAATGAAAGCATGAAATCTGATACATACAAATATGAAACAGCAGCTCAAGAAAAATCAGATCCTGCTTTGGTTCAGAGTAGACACCCAGAAAGGAGTGCATCTTCCAAGACGCCTCCAGTAAGGGTAGATGAAGCCTTTCATTCTGTCCCCAAGGAAAAGTGGAATTGAAAGTAGATGGAAAATGTGTCCAAGAGCGAGGGCCCAGAGGAAAAATACTGATTTGGCAAAAGGGAATAGAAGGTCATATGGTTGAGAATGCTTATACTGAAGCTGGGAGGAGCTTGGAGCTGTCTCATAAGGAATTATCAAGGGAAGAAGATAAACACATATTGGCTGAGTTGACACTGCCTCCGAGAGACAAGATCAGGAGGAACAAGGTTGATTTGGGTCAGGAAGAGCAAAGGAGATTGTTGAAGGCTGATATTGAAGTTGAGAGGAGCTGTGAGCTGTCTGATGAAGAAATATCAGGGGAAGAAGCTAAACAGATGATGGCTGAGTTGACAGTGCCTCCAAGGGAGAAGATCAGGAGGAACAAGAGTGACTTGGGACAAAGATACAGAAACAGGTTGTGTAAGGCTGACATCGAAGGTGAGAGGAGCTGTGAGCTGTCTGAGGAGGCATTTTCAGGGGAGGAAGCAAGGCAAGTGATGTTCAAGACAACAGTGTCTCCAAAGGGGAAAACTGAAAGGAACAATGTTGATCTGGGACAAGGGGACAGGAGGAGGTTGTATTATGCTGAAATTGAAGCTACAAGGAGCTGTGAGATGTCTGATGAAGATTCATCAGGGGAGAAAGCAAAGCAGATGATGTTCAAGACGACAGTGCCTCTGAGAGAGAGGACCCGGAAGAACAAGAGTGATTCAAGAACAGGGGTCAGAGGGAGAGTGTTGGTGGAGAATACTGATATTGAAGCTACCAGGAGCTGTGAGATATCTGATGAAGATTCATCAGGAGAGAAAGCAAAGCAGATGATGTTCAAAGGCGACAGTGCCTCTGAGAGAGAGGACCCGGAAGAACAAGAGTGATTCAAGAACAGGGGTCAGAGGGAGAGTGTTGGTGGAGAATACTGATATTGAAGCTACCAGGAGCTGTGAGATATCTGATGAAGATTCATCAGGAGAGAAAGCAAAGCAGATGATGTTCAAGACGACAGTGCCTCTGAGAGAGAGGACCCGGAAGAACAAGAGTGATTCGAGAACAGGGGACAGAGGGAGAGTGTTGGTGGAGAATACTGATATTGAAGCTACCAGGAGCTGTGAGATGTCTGATGAAGATTCATCAGGAGAGAAAGCAAAGCAGATGATGTTCAAGACGACAGTGCCTCTGAGAGAGAGGACCCGGAAGAACAAGAGTGATTCAAGAACATTGGACAGAAGGAGATTGTTGATGGAGAATATTGAAGCTGCAAGGAGCTGTGAGATGTCTGATGACTTATCAGAGGAGGATGCAAAGAGGATGATGATGGAGACTACAGTAGAATGTGAGGCAATGACTGAGTTCAGTCACAGAAAAAGAACTGGGGTAACCAATGATATTGTAGAACACAGTCGGCGTCCTGGTGCTGGTGAACAGTTCAGGAAAATAATGGGGAACATGCATGTCATTACTGAGACAAAATCTATAGCGAAACCTGCAGATAGAGAAAGAAATTTAAGAGATTCTGACAAGAAGACACATGATGAGAAGGGGTGAATCAAGGACTGAATCAGGTCAACACCCTACAGAGAACTGTTGAGAAGAAGACACATGAGGATGAAAGGTGGAGGAAGATATTTGAAGAACACAAACGTGGCATTTTAAAGACTTCAAAAGGTACAGAATTTCATCAGGCTGATGTTGAGAAGAGAAAGGATATGTGGCTTCAAGTCTCTTTTGTTGATGAAGATGGGGAGGATATGGAGGGTGCAGGAGCAGACAAGAGACGTGCACAGAGGGAGATTGGGAGATACAGGGCCTTAGATGCTGCTGATGGTCAGGATGAGGTTTTGCAGCACTCATCAGATGGAGAGGAGGTTGTTATGAGTGTTGTAGATGGTGAGAGCGTGTTAGGAAATACTGATGCTTCACATTCGAGACAACAGAGAAGTGACAGTGAACAAGTGAGTGGTATACCTGCTGGAAAATATGCAGTTAAGCAGACAAACGGTTGTGTCTCATCGTCAGAAAAGTCAAATCATGTAGCAATAAAAGTTAAAAACTCTGAATATACTAGTCCCAAAATAGATGATTCTTTGTATGCTCAAAGGAGCACCGCTGTTGAAAAAGAACCTTTGAAGAGAAGAGAAAGGCTCGAAAGAGGCAGAGATTTTTCAAATGACACAGAGTTCGAATTCAGTGGAAACATTCATTTCAGGCAGTTCAAAAGAAGCAGCAGTTCGTCACAAGGAACTGGTTCAGACAAGAGTCAATCTTGTTCTGGAAATGTTGACAAGTCAGAGAAAAAAGAAGGCAGCATGTCAGATTCTACCTTATTGGGAATTGCTTCACGATATAAACTGACTAGAAAGACAGGACAGCCAAGATCCGAAACCCATAATGAAATGGATGACCTTGAAAGTGAGGATGAATGTGACCGTAATGATAATCATGATCTGAGGACAGTAGCCCCTGATCCAGATCATCATCAATTAACTGATGATGACTACAAAGATGCTATGGAGCAAACCATTGGCCAAAATTCAAGTCCCTGTGCCCAGCCTCTGTCCCACCCTGACAACAAGCCGGTTGGACAGAGGGAGAAATCTGATCAGTGTACATCCAACAGGCAGATGTCACAAAACCCAGCACCTACATCTCAAGAAGCAGTACCCGCCCCTGCTAGAGCAGAAGACATGTTCAATGTGTCACTGTGTGGCTATGAAGCTTCAGTGCCAGATGACAGCTTAGTGATACGGCAGCCATCAAGGAGACGACGGAAAAAATCTCTGGCAAAACGGAAACTAGAATTTGCTAAAAACAAAAGGATGTCATTCCAGGATGTCGTATCAAATACTGAGGACAATTGTCAAAAAGAACCAAAGCTAAGGAATAAGACCAATATAAGGGGAACAAAACGTCATGTCAGGAAGACTGTGAGGGGAGCCAAACCTATAGATACTGAAAAAGATGATCATATAAGTCCTTGCAGGAAAGGTTGCGGAAAGCTGAATACTTCACATGTTGGCGGATCAACAAAGAATCCTAAAAGCACTTTGTCAAGTCTTAAGACAAAATCTTTGAACAAAAGAGCTTCTATGCAGGTAAAGGGGAAGCGGAAAACAATTCAGGATCAGTTGCCAGAAGAAATGCAACAAGGATGTCATGGAGAGAAGAGGACGAGGAATGGGGAGAAGAAATCAACTAGACGGTATAGGCACAAGTCAGATACCACCCAGAGTAGCATGTCAAATGTCTCCAATCATTCTGATTCAGGTGATTCACATGACAGTGATGTATCAAAGGTATGTGTCAACAAACGCCGAAGAACTGATCTTGTCAGATCCAATAATCGATCTCGGGCAGAATTGGGAGAGTTATCCCCCCTTGCCAGCAAAGGTGTTGCTGGAGCAGACTATGGGCGGCCTGCTTTGAATAGCCATCAAAAGACAGCATGGAAACAAATTGAACTTCTGAAGGATAGTGTGAAAAGGTTTTCCAGATTGGCAGAAAGGTCGAGGAAAACTAAAAACAGTTCTTCCAGACACACAGGGCTTGATGACAGTATTATCTTCTTGGAGGACCCAGGTTTTGTGCAATCGTCACCACATGTAGTGGGTCACAAAATGGTTGTCAAAGGGGTCAGTTCACCTTCTTCCACTCCAGGGAGGAGGAAAAAGATTCAGGATGCAGATGAGGATGTGAGTATTTCATTTTTTATCTAATCCTGCACTACTTACTTCCTGCACTTATTGTGCACAACTTGACACATTGCTGCTGGAGGATATTGAAACATAGAACTATGATCACTTCGAGTCATAAGCAATAAATGCAGAAAATAAGTAGTACAGGATAAGTATACAAATAATTATATAAAATATGATTGTATAAAAAATATTTAGATTTACTAGATTTGTGGATCCATCGCCAAAAGTCAATAAGGAAAGAATCTGTTTCAGGGTACCAGACATCATCAATGGAAATATTATACCCCTTCCGTCAATCTGACCATTGATCCAAGCTATTACACTGAAATTCAAACTCCTCCTAATTTGATGGACATCTTTTTCAAATGTACTACATTTTTTCAATGTTTAAAACAAAATAAACTATTCATTTTGAAAAACAAAATGTTTGCAATAGCATCTCATAAGAGGATGGCTCTTAAATCCTGCTTTACAATGGAGGTGTTGATCATGAAAACTTCCGACTTCAAATAGACTCATTTATGTCTTTTACTGACTTTTCATGTGTTTCTGCAATTCCAAAGATTTGTCTTTAAGGATTACTTTTGAAGTTTTACCAATTTGAATATGTTTGAAAAGCATATGTATGTTCCAGTAAGACCAATAGGGTTGTTATTACGCCTCAATCTGTTCCAGAAGAAAATGAGTAAAATATTGGCCTAGCATGTTAGATCAACAGAAAGTTGTTTCAGTTTTGTTATTTAACGTCATCATACTGTCAGATGAATTTGAAACTTTCCCTTTTCAGGAAATATTGTTCCTGACAGCCTAACAAGACAACATCCTGTCAAGAAGAGGAATGATATGTTCAATCCTATCTCAACACACTGTATGACAGAAGCATAGGGCTAGCTGGAATCACAGTGTGTGAAGCCCGTACTTCACCCCACCCATATAGACCCGTGAAGATCCGGGTTAGAATTGGTCTTGAGTAAACCATGCTTGTCGTAAGAGGCGACTAACGGAATCGGGTGGTCAGGCTCCCTGACTTGGTTGACACATGTCATCGGTTCCCAATTGCGTAGATCGATGTCATGATGTTGATCACTGGATTGTCTGGTCCAGACTCAATTATTTACAGACCGCCGCCATATAGCTGGAATATTGCTGAGTGCGGCGTTTAAACAACAAACCCACCCATACAGTACTGGGGTGAGTGGAGGACATCAGAAATGGGCTTCACACATGGTACCTATGTTGGGTATTGAACCCTGGTCTTCGGTGTGACAAGCAAACACTTCAACCACTAGGCTACCCCAGCGCCCCAGACAGCACCGGAATGTTGATTCTAGTAGCATTTATTATGATACTCACCTGCAATCATTTACCTAGTCAACCTCCAAAGCACAGTGTGTGCAAACTGTATTGTATTATCTAGGGACCAGTTCAAAATCGATGTCAGATAAAAATCTTAATTCGTTCATGATGTTAGGGGTGGGAGGATTATGGCACTGCAAGTTTCCAAACTGTTAAAATCAACTTATTTTTCAGTGTTCATGTAGAAACTAAAGTAAGCAATAACTCCCTATTTCACTGATCCTGTTGTCAATCAATCCAAACTGAACATTTCAATACTCATGTCCTTGTGTAAACATCCCAGTACAGTGGTCATGTTATTTTGAAATTAATATGGAATTGTTCTAAAATGTGCATCTTCTTGATGGTGACAGAACTTTTTGAGTATTACATGGAATTCAACAGTTTCTTAATTAGATTTAATTAAGTTGGGGTGTAGCAAAGGTTGTGTCAAAACTCTAGGAATTTAATTGTTTATCAAACATTAATCTTTTGAACTGTTCCTAGATATTATGTGACTCATTCCCAATACTGTTTTCAGAAACTCAGCTGCAAAATGGTCAGAAGTTTTCCATTTTGTACTGGATTGTGTTATCTCTGTTAATTCTGTTAATCTGTATTATGTGTAGCTAGAGTTACTTCCCTTGGAAATGTTCTCTCTCCACCCCCCCCACCCCCTCCCCCCTATCAAATTTATAGCTGTTTCTTATCTTACAATTAAATATGGGAATTTCCTTCTCTTTGAGAGAAGGGCGTAAATGTAGCTCTTCCTCGTCCTGACGGCCCAACGGCAGCAGCCACCCAAGAATTAGAAAAGGCATGTTTTTTAGCTCTGTATTACATTATTGAACTGAGAATGTGGGACTGAAATTTGATTTTGTTTACTCTATTTAAGCTTTGTCTTCAGTGTAGAGAAAGGATTTATTGTAAATATAATTTATGAAGAAATGGCCATTATATATACATTCATGAAAGCCTTGTATGTTCTGTTATTAAAGCTGCCGATTTATGATAGTGCCAGCAACATGTTTTGTAGTCTTGTAGTTACTAGTTATGCCAAACTCTGCTGAAGTGGGTTCCAATTCCATATATGCCTTGAGTATGATCCTTGGTTTTGAGTTCGAGTGATTAAGATAACAAGCCCAGGTAAGAGTGAAATACTCATAGGCATGGTTTAACTTGACTGACAGAATGGTACATTCTCAAGTGCTATGGTTCTGAATATTGGTACTGTGACTACCAAGCAATTCTCTAGTTGTTCGTTGTACATATATATGCAAGATGCACAACATAATTGTACTTACATTGCATGTGTTATTGTACATATTCTGTAAATTCCATTTGTGTCACATCAAACATGACTAGGAATCGTCCCACGTGGAATTTGCCTCATGTTATGATGGTGCTCTCGTGCAATAAAGGACTCTTCAATCTATTGACGGAATTTAGTAATTTCAAACATGAACTCTTGTTGTCCGTTTGATTTCATTTGAGACTGATGAATTAGTTACTAACACAAAATCAACAATCAATAAATGCAAGAAACCAAATTTTGCAGTCACATGAAATCGACAGACCAACTCTGATGATTTGTCTCATAATTTTGGACACCCGAATAAAAGAGTTGTTTAACAAACGATCATTATTTTTTTGTCACATTTCGCTATTTCTTACGAGGGGGGACCACTTGCTGGTAGAACAGCCAGGTGTGTGAGATGCATGTGTGAAATCGAAATTTCACTACACACGCTTGAACTTTTTTATTCGTTTGTCCAAAATTATGAGAGAAATCATCAGAGTTGGTCTGGTGATTTCATGTGACTGCAAAATTTGGTTTTCTTGCAATCATTAGATTTTGTGTTAGTCAGCAATTCACTGGTCTTCAATGAAATCAACCAGACTGTAGTGTGTGAATGAGTGCATGCATGTGTACATGAGAGTTTAAGTTGAGTATATGAATTAATGCTGCAGCCTCTAAATAATGGAGTCAGGGCTAGTGACTGGAAACAGGAGCAACTATTGATTTCATCAGGGCACTTTGACATGTGATCATATTTCCAGTCAGTAGACCAGGCCAATCCAGATAGTGAAGAGCAAGACATCTGGCTTGCAATATTCCAGCAACATTATGGAAGGGCCCAATAATGGGCTTCCCATTTTTATAAATGAGGCGAACCCAGTCTTTTGCCAGGATGATTGAACCCAGATACTTTTGCCATGATGAGCCAATGCCTGTCCTTATTTTTTTCAATATGTACTGGAAAACAATACTGCATTTAGAGTACTGAATAGAATTTAAGTTAAGGGACTTAATATATGCACCACAACATTGCTACTCATGGTAGTAAACAATAAAACAATACTTTTCAGATAAATAAGTCTGTAAATGATTCTGTACACCAATTCTGTTTCGTTTTAAAAAGTACTTGTAACACTTATCTGGAGCCCTAGCATTGCTTCAAAATCTTAACCAAGGACATACCACTTCTGTTTTCACAAAAAGATATACATCTCAAATGTTAAGCACGTATGTAGATATACATCTCAACTACATATATAGTTATAAAAATCTTTATTGACATAAGTATGTACACAACATGGTGAACATCACAAAGAATAAACAACATGACTTCTCTCCCCATCAATGTTTGTTTACTGAGTACAAGTTCCAATAAATATGTTCATACCTTGTCAAACATTTGGTTTACAAAACCCACAGGTCTTAATCAGCTGTAACAGTAATGTTAAAAACATTGTCTCTGGTTTACATCTACAGCAATACTTGATGCCAGAAAAATAACATTGATGGAGAACATTCATTTGTATCTGATAATGTAAGATAACCATACATCATTCACAAGAATTTCAAATTCACCGATTGCACTAAGAAGGATTGCATATTCTTACAATCTCATGTTCATACATGAACTATATACTGCAAACAACTGTACACATCAACATAAATACAAAAATAGCTCTAGCCTGAGCGAATTTGCTAATGTCCAAAACAATTAAATATCAATACACTGATTCCTGAAAAATGCTTGGACTTCATAAATAATGTTCATTTATTTTGTGTCTGTAGATCTTCAATGTCGATGACTTTCAAGTCCACCTGGGACAGCTCGACAAATCAACTGCTGCCACATCCATCACAATGATTTTACATCTCCACAACCTCAGTTTCTTGGTTTGGGTTTTTGAAGTATATTTAAAAATTTTCCTCTTGTCATTTCTCGAGCTGTGGAGAAAAATGAACATTGAGTCAAAGTTTTCTGACAGTAGACACAGCACTGCATTGAAATGAGTGAGAGGAGTATTACGCCACTTTTAGCAATATTCCAGCAATATCACAGCGAGGGAACACCAGAAATGGGCCTCACACATTGTAGCCATGTGGGGAATCGAACCCGGGTCTTCGGCGTGACAAGCGAACGCTTTAACCACTAGGCTACTCCACCGCCCTGCATTGAAATGAATTTGAATAACAAAACAAAGTTACAAAACAAAATCCCAACATTTTAGCTTGTTTCTGTTTAAAAATAGAATCTTCTGCCATGAAAGAAATCTTGGTTTGACCAACCTTCAGCATGTCCGAGTTGGTAAGCCAGATTCTGTAGTCCCGCACCTTCTCCATCAATTGTGAATGAGTCAAACTCCCAAACTCTGAAAATACAACATTTTGCAACATGTAAAAACACTGAGTTTAAAAGATAGCATTGTAAACACTGAAAGAAGAAGAAAGTGATGTTTCAAAGAGTTATGATATGTTTTGATCTGCAACGTGAGTGGACAAATTTACTGTTACGAAAAATAGCTCTACCTTTTCACAGGGCAACCAAGTGAAAACCTCCAGCAAATCTTTTTGATAACAAATCATGGATATGGAATATTGGTCTTTGCATGTGTTGTATGAGATGGTAAATAATAGTATGTAGCAGTGTTTCTGTTATCCGGTGTATATTGCAGTTTGACTGGTACAAAGTTAGAATGTCCGGTAATTTCAAAGGCTGTCGGTCATCATGTCCAGCAAATTTTAAAATCAACTTTTGTAATTACCTCTGTCAGTTTTATATCTCCTCGACAAAGATTACATTTTCACAATGACATTGACGTGTTGTCAAATAAAAAATAGCAGTTCTGGAAAACCCCAGGCTAAAAATAGTGCCATTGATGCATTGCGATACCCTCTACATTTCTGATAGGTTGTTAGGGTGCAAGGTCTCGTGCACAATGAAAAGCGAGATCACTTGACCGGTAAAAATTACAAATGACCGGTATTTGAAATGCTAGCTGGTCACAATGTCCGGCTGTAAAGAATGCCAGCGGAAACACTGATGTAGTGATTCTGGTTCAGAGATATCTTCAAGACAGTTCCATCCTTGAGAGCTCCAGGCTCACATTTCTGTAAAACTCTGCTTATCATTGCAATATGACAGCCAATGCAGATGACCAGATGGTGGCCACATGAATACGTGCAAACACCTAGTTGCGGGTACCTCTACGTGCAGTAAAACTTGGACAAAGTACTGTGAATATGTGTCCCAGTCCAACCAGCTGTGAATGGGTACCTCGTAAGAATGGGCAAACCACATTAACTCGGTGCGCCTTGTGGCTGCAAGAGTTGTATGATCCCCATGGAGCAGAGATTAATAATATAATATGCCGTTCGAGAATGACATCCAATGATCGAAGGGAAAACAAAGCGCCTTTGAGCAGCTGAGCTGAGCATTGGCGCTATACAAATTATATATAAATAAATAAAAAACATAAAAATCTCACACACTACCAACTGACCTTGCAGCAGCTCAAGGTCATCATTTTCGAGTTCCGCAAGCCATTTTGGTGGAGAGTCGGAAGCTGAAACCGGCTGGAAAAGAAAAAGACTTCATGGTGAAAACATCACCCTGGAAATGCACAGAAAATATTAAGTCACTGGAAATCAATACAAGCCAACATTCAACCAACACATCAAACTATGACGTTGACTGGGGAAAATGGATATTATCTCATTGAAATACTGATGAGAAGACTGACTAACTGAGTTTGGTTTTACGCCGCTTTTAGCAATATTCCAGCAATATCACGGCGGGGGACACCAGGAATGGGCTTCACACATTGTGCCCATGTGGGGATTCGTACCCGGGTCTTCGGCGTGACGAGCCAACGCTTTAACCATTAGGCTACCCCACCGCCCCTGATGAGAAGAGGTGAGATGGGGCTGAATGTCACATTCCAAAAAGGGGCAACAGGGTAGCTTAGTGATTAAACTGTTCACTCATCACACTGAAGACCCAGTTCGATTCCCCACATGGGTACAATGTTTTAAGTCCATTTGTGGTGTCCCTTGCTGGAATATTGCAAAAGCAGGGCAAAACTAAATTCCTTGATCACATTCAAAATTAAAGCACTTATATAGCAGGGGGTAAATGATAGACCAGTGAATCATTAGGTTTCATGGGACAATACAAAAAGTTATATTTACGACTGATACAACAGAGTACACTTGATAAATTATTTGGTAATGACACGCCCATCCACAGCTTTTGTAAATTTAATATCGCAAAATGAACTGTAATTAGCATTTTCAAAATAACCACCACAAACATGCATGTTTAGCTAGTTTATCCTGCTCTGAAATATTTCTAGTCACACATTCAAATGTATGTCTCCCCCTCTCTCTTTCTTACTGTGTCTGTGTGAGCGAGTGTGTTTGTTATCTCCTTACAGCAAAGCACCAGGCAGTGCAGCAACTAATACCGTATCTTGACACCTTTCCATGTGAAGCAACTAGGGATAGGGGTGAAACAGTATGCTCATACCACGGAAGTGTTGGGAATTGGTTAAAATCTCATAATTGAAGATTGGTTCATTACAACCGATCAATCATTGAAAATAATTGGTTAGCGTCATTTATCAAATGTTCCTGTTATCTTTGTTAATGCACACACAAAAATAAAGACAAAATGTAGTAATTTGGTTTTTTGCAAATTGCACAAAATCCATTGGCAAATTTTGCATATTTAAAGGATGATTAGTATGTTAGGAACACATATTTCCTGGATTCTTTAAGATAAATTCAATCATGACTTGGAATGAGCTTGTAGTGCTTATGAAATGTAAATTTAATGACACAGACAAAACCAAATATTGTTGATGCAAACAAGTGTTCAAAAATTGGTTGTGTTCGATTATGAGAAAACACAATCGATTGCTTGGTCGTTTAGGCACTGCGACCAGTCTTCGATTGTTTCAATTAATCGGACCACCACTATACCACGGTACGGTACATATTGCGGTACAGGGCCTTTGTTTCAGTCTGTTTCTGTTCAGTATAGAGAACTTACTTCCGGGAAAATAGTGTCCTATAGCAAAGAAATGCATAGATTTTGACAAAATGATTCGATTTCTGGACATTTTAAAAAAAAATAATTCAAGGTTAATAAAATAATGGTACTAAAACCGAAAATACTGATTTTTTTATTGCATTACGGTATACCGAACCGATGGCAAAATACTGCAGTTCTACTAAAACCGAAAATACTGATTTTTTTATTGCATTACGGTATACCGAAACGATGGCAAAATACTGCAGTTCTACTAAAACCGAAAATACTGATTTTTTTATTGCATTACGGTATACCGAACCGATGGCAAAATACTGCAGTTCTACTAATACCGCGATGTACCGTTTCACCCCTAACTAGGGATCCCACCAACAACCTTCCACTCTCCTGGCATAAACTCTATACACTACACCACTAAGACTTGACAGTATTTCATATACTGTGGCCTTAAAAACAATCAATAACCTGATGGGTACATACTACAACTTACACTTTTTATGGCAGCAAACTCGGACACACCAGGAACTGAAATAAAAAACATAGTGAATGTTAATCATTTGGACTTGGAACATTCTATCGCATTAATCCATTTCCTTGGATCTCCCAGTAGAGTTGGATCTGGCCCCATCCTGAATATTTTAGTGCTAGCAATGTAGCATACCTCTTGTGCCAGCTGATATAATAAAAGTGTTCAAAACTTCATTTCTCTCCCTCCTGCTGTAATGTTCACTTTTAGGGCTGCAATGATTCCGTTCGATTCATCGAAAATCGAATCTGACACCTTAGTTTTGATTTTTGATAACCATTATCACTATTTCAATTTGATATATGAATACCTATATAAAATATTTCCACATAAACAGAACATAATTTTGACTCCAACTCGAGCAGTTTAGAGCACTGAAATAAGGTGAAACGTGATTGGTTGACGCTGGGCTTATTATCCAATGAGAATTTTTGTTAGTAGACATTGCCAATTTGACGATGGATTTCACGCTAAACAAGCTGACTCTGAGAGTTACATGAAATCTGATGTTTTTACTTGTATGAAGAATTGAATGGAAAATGAGCGATTCCAGGGTCCAATATTGAAAATCGAATCGAATAGAGGTCTGGGTGCAGCCCTATTCACTTTCAATGCATGATTTTAAATCAGTTGTTTTCATCATTCTTCCTAGTTCTGCTATGACAGTCCATTCACAGATTAATATATTTATCATTACTACACAGTGTTAAGCGCATAAAACTTGGTGTGCAAACAGGGCTCCAGATAATTTTTCAACATCAGGAGTACGTACACCTTATTTTTTCAATATATGAGTATTGAGAAAACAATAAGAGTACATTTAGAGTACTGAATGGAATTTAATGGTGTATCATTAGCACTTGTGCTTCATTTCATATATGTCTGTAAATGATTCACCATTACACAATTGCTGTGTGCAGCGTTTTTTAAATTATTTCCTACCATATCGGTGTATATAGGTGTAGCCCTGTGCAAATTTGAGTTTAGGGATGTCAATATTCACTGCCTCACTGATGCACTATGAACACATATGCCATGATGCATCTGCCAATGTGACACAATTCACCAATTTCAGTTCTATGTTGTCTAATAAGAAGTTTAACAGAGGCCCAGATAAGGTACATATCCGGGTAAAATATGCATATAAAATTTCCAATTACGCATTGAAAAATAATTGTTGCATACCAATTACGCATTTAAAATGTTAGATACACAAAAAGTTTAAAACAAATGCGTACAGAATATATTTATAAAAATTGCTTGCGTAATGAAAAAGACATCGATTGCTATCAAGTTGTCCTGTTAGTTTAGGACTAGTGTTGTACAGTCAGGTATAGGATGAGTGATTTCTTATGAAATCATTTCCATTATATTTAAGTTGGTTTTGATTAGGTATGACATAAGGCAGAACATACCTGTGACATAATACTTAGGTGAGTAAAATGACTGAAATACGCACATATTTGAAAGCAGTGGGTAACGGAAAATGAAATCCCCACTCAAAATTCATGATACCCACTCCAAAAAAATACAGTGGGTACAGTACAGTACAGCTAAATCTTATCTGGAGCTCTGTTTAACATTTAGAAGAGTGAGTGAGTGAGTATAGCCTTACGCCACACTCAGCAATATTCCAGCTATATGGCGGCGGTCTGTAAATAATTGAGTCTGGACCAGACAATCCTGTGATCAACATCATGACATCGATCTACGCAATTGGGAATCGATGGTATGTCAGCAAGCCTGACCACCCATTCCAGTTAGTCGCCTCTTACAAGAAGCATTGGTTACTGAAGGCCAATATTCTAACCCAGACCTTCAAGGGTCACATTTACAAGAACCTGCTCTGATGTCTATGTGCTGATATCTGCCACTGGACGTCTTGCATTACTTCATTGACTTACTTTGTTCGGGCCACAGATCGGGCGAGGCTCGATCCAACTTTTCTAAACTCAACAGGCCATGGTCTTCATCTGAAAAGAGAAAACATCAACTAAAAATCCGAATACAGAAACATACCGGTAGTGTTGGGAATTGGTTGAAATCTCACAATTGATGATTGGTTTAATACCAACGACCAATCATCGAAAAAAAATTGGTTAGCGTCATTTTTTAGAGTTTCCTATTCAGGTTGTAGTTGCAAATAAGTATAAAGAAAAAAAACATTTGGTTCTCTGTTGATTTTTTTAGAAACTGCACAAATTACATTTGCAGATTTCACATCCAGTGTAAAATGATTCAGTTCCAGTGTAACATTAACTTCCCAGATTCTTCAAGAAATCTTCAGTCATGACTTTTCAGAAAGTGGAGTGAGTTTTCTTAGAAATAAACACTTTTTCAAGCCCTGACAATGTCCTAGATATGTTCCATCATCAAGTATCTCAAACTCTATTACAGCGGTTCCAAAATCGTTTGTGTTCGATTATGAGAAAATGTAATCGATTGCTTGGTCGTTTGGCCACTGCGACCAATCTTCGATTATTTCAATTAATTGGACCACCACTACATACACCACTACATACCGTACCCGGTGCCATTTTCTTGATCGGGACTGTCATACTGTTGCATGCGATGCATTTAATTGCGTTATATAAGAAATGAGCATCACAATGACAAATATTTCACAATATTACACGCAATCAGGCAAACTGGAACAACTACACACAGCCTTTGTTTTGAGGTGAGGAATAGGGACCCATTAGATGTTTAGGGTATAGGGTACATTTCCTGTTTTTTTTAATTTGTTTAGGGTACATATCTGTATACAAAACAACGTACCTATTAAGGGTGAAACGGTACGCTCTTACCACGGTACGGTACGTATTGCGGTACAAGGCCTTCGGTTCGGTCCGTTTCAGTTCGGTATATTAGATATGATCACAATGCAGAAAATTGACAAGAGCCAAACCTGACAATGTTTAATAACATGGGAAAAATAATAGCCATAATCTTTGTTATTTTGAATGAACAAAACTGTCATTTTATGACTTGATAGGAGTGAGTGAGTTTGGTTTTACACCGCTTTTAGCAATATTCCAGCAATATCAAGGCGGGGGACACCAGAAATGGGCTTCACATATTGTACCCATGTGAAGAAACCACTTGGCTACACTACCACCCCCTAGACAGAAGGAACCGAATTTTGGAATTGCACTACGGTATACCGAACCGAAGGCAAAATACCGCGGTTCTACTAATACCACAGTACATTGGGAGCTGTCTAAACCGGCACCCATCGGGACTGAAGAAATTATCCGGTTTGGACAGCGTGCGCCGGACTGTAGAGCTGGCAAGGTTACATACGACTAGAACTGAACATTGTAGTGTTGTAACACGTGCTTCTCTCAATTACTTGACAATACAATACATGACAAAGATTTCAGCTCATATTCACACATATTCACACATGGTTTTGGAGCCAATGTTTTGTTCATATTTAGACTGACAGAAGACTTTCTTCCTAAGAATGTCTGAAACAGTTTGTCTGGCAATTGGATATTTCGAAGCAAGTTCTTTTTGAGATGGCCGAGGGATAGACTCAAGTCTTTTATCAACTTCACTTTCTGATCTAAAGTAAGTTCCAAACGTGCCCACTTTTTCTGGCTTTGCCATGTTGATACGATGAGTGGCTGTTGGTTTTTCAAAAGTCGCCCCCTATTTAGCATTCCCCATGAGTGACACGTGTCAAGTCACTAATTACATTTACTTGTATAACCATACTGAACAAACACTCAATTATCTTTGTCGGCACTTAACTTGTGATGCCGCACGCTCATAATCCCTTGTTATTTCAATGCAGGATTTAATTGGTGACAATACACATCCGTCCGACTCACCATGTGCCGAATTAGACAGCGCTGATTACTATATAAACACATATTCGGGCGGCTCATTTCATGCCGAGATACGGAATTACCAGCTGCTGGATTGCAGAGCTTTTAAATGATAATAAATATACTAGCCACAGATCGAACTGAGATTTTATGCCGGTGTTGACAACTTGCCGGATTTGACAGCTGCCGATTTACACAGCTTCCACTGTATACCGTTTCAGCCCTAGTACCTGAGATACATATCTGAGTAAATGTCCCAACAACAATCCGGTGATCCCTTCAGCATAACTTACCCTTACTGGACCCACCTAACCCTAAGGATCAAAGAGTGAGTGAGTTTAGTTTTACGCCACTTTTAGCAATATTCCAGCAATATCATGGCAGGGAAACTCCAAACATTATACTATTTTTTCAAATAAGTGTCACCCATTGATCAAATTGTGACAATGGACTAAAATTGTTTTGGCGACTTGTCCTTTGTTTAGTTAACATATGATAGGTGGCTTCTTTATTGTCGTTTTTAGTTAAAGGTCACATGCAACAAAAAAATCAAACATAATTAAAACACAATTATCACTTATTCATGACATATAATATACATTGCTGATTATGGAAAAGCATAAAAAAAAAAATAATAAGCGTACAATCGCAAATCAAAAGTGCAATATTTTGTACTTGGGTTTACTTCCCTTGAAACGAAGCACCTGGGATAGTGATACCGAACCCAGTCAGAGCGGGTGGCTGTGCACTCAAGTGTAACAGCTGGTTCATTTGCCGATGACCTCACGGCTCTGTGTGTGTGTGTGTGTGTGTGTGTGTGTGTGTGAGAGAGAGGAGTGAGTGTGAGTGAGTGAGTGAGTGAGTGAGTGAGTGAGTGAGTGAGTGAGTGAGTGAGTGAGTGAGTGAGTGAGTGAGTGAGTGAGTGAGTGAACTTGGGCCATAAATCAATGCGTTTTGTTTATGGTGTATACTGGTTGACACATAGCTGAGTAGATCTAGTTCCTAACAAGGTTCTTTTATGTAATGAGTAGATTATTTACTGTTTTGATTAGACTACTCCTGCTCACGACTTTATATTCCGGACATCCGCTTCCAAGCCGCGCGAACCTATTTCACTGCGCATGTGCTATGAGCGCAGCCCAGCACAGCCGTTGAAACCACTTTTTCCCCCAAGCGCTGGGGTGAATTTAGTGAATCGTTTGAACTCCGATTTCGCAGGGGTTTTTTCATCGCGTTATTTTTCAACTTTATAAGTTGAATTTGCATTTTTGATGATTTGTATCTGTAATTCCATACCGAAAGGTATCAGAATCTGCCAAGTTGTGGTTTACGCTTCATGGGACCTTTAACATATGATAATATTAATCTTTTCATGTTTATTTGTTCTTTAATCTTGCATTCTCTACTTTTATTGTATTATCTTAATTTCTACGTATAGAATCTGTTCTGAGATAAAATAATACATGTTAATGGGTCATTCTATGGAAAAGGGCAATTTCAGCTTTTGTTCTTAAGAAAATTTTATTTGTATTTTCTGTATTTTTTATGTCTTCATGTAAACTACTTTGGTTTGTATGATTGGTATATTGCATCAGCAGAGACGTTTGGACAAGAATTTTCCATAACATTTATTGTGACGTTTCAACCTTAAATCAAAATGTCAATACTGCAACAGCTGAAAAAATACACATTTTGGAAAATCTAGTCATAAATGTTGCTTAAAAACAGCTATGAAACGGAAAGACTTGTAAGGCATCACCTACAAACGTATGTGGTGTGGAGCACCTTTAGAATTCAGCACCACAACTTCTTGTGAGGACGTTCTCTGCCATAGGTCACATATCGCAAGCAACCAGTTTGTGAGAATCCGCAACCTTCGGATTGTTAGCCCGACAGCTAACCAACTGAGTTACGTCCACACTGTTACACAGCGTGCAAATTTATTGAGTCATTCCTGTGACGTCACGTAAATGAACGGAAAGAGTCGAATAGGTCACGGACAATTATAAAAGCTACGGGTAGACTTGGTGTCACGTGATTTTAATCTATGGACGTCAAATAGGCCCCGATGCCATTTAGCACACTCGTCACTCATTCCGTAATCTATAAGACTCTGTCTGTGTGGTGTGGAATGACCCGAAATGGCTCGAACTGAACAGGGTTGTTGACGTCAGGTGTCAGACGTCAATTTCACGGTGTATCCATAAATGACGTTCTTTTATAAAAATCGTTAGGTGATTTTGTGACAGAAAAGTGTTGTAGGGAACACTGTAAAGATAATGTGGATCACACTAAAGAATGAGGGAGACATGATCATGTCTAGTGATGGAATGAGGATGAGTTAGACATCGAATCATTACTAAACAAATGTAGCATGTGAAAGGCCAATTTCCATTAGCCCAAAATTTCTACATTCAACCATTTCATTGTGTACTTTCGAGGTTTTTGGTTTCCCGTTTTTGTGTGAAAAGGAAAAATAACAAATGGTACTCATGCATTACACCAGACATCTACCTACTATATTGGATTAGGTCCCTTACCCTAACCTTAACCTCTCGAAATAATCCTAATAAATAGAATACATTGCCCGAAGCAGCACGAAAATGGCTGACGTGTCCAGTATAATGCATATACCGCTTCGAGCAATAAAATACTAATTAGTAATAAACTCTATTCCTGTGTAATGATGCAAATTACTGAATGAACAAAATATATATGTATATAAGTTCACATTTATAATTCATTTAGTTTTAATACTTATGTTGAAACTGAAATATAAAATATATCTCAATAATTAAACTGACCAACTGTGAATAATAGAATATGGCTGAATGTGACGGTGTAACACATTCTTACTGAATTAAAAATTAAAAAAATACAAAATACACAAAATATAACACCTCAGCACCTCTTAATACAAATAAATGTGAGCATATTAGTGAAAAAAGAAAAATATTTTAAACTGGTGCTTGCGAAAAAGTTGCGCATCTGCCGGTAAACAACTACTGGAAACTGGAAACATTGTTGGGCTTATGCAATGACATAGCTAGTAGAGATGAAACATTAGTGAGCGGAGCTTACACACACTCGCTGAGCTAGACAACCGTTTTGCTATGTCAGCATCACAGGGCATTGTTTTGAAAACGTGCTTTGGAACAAAATCACATAAAATTATGTAAAAGGGTATTATGACGTATTTTTAAAGTTTGTGGTGCTGTATTCTGAAATTAGGCCGTAGTTGTTTATTTGTGCAACAAATGGTCATTCTTCTAAAAGATTTTTTTTTATAGTTTTTAGCATGAACGTAAACATAAGAATTAAGGCAACAATAGCTCTTATCTCAAACAGTTATCAGAAAATGATAAAACTTTGAAACCCTCCCATAAGTTAGATTGCTTCAAGGAAAAAACTTGTATAATCATAAATAATTCAACTGGATTTCTAGATTCGTGAATATTTTAGTATTTGATACCCATTATTTATGGTAACATGAAATTAGCTAATAGCTCATTGCCAGGAAAGCCACATTCATACATTCACTCAACCATGCCCATTGCCGCTTGAGCGACACCATTTTCAACTCTGATTTTCTTAAATGTGGCTTTCCTGGGCCATAACCAGAGCCAGGGTCAGCAGTCTGAACCAATGAGTAAACTGCACTCTTGCCTGGTATGGGTTCTTGAAGGAGTTGAAAGGGGGTCTGAGGGATAAGGATTATGTACAGACCACAGGGGCTTGTATTGCTGAAAATAATACGTCCTGGGTCCTACAAGCGTACACTGATATCCATATACATATAAAGAAGGAAAGGGATGTAACGCACACAAACTTGTCAAACACCCCCCTCTCGTAAATGGGCGAAATCTGGATGGGAAATTGTGAAATACACAGCCGGGATTCTTACTGAAATAAAGCCAGATGGTCGTCGTTGGTGCGAGTCTATTGAAGGTGAAGGACAAACATGGTGGCCTCGATCAGTCGATACCGCTAATTTTCCAATAAAGTCGTGTATGGCAGGTAAAATCAGTAACTCATTTCATTTGAGATGTTGTCATGCGAAAGCGGAATATCTAGCGATTACGAAAAGGTTATGTCTTTTCGCCGATTGCGTTTTCCATTTAAATACTTAGTATTTCTTCAGCCGAGAGGCGATGATATCCCGTGAGGCAGGTTTTTGGCATTACAAATGAAAAGTTGTCTTTCCCCGAAGTTCCAAGCAAAGTTACTCGGTCAATAGAGCACCGATTTTGATAATTTTGGATTTAATCGAAAGGGAATTCATCTGGCTTTATTTCAGTAAGAATCCCGGCTGTGTATTTCACAATTTCCCACCCAGATTTCGCCCATTTACGAGAGGGGGGTGTTTGACAAGTTTGTGTGCGTTACATCCCTTTCCTTCTTTATATGTATATGGATATCAGTGTACGCTTGTAGGACCCAGGACGTATTATTTTCAGCAATACAAGCCCCTGTGGTACAGACTGTCTGAGTTCAGCAAGCTAAACGTCGTGTTCCTGCCTGGCAGGAACACGACGTTTAGCTTGCTGAACTAAGACTGACTACCCAAATATAACCCTTCGTAAGAATAACGAGAGTTCTATGAAGTGAGAGAGACAGTCTGAGTCAAATGGCACCAGATAAACTGCATTGTAAATGAACGACCTCATATATATATTAAGTATTTATTTAGATCTAGAGAGAGGATTTGGTATCGATTATGTCGGACTTACAAATATTGGGGCAAGTGATCACTGTATTCACACCATTTCATTATTATATAAAATCTAAAAATACATACATGGGCAATTGAAACAACTGTCCAATTGTGAATAGCGCATAAACAACTTTCAACGTTTTCGTGTTTGTCGTGCATCACAAGGTTTGAAATTACCTCCACTATCAAAATGCGAATTACCCGCATTTTGACCCGCCATCTTGGTTATATAATCTCGAAACAAAATGTTTCTCTGAGAAACTATGCATAAGTTTATATAAACAACTGAAAGTTACCATGAATTAGAGCAAACTGTATTTCATGTCTAGCGACTATTTTTTTAAACTAAAAGGTTACAGCTGAGGTAAAATAGCACGCGGAATTATGTGACTGGTCGTTGGTCTACGCGTACGTGCGAAAGGGAGTGCAAACACGTTAGCGCAAATTTCCAAAGTAACCAGTTATATAAACAGAGCGTAACTTGACCAATGAAAAAACATCGCAGGGGCATACCTCCTCAGGGTCAAGGACACGCACCTGGTTGACGAGCTGAATCGCTTGCTGCAGAATCTGTCCGAGGTGTTATAACCAGCATTTGTCATGGCGTCACTTCATCGTTTGGTTCATGTTGGGAAGGTGAAATATCAAATTACGTATTTGTCTGTGCTTACGAAATGATACGTCACGCCCTAGAAGTATAAAACACAGCACGTACATATGTGCGTGACCTCGGATCAAGTTTTATGTAAAAACATCAAAATGAATTTGTGATTAAATCCTCTCCTTTGCAAGATATCCAATGCAATAAACTAAATGTTATATATCATTTTCAGTTACTTTCTGAAAGAATGTGTTGTACTTTTACATTTTATGATTCGTGCATGTTGTAAAACATTCTAACAAAACTAAAGCTATATTTTACTATTTTCAAAGAACACAGTCCAATATTTATTTAACTGTGATTTTTTTGCAAAGTGAACAACATATAAGTTTCTTCTGAACCCTTGTTCACTCATGCATGCTGTTTAACTTCCACACAACCTCAAAGCCTTAATTGTTGGTGATTAATGACGATAGTATTAAGTCATTTTTTACTGGTGCCAAGACACTCAACCCTGGCTTGAGGCCATTAATTCTAGGTGAAATCTGACCATAGCACATACAAATTGAAAGATATAGAGTAACTGTCTAAGGATGATATTACAGACTGATGAGTCATAGTTGACAAATTCTGTTAATACACAAGATGCCTTTTGTCATATTTGGTTAGAAGTAAGAACTAGTGCTGGGAATTGGTTAAAATCTCATAATTGATGATTGGTTCATTACAACTGATCAATCATCGAAAATAATTTGTTAGCGTCATTTATGAAATATTCCTGATTATTTTTGTTAATGGACAAAAAAAATAAAGAAAAAAAACATGTAGTTCTTTGGTGTGTTTGCAAATTGCACAAAATGCATTTGCAAAATTCACAAGTTTCAAGGATGACTAGTAGGTTAGGAACATTAATTTCTTGGAGTCGTTACGATAAATTCAATCATGACTTGGAACAAGCTTGTAGTGGTCATGAAATGTAACAGCCACAACCAACCTTGTGAAATATATTGTTAATGCAAACAAGTGTTCCAGTATTGTTTGTGCTGCTTGGTCGTTTAGTCACTGTGACCAATCTTCAATTATTTCAATTAATCAGACCACCGCTAGTAAGAACCCCAAACAAAGATCCGGGTTAGAATTGATCTTCAGTATGCCATGCTTGTTGTAAGAGGCGACTCACATGTCATCGTATCACAATTGCGTAGATCAAGACTCATGCTGGTTATCACTGGATTGTCTGGTCCAGATTCCTGCCATGTAGCTGGAATATTGCTGAGTGCAGCGTTAAACAACCAACCAATCAACCCAAACAAAGAAACCCTTGAGAACAAGCTATCAGTTTTGAAGGATGTTAATGTTAAATAGTGCATACAATCATTGTGAGTTGATTAATTTGTGTTCATTTCAGATCTTGAGTGGAGGAAACTTTTCAAGATGCTACGCGACAGCGGTAGGAAGCAAAAATATTTACCCAGCATTATGTACTGACTCAGCATCAGGCATTCATTCCAGGGAACCTTCAGTGATACATTTCGGGCATCCGAGGAATTAAACTGGGGGTCCCAGGCTGTCTGAGTTAAAGTTTAAGGTCACATCAGCTGTATTTCATTTTCACTAGTTAATAAAAACCCTGCCAACTCTCCTTGAAATCTGTTAAAGGACATGGCTGATGTGTATTTTTATTACCAGGCTATCTTGTCATACTATGTCTTGATAGCACACCTGAATAATATGTATAATATATTATGTAATATGAATACACCATGCCTATGGGAAAGTGGTCAGATGTAACATGTTATATTTGGGATTACACTTTCTTAGCAAAGTAGCAGCGGTGGGGTAGCCCAGTGGTTAAAGCTTTTGCTCATTAGGCTTAAGACCTGGGTTCTATTCCCCACATGTGTACAATGTGGAGCCCATTTCTGGTGTACCCCGCTGTGATATTGCTGGAATATTACTAAAAGCGGTGTTAAACTAAACTCACTCACTGATAGAAGTTTTGACATGGACACATCAACAGGTATATTTAAAATGCAATTAATGCAAAAAAAATATAAAGTGAAGAGTTTAGTAGGTCAAATGCAAAGCCTTTATTTTATGGTTTGATTATATTTTTGTCATGATTGCGGGATCAAGTCTTTGTCAGTCAATGATCATTTTAATGATTTGGTTTAAAAAAAACTACTACCTTTCTTCATATGATTTCGGGGCAGTGGGGTAGCCTTGTATTTAAAGTGTTCGCTTGTCATGCCGAAGGCCCAAGTTTGATTCCACACATGGGTACAATGTGTGAAGCCCATTTCTGGTGTTCCCCGCTGGATTGTTGCTAAAACCTAAAACCATACTCACTCACTCATATGATTTTGAAACAACTACAGAAATTCTGAATTATCACCTGATAGTACTGGAATATCATTAGACATGTTCAAAGAGTTGTAGCTCACCTGACCTGAGTGTGCCTCCTTCCAGCCAACCACCAAGATGTTCATCGATGGACAGATGGTGGAGTCCAAGACCGATAAATGGATAGATGTCAATGATCCGGTAAGTAAAGGCTGTAATGCTCGAAGATAATGTAGAAAATATATTTAATAGTTTAATAACGTTGAGTTAGTTTAGATCAGTAAAAACAAGGAACTATGATAAGTCAAGATATGGTACAATGCTACTCTTGTTGTATACAGAACCGTAACCTAACTTCGTGGATAACCTTGATTCATGGATCGTGGTAATTATCATGCTATTTTGTAAATTAATTCTCGTATGACGTCATGAAGCGGGACTTTTGATGTACACGCAGTGCCACGCCTCACTGGCAAAAATGTACTGAATCTTTGCATTACACTTAAAGGTCACATGCAACGTAAAACTCAACTTTGCAGATTCTGATACCTTTCGGTATGGACTTACCGAAACAAATCATCAAAAATGCAAATTCAACTTATGAAGTTGAAAAATAACGTGATGAAGAAAAACGCACGAAATCGTAGTTCAAACGATTAACTAATTTTCCCCCAGCTGGGCTGCGCTCATAGCATAGGTGCAGTGAAATAGGTTTGTGAAGCTTGGAAGGTTGTCCGGATTATAAGGTCGTGAGCAGTAGTAGTCTAATCAAAACAAATAGTAAATAATCTACTCATTACATAAAAGAACCTTGTAAGGATCTAGATCTACTCAGCTATGTGTCAACCAGTGAGGCATTCGACATTTCAAGACGGAAAACCTTCGCTGGCGGTGAATACTCGGTGAAGGCTTTGGTGTGAGCTATATTTCTAATGTTTTGTTGATATTTCACAGGCGCAAGCTTTTTATATGTTATGACAGTAGATTACTGATTTAACTGTTTATATAATTTCATTTGTCTATTTAACCATACGTTCTTCTTACCGAGTCACTTTCTCATTTCGATACTTAAAAGCAATGTCATTATTTAGCGTTGACAGAATTTCCAACTGTGATATAGATATGTCGTTGTCACATACAAAAGTCAGTGTCTGTTTTATTGACACCTATGTGTCTGCCTGCCTGTCTGCTAATGACAATATTCAATACAAAACTTCGATCACTGACCACATGCAATTTGAATTTAACACCTATCAGGCTATACACCATAACAAAACGCATTGATTTATGACCCTAGTTCGGTCTCTGTCACATTATGTAATTACACAGACAGGCAGGTGTGATACTTGTACACATGACATGTTATGATGTCTGTATATTGCAAAATGTTATCTACAAAAAATGAGCATGTATTTACAAAACCCAACATCTTTATACACACACACACACACACACACACACACACACACAATGAGCCATGAGGGCATCGGCAAATGAACCAGCTGTTACACTTGAGTGCACAGCCACCCGCTCTGACTGGGTTCGGTATCCCGGCTGCTTCGTTTCAAGGGAAGTAAACACAAGTACAAAATTTTGCACTTTTGATTTGCGATTGTACGCTTGTAATTTTGTTTATATGTTTTTTCATAATCAGCAATGTATATTATATGTCATGATAAGTGATAATTGTGTTTTAATTATGTTTGATTTTTTGGTTGCATGTGACCTTTAAGTACACTAAATCTAATTGTCTAGCACTGAGATCAATAGCCCAAGATCACTAATGCCCCTAATACCAATTTGTACTTTAACAAAATGTCAAGTGAAAAAGCTAGCATTAGTACCAACCATCTCACATCTTGTCGTCTGCTTTCCAAGGTGTCAATACTTACTGCAATGGGTTGTCGTACACACAGTCAGCTCTCGTTAATCCGACACTCATTAATCCGACAATCACGTTAATCCGACACAAAATTAGGGAACCATTTAAAACAGTGATAATTACTCTCGTTAATCCGACATTCTCGCATTCCGACTCCGACACACCAATCTAGCAGCTGATTATTGTAAATACAGTGTAAAAACATTCGTTAATCCGACAATCAACACAGCCGGTCGGATGATCCGACTGTATACAAACAATCACACGTGAGTGATAATTAGCGTGTGCCTTACTGGCTGCTTGACAGCGGCGTCAGTGAACATCAAACTTGTTAATTAGGAACACAGGATAATTAATTGAGACGTTTTAATCAAGAAATAACAGTGGAGTGAGCTGTATAAAATGTTTATGATACAACCGACATGAGTTTTCATCACAAGATATTGGTCACGAGTACACCACCTGCTAAGCGACCCCTTGTAGAAGTTAACGCCATTGATCAAGAAAGAAATCTCCTTTTTGAAGAAAGACAACCCCAGACAACACAACAAGTCATCACTTTTGCTGAGCAGAAGTTTGATGTGAAGATTGACGATCAACCAGATCTGACATCCTGAAGCAGTATGCTTAGTGGTTGAGCCGCCTCTATGACTGATTCCAATGCTTCAAGCTATCTGAGGCCAAAACATCGCTGAACACTTTGCAAACATTTCTGACACACCACTTAGATGTGTTTGATGTCAATGACCATCAAAGATTTTTTTCAAGTTATAAATTATATATGTTATGATACACGCCTGAGTGTACATTAGACGTCCACATGTTATTATGGAATTAGTTGTATGGAAACTGTAACATCCGGGTCATAATGGCAGCTGATATGCGGTAAAAACAAGTTTTGTGCCAATGTGGTCATGAAATAGATATAAAACTGTTCGCTTATGTGATTATATATGTATGTTATGCCATCTATGAATGTTAATAAATGAAAACAAGTATGTAATGTTAGTATTTTTTATTTCTGTGAATATTTTTACATACGATGAAGATTACTAGATCTACCATTTCTGATATGCATGCAACAGTATGACGATCATGACATTTAGTAAACATTGATATTTTCACACAAATACATTAATCCGACATTTTCATTAATCCGACATTTTCGTTAATCCGACATATTTCTTAATGACTTATGTGAATACCTCTCCATTTCATTGATACATGAATAAAACAAATATGAAATAATATGCAGCATGATAGGAAAGCAAGCAACCTGCGTATTAATACATTATCAATCATTTATCAAACCTATGCGATTTTATTATAAAAGTATGGACAGATTGTAGTATGAAAGAATTTACAAGTACATTTTTGTTTGGATTACCATTTAGGACAGAATTTAAATTATATCCATGTTCGTAAAAATACATGCAATGTCTGATGTTAGAAAATGTTTGGGGAAAGTAAAGAAGCAATGTAAAGTATCCTCATAAGGGTGACCACAGGAACAGAATGGATCAACTGAAATGTGCCGTGGGCACATGAATGTGTTATGATTGCAAATGGCTTCAGTAAGGATATGTTTCATTCACGAGTTGTATATTAGACATTTTCAATTTGCTGAATCAAATAAATGAAATCACGCATTTACAATATGATTTTTGCCGCACTTCCCTTATATCCACGAATCAAGGTTACGCAAGTGTACAACATTCATGTTGTATTTTGAAATAGACCATTCATCAGCAGTAGTACTATATCTGAAGAGTCTGTTTGGATTCAGCAACAGATAGCATGCTTTTGTCACAAGCTTTTTGCAATTGGCTTTTGAAAGAAGATGGTTATTATGTGCCATTTTGCCCAACGAGCTTTGATCATATCTTGTGTGTCAACAGTTGGTTGACTTGCATGGTCAGGTTTGGTCAGGTGGATGTATAACACCGTACTCAACTTTATTTTAGCATCATGTGTTAAATGATATTGCAGGCGACCAATGAGGTGGTGACGCGTGTCCCGGAATGTACCCAGGATGAAATGAATGCTGCTGTAGCATCAGCCACAGAGGCATTCAAGAGCTGGTCTCAAACAACCATCCTCACACGACAACAGATCATGTTTAGGTTCCAGCAGCTCATAAAGGATAATTTAGTAAGTTGCACATGTTGTGGCAAGACCTTCGTTATTTAGCATGTTCAACATAACTTAGTATGTTGAAGATATCCTGCCAGAAGTCTCGTTATTTAGCATGTTGAGGATACTTGGTGAGTTATTGATGGTGCGATCGCCTCAGTGGTGTAGTAGTTCGAACATCCTCCCGGAGAGCAGAAGGTCGCGGGTTCGATCCCCGACTGCGTCATACCAAAAGACGTTAAAATATGGTACTTGTTGGTCCCTGTCTGGCGCTCGGCATTAATGGGTACAACAAGGACTGGTCGGCTCGGAGTCAGGTATTCATGCTTCACTGCGGCATGATATCTCCGTGGGCTAGCACTATAAAACCAGCTTAAGTCTGGGCTAGTACAAGCAGGCGCACATACACATACACACGCATGCACATTGTCATATGAGCGAAATATTCTCAAACACGATGTTAAACCCAATTTCACCTCACCTCATTGATGGTGCGACTGGAGTCTCGTTATTTATGATGTCGAGGATAACTTGGTAAGTTGTAGATGTCAACACAAGACTCTTGTTATTTAACATGTTGAGGATAACTCAATAAGTGAAGATATCCTGACAGAAGTCTCGTTATTTAGCATGTTCTGTTGTTCAGAATAAGTTGAAGATGTCCATTGGGCAGCTTTTTAGCCTAGTGGTTACCCGGGACAGGTGGGTAATAAGTTGGACCCGGGTACCCGTCTCAATACCAGGACCTGATGATGATGTGACTAAAAGATTAAACAATGTAATATGTTATTCTTTCATAATTAAAAGGTTGTATTGTCTTTGAAGATTTAGACATAAGTGTGCAGTCACCTGTTTTGAATATTGTACATGGTTAAAGATATTGAAAAACTCTAATTTCTTACAAATATGATGTCAGGAATTAACATAACGGGTATCCAGGTATGGTAGGGTAATAGGGGGTGCGGTACCCATGTAGAAAATTTGGACCCGTCCCAGCCGTAAGGTAAACTTTCATCAGGATGTCCCAGGCACACTGACTTGTGTAAAACAGAAATTCTGCCGCATTAGGCCAGTTGAAACTGCACTGAGCCTAGACATTTCTGATAACAGGCCAAACTTGTGTTTAACCCGACCAGAAGGGTGTTATTGGTCACCATGAAAAAACAAAGAAAATCAAGGTTGGGGAAATATATTTTTTGTGCATGGTTTTGGGGGGTGGGGTCTATTCTCTTTTTACCCACATTTCAGCATGAATGTGCGTGTCACAACAACATAGTTCATAACAAATTTTAGGTTTATCTTCATAATGGTTAGTGTTTTCATTTATAAAGAAGCCTATTTTCAACAAAATGTAAAATAGTTTAATTATTTACTGATGTCGGCCATCTTGAATTAAAAATATCGGTGTACCTTGGGCTGTGACAAATGAACTAGTTGAATATGATACGTATCATGAATATTGGGTAAAAAATACAATAACCAGTCACCATGTAATGCAGGGGGATATAGTCAACACCTGGCCTGTCTGTTCGTCCGTCCATAATCATTTTGTTTCCAGAGCATAACTAAAAAAACGTTCAATATTTTTCACCAAAAATTGGTATATATTAGGGATGAAACAGTATGCTTTTACCACGGTATACATGGCAGTACAAGGCCTTTGGTTCGGTCCATTTCGGTTCAGTATATGAAATATGATCATAATGCAGAAAATTGACAAGAGCCATTTTCTTCTCATAAACAATAACAAATTCGCTGACATGTCTTGACCATGCTGGCCATGTTGATATAATCCAGCAAATAAATGTCAAAGTAAATATATGAGTGTTGACTCTATTCCTACATTAATAGTCCATTTTGCATATCTCACTCAGATGAATAACCCCAAATTCAAGTTAAAACACTCTTTTTAAAAAATTCACAAATATTCGATTCTTGTGATCACAAATAATGAATTCAGTTCATGAAGCGATGCAGTTCAGTTCCCTGAATATGAGAGTGATTCTTAACAGCCCTCATGCTAATTATATGTTCTAACTTGTAGAGTGTGATGGGTATCAACTTTATACAGTTGTCATGTATATTATTCTCTGTTACTGAACAGCTGTTGCCAGGGAAATGTAAGCTGTTGCCAATGCCAATGCCAGGAATTCGAGTTTTATAGCGAGAAATTTTTTCAGACATTGATGACATTTTGCACTGCCATTTTAATACTCTCAGATGTCATATATCTCAATAAATTGATTTTTCATGCAAGTGTATGTCTAGATAATACATACTTCAGGAAAATGAATATAATTATTTTCAATTCAAGTAATATACATGTTGATGGAGCACGGGATACAATACTTATGATAAAGATGCAGTTTTAATTCTTTGTTTAATTTTTTGGATTGATTGAAATATTAACCTTGTTAGCATAACTGGATTAATATACATTTGGGGGTGCTTCCCTCAAAACAGTTTATTTCCCTCACTTCACATGGTCATTATAAGTGTAGTTTACTTTAAGTACTTTAAAGTAATTCCCAATATTCGACAACATTATGTGTTTTCCCATTTTGTGCAGTTAGTTTGGGAACGGTACATGGAGATAAATGACTTCACAAAAATTCTTAACCTGTGAAGGTCCGGGTTTAAACTGATCTTCAGTAACCCATGCTTGTCGTAAGAAGCGACTAACAGGATCGGGTGGTCAGGCTCGCTGACTTGGTTGACACATGTCATCGGATCCCAATTGCGTAGATTGATGTTCATGCTGTTGATCCCTTGATTGTCTGGTCCAGATCCAATTATTTACAGACCACTGCCATATAGCTGGAATATTGCTGAGTGCCGGCGTAAATCTAAAACTCACTCACTCACTCACTCACTCACTCACTCACTCACAAAAATTCTTAGAATTTGTCAAAAGATATTATAGAGGCATTTTAGATGTTGTAAAGATGAAGGAAAACCAAATTTTGGCGTAGTGCTTGATAATGGTGTTAGTACCTACGCCGAAACAACGCACTCATTGCAATAAAGAAGATGACTATCCATAGAACTTGGTTTTCCGTGATATTTTATGTTCTGAAATGCTCCCATTTTATGAATAATTTTAATTTAATTTTCACAGAAAAATATTGCTGCCAATATCACGAAGGAGCAAGGAAAGACTCTGATTGATGCGGAGGGTGACGTCATGCGGGGGCTTCGTAAGTGTCTGTCTTTTGTTGGTTGGTTTGTTTGTCTGTCTGTTTTTAATGCCACATGCAATATTCCAGCTATATGACAGTGGCCTGTAAATAATGAAATCTGGACATCCAGTGATTGATATTATGAAGACCTTTGGGTGTGATGGCACACAATTAACCAAGTCGTGGATTCTGAATCTCAGTCCATTTGGTCGCCTCTTCTGATTAGTGTAGGTGGCAGGGAACCAGTTCTAACTCGGCATCAGGATGCAATGGAATTAATAGGCTACAGATGTGATTTTTTTTGTAAAATTTGCCTTGATTATGTGACCGCCTCTGTGGTGTAGTGATTAGAGCGTCCACCCGGAGGTCGGAAGGTCGCAGGTTCGATCCCCGGCCACGTCATGCCAAAAGACGTTAAAATATGGTACCTGTTGGTCCCTGCCTGGCGCTCGGCATTAATGGGTACAACAAGGACTGGTCGTCTTGGAGTCAGTATAATGTGTCTGAGTGGGGTATTCATGCTTCACTGCGGCAAGGTACCTCAGTGGGCTAGCACTATAAAACCAACTTCAGTCTGGGCTAGTAGAAGCAGCCACACATACACATTCACATTGCATGTACATCGTCATATGAGCGAATATTCTCAAGCACGACGTTAAACCCAATTTCACCTCACCTCACCTTGATTATGTTGTCAGAAATATTGTAATGATCTGATCTGATAGCACTGAAGTGTAGGGGTGTAACGATACAGTACATCGATGTACTTCTCCTGTATCGCAAATACATACAACTCATTACATTACAAGTTATATATATGTGAAAATGTGAATAATAGCAGCAACAGTGCAAGAACCAGTTTATGCCATTCTCTATATTTTATACTTATCCTGACTCATGATTATTCGCTTACTCATCCTCTCTTCCGAACGGTCAAGTGTAAACTTGAATCCCTTCAATTCCCTTGAAGCGAACGTACAATCACTCACCCTGAGTTACCTTCCTTGGTTTCCTGCCAATATCTACAATATCCAATCTTTGTCTGAACTTTGAAAACAGATCGAGATATAGAGGATACTAAACGACTTTCCGTGTAATACCAGTTTTATTTAACGAGTTAATGATTTGGTATCTAAATCTTTCACGAGTTTAATAAAAATGGTATTTCACGGAAGCGAGTGTAGTATTCTGTTAATTACTCTAGAAACATAACTTGATAGAAACTGCCTACAGTGTGATGACTCGTATCGATTTCCCGTCAAGCAAGGTCTAATACCATTGCAACATAGGCATTAGCATTGTGAGTTATAGCTGTAACTATTACGACGTCCTATGTCTAGTGGTATTACACTAGTGTAATATTGCCGTAAAAATATTACGCTGCAGTATCTTCCACGGGCGAGTAATAAACAAGTCATATCACTCCCATGTTTTCAGGATACGCATAGTATCACAACCTCACTGTATTGTAGCACCTTCATTATAGTGTTGTATGATGAATGTGGGTAGAGAGCCATGAAGCACAAAGTTGTGATATGTTAAGGGTTGCTGCTGATGTTATTGACTGTTGCCATGGTTACAGAGGTGGTGGAGCACTGCTGCAGTGTGACCAGCCTCCAGCTTGGGGAGACGCTGCAGGGCATCGCTAAAGACATGGACACCATGACGTACAGACTGCCTCTGGGTGTGTGTGCTGGTATCACCCCCTTCAACTTCCCCGCCATGATTCCACTGTGGGTGAGTCTCTGTTTGAATGAAGGTGGGAGATACAGTGAAACCTGTCTTAAACCGGCACCCCACGGGACCGAAATAAATGCTGGTTTAGACAGGGTTCCGGATTAGACAGTGACGATCATTTTCCAACATGGCTGCCATTTACACTCGTCAATCATTCAATCTAGCAATGCCGAGAGGAGTGTATTGGATTAAGGGATCCTGATTGGATTGCTCATACCCATGCCGGCTGAGAGCGTTTGTTCCATCGTGCAATAAAAACTTTCTGATTATCTAGCATGCCAAGAGGATTAATTAGTGTATTGGATTATGGGTCCTTGATTGGACTGCTTATACCCATCCTGGTTTAGACAGTGTTAATTACAGTTATAATTGCTTGTTGGGACCTGAAAGTTGTGCCGGAATACGGAATAGACAGGTACCAGATGAGACAATGTTTTAATGATCATAATATCGTTGTAAAATGGCGGACCAAAATTTTATGCCGGTTTTGACAGTGTGCTGGATTAGACAGGTGCTGGTGTTAGCAGGTTTCACTGTTACGTGTACTGCCAATTCATCACCCTGTTCCATGAAGCGATCATAGCACTAATAACTTGTCATAACTTCCATACTTTAGCATAGATTTATGACTGTTGTCACAGTATGAACAGGGCCCAGAGTTCCAGATAAGCTGTCTACTTACATGAAATATGCAAATTAATCACCATTTTTCAATTAATATGGAACTGCTTGTGTGCAAACATGTTTGAAATTTAATAAAAAAGACACTTGTATAACAACTTTATGTGTATTTACCCAATGGACCCGACTGTCTGTCTGTATTTCATTTACTGATCAAATGTGTCACCTATTCTTTTATTGCTGTTGTGAGCTTGTGGCAGGTTACTTACACTGTTGGGAGCAGCACATAATTATAGAAGATGCCTAAAACCTGTTTTGTTGTTTTCTTTGGCTTGTTCATTTATTTTTTCCTTGGAACCTTTTCCAATCCCTGGTTTTGAATCCCAGATTAACCCCAACTTGGTTCTTGGTCTGTCAGGGGCGATGGGGTAGCCTAGTGGTTAAAGCGTCGCTCATCATGCCGAAGACCTGGGTTCGATTCCCCACATGGGTACTATGTGTGAAGCCCATTTCTGGTGTTCCCCTCCGTGATGTTGCTGGAATATTGCTAAAAGCGGCGTAAAACCATACTCACTCTCTCTCACTCACTCTTGGTGTGTCAGTTTCAAGAGTCTAGCTCAGTAATTGTATATGCACAGCATCACTTTGGCGTTTCTACCCCATGATAGCGAGACTGAAATACGTTTACCGCAGCATTAAGCTTTACTTCACTTAATCTCATCACAAATACTGTGCAATAGTTATCCTGTTTTTCTGTGTGCAGATGTTCCCAATGGCAGCCGTCTGTGGCAACACCTCCATCATAAAGCCGTCGGAGCGGGACCCAGGAGCAACGATGATGTTGGTGGAGTTGGCGAAGGAGGCTGGGATGCCACCAGGTGTCATCAACGTCATCCATGGCCGACACGACTGTACGTACTTACTGCTCGGATACAACCCAGTATGTCATGTAGATGGGAGATGGAGGTGTTCAAAATACTCCATACTTTTCCCCATTAGTATCAGAATAGGTTGCCAGTAACAGATACCTGTCTTGTAGGTGTTGGGAGATGGAGGTGTCCGAAGTACTGCATATTGTTGCCCATTTGTATAAGAAAAGGTAGCCAGTACCCCATGCTTGTCTCCCACTTGGCTAACACTACAAGCCAGAATTACCTGATCACTGGTTTAACCCTGATATAATTCTTGTTGTGTCAGTACCATACCTGTGTTTCATTAAAGTGATAAGCATCGAATACCTGCTTTCCCTTCGAAATAAAATCTGAAATAGTTGGGCCCTTCCACTGACCCCCAGTCTCCTATGATGCCCAGTTCAACGCAGTATTCCCTGTCATCCAATCCCATGATGTTTCATCTTGTTCCAGCTGTGAACTTCATCTGCGACCATCCCGACATCAAGGCTATATCCTTTGTAGGATCCGACCAAGCTGTAAGTGAATCTGAAGGGCAGGAGACTCTCGTAGTCCTTCCACTCATGTCTCCACTAACCATTTCTGATAACTTCTTCATGTCTTTATGATGTGTTTACCCTTAATGATTTTACCTAATGCAAACCTGTTACTCTTTCAGTAAATGCAAATAAGGTTACATCACGGGAACTAAATTCCTTGAATAATAATAACATTCATTACAATTGTAGATTGTCCATATGTAACATGGATGTTACTTTTTTGGCCAGACTATACCTGTAAAATTCATTGGTTCAGTATTTTCAATCTGATACTGACATCCCCATTTCTGGTACAAGAAGCCAATGATTGTAGGTTTGAATCCAAGATTTGCCTTGTGTCAAGTTTGCCTGCTCTAACCTGTTCCAGACTTCTATGATGTAACGGAAATATTGTTAAAAGAGGTATTAAACCAAACTCACTTTACTCGTGAAGATCCGGGTTAGAATTGATCTCCAGCAACCCATGCTTGTCGTAAGAGGCGAATGTCAGGTTGACACTTAATATCATATCCCAAATGCGTAGATCGATGCTCATGCTGTTGCTCACTGGATTGTGACTTTTTTAACTGATGCCACTTTGTACAACATGCAAGCACCTCCCCCTTGACATTCATTACTGTATGGACACGTGAAGACCCGGGTAGAATAGGTCTTCAACAACACATGCTTGCCACAAAAGGCGACTAAGCTTGTCGTAAGAGGTGACTAACGGGATTGGGTGGTCAAGCTCGCTGACTTGGTGGACACATGTCATCGGTTCCCAATTGCGCAGATCAATGCTCATGCTGTTGATCACTGGATTGTCTGGTCCAGACTCGATTATTTACAGACCGCCGCCATATAGCTGGAATATTGCTGAGTGCAGCGTAAAACTAAACTCACTCACTCATTACTGTATGACTGATGTTGTTTCAACAGGGCCAGTACATCTACGAGCGGGGATCACGGAACGGCAAACGGGTGCAGTCTAACATGGTAACTACACTGAATGAGAACAGATACTGCTGTCAACTGCAGTTAACACTGGAAAAAAAGCTGCTGGACAACACCTTTTGTTACTGCAACTGTTATGTGTGAGATCAGAGTCTGAAGCCAATGTATGAGAACTACAACCTGAAAAATATGAAAGTAATTGGATGACCCTTCCTGTACATTGCTTGTCACTGATGAGTAGACTGCTGGCTCATGTATTCATGTGTGTGTCATCATGGGTGTTGTGTGTCAACTGCTTTTAGTTACTGGTTTGTCTACCAGTGAAGGTCTGGGTTAGAATTGATCTTCAGTAACCCATGCTTGTCATAAGAGGCAAATAACAGGATCGGGTGGTCAGGCTCGCTGACTTGGTTGACACAAGTCATCGTATCCCAATTGCGTAGATCGATGCTGTTGATCACTGGATTGTCTGATCCAGACTCGAATATTTACAGACCGCGACCATATAGCTGGAATATTGCCGAGTGTGGCAAAAAACTAAACTCACTCACTCACTCACTCACTCACTCACTCACTCACTCACTCACTCACTCACTCACTCACTCTCTCACTGGTTTGTCTGATCCAGACTTGATTAGTAATTTAGATATATCTTGAACATAGTCAGCTGTGACATTAACTTGACCTTCACTCACGAACATCGTATTTCCAGGGAGCCAAGAACCATGGAGTGATCATGCCTGATGCCAACAAGGAGAGCACACTGACTCAGGTGAGGTGCACACCATTATCATGTAACTGGGCCCATGAGACCCGTGAAGGTCTGGGTTAGAATTGATCTTCAGTAACCCATGCTTGTCGTAAGTCGACTAACGGGATCGGATGGTCAGGCCCGTTGACTTGGTTGACACATGTTATCAGTTCCTAATTGCGCAGATCGATGCTCATGTTGTTGATCACTGGATTGCCTGGTCCAGACTCTGGATCTGTGCCTTTCCGTTTTCTGTGTTAATGCTACACTACATACCATGGTATTGTCATCAGTTTGGACACATTTCAGTTTACAGGTTGACATTACAAAGGTGAAATATTAGTATTTGGGTTGTAAATCTCCCAATACCTGCTTCCTTCTTTTTTCAAGCTGAAAATATAACGAAATTGATGGCTGAATCTTGACAACCTGACACATGCGACATGTATCATGTATCAATAATTTAAAAAGCTCTTGAATTTTTATTTGATTTCATTGAAAACATGATAACCATGAAATATAAGTTGGTGTTTAACATAACATATGCCTTGAGGGCTTTTCTTTAACTTATTGTGAGTAGTATATATCAGGACCTGTTCTGTGATTCTGAGTGACCCTGGTCTGTTGTGTACAGCTTGTAGGTGCTGCGTTCGAGGCGGCAGGACAGAGGTGCATGGCACTGTCAACTGCTGTGTTTGTCGGGGAGGCTAGAGAGTGGATCCCAGAGCTGGTGGAGAGGGCCAGGAAACTCAAGGTCAATGCAGGTAAGGGTGTAACATGGGACTAGACAGACAGTTGTATGTATATTTAGGGGTAGCAGCTAGAGGAGGGGAGGGGACAAGGAGAGAGGGAGGGATGGGACAGGAGAGGGGAGGCTATGGGATAGTGGGGGAGAGAGGGATTCGGATGGGAGAGAGATGGATTGTGATGGGAGAGGGAGGGCTGTGGGAGGAGAGGGAGGGAGGGCCATAGGTGAGAGAGGGAGGGAGGGAGGAAGGCCATGGGTGAGAGAGGGAGGGATGGGACAGGAGGGTGAGGGAGGACTATGGGGAGAGAGAGGGATAGTGATGGGAGAGAGATGGATTGTGATGGGAGAGAGAGGGAGGGCTGTGGGAGGAGAGAGAGGGAGGGAGGGCCATGGGTGAGAGAGGGAGGGCCATGGGTGAGAGAGGGAGGGAGGGAAGAAAGGCCATGGGTGAGAGAGGGAGGGCCATGGGAGAGAGTGAGGGAGGGAATCTTTTATGGTTTTGTTGATGGTTTATAATTCTGATTGCCATTTTTTTTTTAACTTAGGCCATGAACCTGGAGCAGATTTGGGTCCACTTATCTCCCCTGAAGCCAAGAAACGTGTTCTTGACCTTGTGGAATCTGGAGTGAAAGAAGGTGCAGATCTGCTACTCGATGGTCGGAATATTCAAGTGAAGGGCTACGAAAAGGGAAACTTTGTCGGACCAACTATCCTAAACAATGTCAAGGTAAATATGAGAAAATTTCATTGTGCTGAAAAGTTTCAGCTCACTCTAAGACAGTGACAAAGCAGCTAAAAAATTGTATTCTGAAGAGATCATTCTTCTTTTTCGCTTGCACGCTGAAGACTCGGGTTCGATTTGGTACAATGCGTGAAGCCCATTTCTGATGTTCCCTGCTATGATATTGCTGGAATATTGCAAAAGGCAGCATAAAACCATACTCACTTTAGGATAGAGCATCGGTGAGGAGAATGAAAAGTGTGTCATGCTGAAAGATGAGAAATGACACTTCTCTCTCACACACACACACGCACACACACGCACACACACGCGCACACACACACACACAGAGTCACCATATAAAGCCCCATTTCACCTCACATCCCATGATGCTCATTATGAACCATGTAACAATCTGTCTGTCCAGCCCAACATGAAGTGTTACACAGAGGAGATATTTGGACCAGTGCTGGTCAGCATGGAGGTGGACACACTGGACGACGCCATCGAACTGGTCAACGCCAACCCATATGGAAATGGCACAGCCATCTTTACCAATAGCGGCGCCACTGCCAGGAAATACACCATGGAGTCTGACGTTGGACAGGTACATTTTCATGACTGCATTCCTTCAATCACATTATTTAGTTTTACATATAATTTGACTGCTTCGGACATGGTGTCATGGTTTCTGTCATGACGTTGTACTCGTCTGGTAGTCTGATGGTTGAATAACCTGAAGCATTGGCTCAATAACCCGAAAACCAGGGTGTGCTTCACCGCATTGGTACAACATGAAGCCCATTTCTAGTGTCGCATGCCATGATATTGCTGGAATATTGCAAATAGCAGTGTAAAATCTTACCAACTCACTCTTTGTTGTTGTTAAAGCAAAAGTTTAACTCACTTGTATCAGGGGCCACAAGCTGGTACAGAGTTATATCCCTTAGCTGCCAGGATGTGCTGTTTTCAGCAGTCTATACCAAAATGTATTTACAGGTCAGGGTCTCTGACCCTTTTGGCTTTTCTCTTTCTGTAAGGTAACTGCCCTTGTAGATGTTAGTTATTGATCAGCGTAGTGTGCAGCAGACATTGTTATTTCATCTCTTTGGTCTGTTTCCAGGTTGGCATCAACGTCCCCATTCCCGTCCCCCTCCCGATGTTCTCCTTCACAGGATCTCGAGGATCCTTCCGTGGTGATACCAACTTTTACGGCAAACAGGTACACTTGTACTTTCATTTTGCAGATACTGGGTATCTGACTCCCATGATCCTTAGGTCAGTTCATCTGTTGCAGGGACGGCGGGGTAGCGTAGTGGTTAAAGCGTTCGTTCGTCACGCCGAAGACCCAGGTTCGATTCCCCACATGGGTACAATATGTGAAGCCCATTTCTGGTGTCCCCCGCCGTGATATAGCTGGAATATTGCTAAAAGCGGCATAAAACTAAACTCGCTCACTCACTCATCTGTTGCACTGTAGCGGTAATTATCTGTTATCTGTGTTGTTTTGGGTTTACTCAAATGTCACTTGCTGTGTTTGTTTGATGTCACAGCCAGCACTATTCAAACTGTATGATGGCTGTCTGTCAATATCAAGTCTGGACCAGTGACAATATGAGCATCAATCCACACAGATTGGATACAATGACAAGCATGGACCAAGTCAGCAACCCGACCTCCCTTTGGTCACCTCTTGACAAGCATGGACCAAGTCAGCAACCTGACCTCCCTTTGGTCGCCTCTTGACAAGCATGGACCAAGTCAGCAACCTGACCTCCCTTTGGTCGCCTCTTGACAAGCATGGACCAAGTCAGCAACCTGACCTCCCTTTGGTAGCCTCTTGACAAGCATGGACCAAGTCAACCAACCTGTCAGCCTCCCTTTGAGAAGCCTCTGGACCAAGTCAGCAACCTGACCTCCCAAGCATGGACCAAGACCAAGACAGCAACCTGACCTCCCTTTGTTTGCCTCTTGACAAGCATCGACCAAGTCAGCAACCTGACCTCCCTTTGGTACAGCCTCTTGACAGCAACCTGACCTCCCAAGCATCGACCAAGTCAGCAACCTGACCTCCCTTTGGTGCGCCTCTTGACAAGCATCGACCAAGTCAGCAACCTGACCTCCCTTTGGTCAGCCTCTTGACAAGCATGGACCAAGTCAGCAACCTGACCTCCCTTTGGTAAGCCTCTTCTTGACAAGCATCGACCAATGGACCAGCAACCTGACCTCCCTTTGGTTGCCTCATGACAAGCATCGACCAAGTCAGCAACCTGACCTCCCTTTGGTCGCCTCTTGACAAGCATGGACCAAGTCAGCAACCTGACCTCCCTTTGGTCGCCTCTTGACAAGCATGGACCAAGTCAGCAACCTGACCTCCCTTTGGTCAGCAACCTGACCTCCCTTTGGTCTTGACAAGCATGGACCAAGTCAGCAACCTGACCTCCCTTTGGTCGCCTCTTGACAAGCATGGACCAAGTCAGCAACCTGACCTCCCTTTGGTCGCCTCTTGACAAGCATGGACCAAGTCAGCAACCTGACCTCCCTTTGGTCGCCTCTTGACAAGCATGGACCAAGTCAGCAACCTGACCTCCCTTTGGTTGCCTCTTGACAAGCATGGACAAAGTCAGCAACCTGACCTCCCTTTGGTCGCCTCTTGACAAGCATGGACCAAGTCAGCAACCTGACCTCCCTTTGGTCCCTTGACAAGCATGGTTGCCTCTTGACAAGCATGGACAAGCATGGAAAGTCAGCAACCTGACCTCCCTTTGGTAAGCCTCTTGACAAGCATGGACCAAGTCAGCAACCTGACCTCCCTTTGACAAGTGGCCTCTTGACAAGCATGGACCAAGTTAGACAACCTGACCTCCCAGCAACCTGACAGCCTCTTGACAAGCTCATGACAAGTCAAGACAACAAGCAACCTGACCTCCCTTTGGTCGCCTCTTGACAAGCATGGACAAAGTCAGCAACCTGACCTCCCTTTGGTCGCCTCTTGACAAGCATGGACCAAGTCAGCAACCTGACCTCCCTTTGGTCGCCTCTTGACAAGCATGGACCAAGTCAGCAACCTGACCTCCCTTTGGTCGCCTCTTGACAAGCATGGGTTGCTAAGGGCCATTTCTAAATTGGATCTGACTGAATCGGAGGGTCAGGCTCACTGACATTCTATGTGACATTAAACAACAACCAGTAAGTATCATTGTGTGATACAACTGCAATATGTTCAAAGCGACATTAAACCCAACTCACATGCTTGTCCTCTTCCAGGGCATCCAGTTCTACACCCAGGTGAAGACCATCACTCAGCTGTGGAAGTCAGGACGACGCTGGCGTTCAGAAGGGATCGGCCACTGCTATGCCAGTCATGCGATAAACTGTCTCAGTCGTGCAGGAAAGGTTGACATGTATATGACACAAGATTCGGGGTTGTTAGACCTCGGTGATAAACAGTTAAAACAGAGTTTGATATTATGAAGTAAAAACGACTAATGCATTTTGAACAATATTTAGGACGAACCAGTTTTGTTTCTTGTTTTCTGGTGTGAAACCAATATGGATCGAATTGAACCTGTTGAGGCTGATTGCCTTAACAGACACATTCCATAGAATTACTACTGTTTCTAAAACCACTTTTTATTTTCCACAAATTGTTGTCACAAATTAAAATAGAGCTGAAAGCTTGTAGGGTCTAAGGTTACCATGCCTTTCATAAAGTTTCGTTTTTCTAGTTTTTCTTTTCACAGATTTTGACATCCATTAAACAAGAAAAGAACTTGGTTTAAACTTGTATGGGTTTATTGAGAGTGATGTAACACTGACATTGCTGTACAAAGTGCTTTTTTCAGACTGAAAGTATGCAAGTTATCATTGTACAATTTCCGTTTTGTCTTCTTACAAGAATATTGGTATGTATTGATGAATCATGTTGACAATTTTAATGTGAAATTCTCTATTTTTGAACATGATTTTATATATTTAAAACTCTACATAGTTATACAGATTTATATTTGTTTTCTCAAAGTTCTACTTGCATTTTTCACAGTATTACAATATTTAGTGCTAACACGTGTACACATGCACAAACTACGCATGTAGCCCAATTTAGGGTTGTGAAATATTGACTACATACTACGTACAGACATTTAATAAGTGCTTTTGACTTAACTATTTCTGAACGGACGTATTTTCAGGCTTTGAATTTGGTGAAAGATTACAAAGGTGTGAATTTCAGTTATAGTGTGGTGAAAGTTGTCAAATACTCATTTATACGTTAACGTTTGAGTGTGACGTAAAGTGTATGAATACCAGTTTCTTCCCAGTTGCAAGAGAAATGTAACATGTTGGTAAAGGAAAACCAGGCAAACTATACTTCCTTTCAAAAGTTTAGACTCATTTAAAACACTCGCTATATGTTATATGGTTACATCGAAGATTGATTTCTCCACTAACCCTGCGGAACCAACTGCAAATCTTATGCAGATGAATTGCACGAGGATCATGCATCAAATTGCTGAAAAGCATGTGCAAATTTATCGTGCATGTAAACAGCTGCGTTTGGTGTAAAGTTTTGTTAAGAATTCGCCAATTTTCACTGACTTTTAGCATCTTTGGAACTCATGACAATAATCTTTTCAATGTTACGAATTTGTTTTACAATACATCAGCTCACGTGTAAACAGTACATTTAAACAGTATGGAATATTTTGCAAAATATAGTTTAGAACAGTTGCCTGAAGTAAGTGGCTATATTTACACTATTGAGTGTAAACTTTTGAAAGGAAGTATATTTTGTCAGTTTTCCCTTCTCAAGGATGGCAATTTTTTGCTGATCTGCAGGTTTACGCCGATTTTGTTTCAAATTGATCATTCAAACCTCCATTCGATGACACAATATTTAGTTTTCAGCTGAAAATAGATTTTCCTGTTGCCATCCCCAACTTTCAGTAGATATCACTGATTAGAAGGCATTCTTCATGCTTATGAAAATTTCTAGATGAAATTTCAGGATTTCCGGAGCTTCATAGTCCAGTGGTAAGTGCGTTCACTTGCCATGCTTAACATATGAGTTTGATTCTCACATGGGTACATGTAAACCCTTTTCTGACAGGTCAAGAAAGCCATTGCTCAACCAGGGTTTAAGCATTGTTTTCAGGTATTTTTAAGAATGAAAGTGAAGTGAAGTTATGGAGCAGAAAGTTTATCATTGTTACGGTCAGTCTCAGTTGTTGTATTATTTAAGATGAGGTTTCTTATTGCATGTTACTGCCGTATGACTGATGGTGGCTGGTTAGTGTGTGCCCTGTGCAAGTAAGGTTTGTTTGTGAATCTCTGTAGAATATTCCCACATGCTGTAAAGGCATCAGAATATAAAACATGCTGGAAGTAACAGTGATGATGTTGTTGTTCCAGGAGCAATCTCTTCCCCAACCCCAAGTTGGGACTGAAGGTGTTTTCGTATACTTTACTAATCGTGAAGGTCCGGGTTAGAATATTGATCTTCAGTATAGGTCTTCAGCAACACATGCTTGCCACAAAAGGCGACTAAGCTTGTCGTAAGAGGCGACTAACGGGATCGGGTGGTCAGGCTAGCCGACTTGGTTGGCACGTGTCATCGGTTCCCAATTGCGCAGATTGATGCTCATGCTGTTGATCACTGGATTGTCTGCCCCAGACTCGAATTATTTACAGACCGCCGCCATAAATCTGTAATATTGCTGAGAGCGGCGTAAAACTAAACTCACTCGTATACTTTACACATGACTTTGACAAATTTGATTCACCAAATTCCAATTAGAGGTATCAAATGACAGTAACCACCTGACATAGCCAATAGATTCCAGATTAAAATAAAATCTTATCTGAAGTGAGACTAGCTCAAATATTGAACAACTTGCAGTTACCTCCTAATTAGACTTTGTGTATGACAGCATGTATTTGAAAGCCCTTCTTCCTCATTCCTACCCCTAATTTGGTTTCAAATATTTTACTTTGACCAGCAGTTATATTGAGTTTGGTTGAAGTTGAATTGAATCCTTAATAATCCCACAAAGCTGAAACTTTCGTTGGCTAAAATAGTCAGTCATTTTCGGCTCAAGTTGTGAGACAGACCTGACGTAGTCACCCATTTCTGCTGAGCCTGCTGTCATATTCTGAAACATCTATACAGCAACTTAAAACAATATTCACTCGCTGAACAAAAGACAACAAACAATCTGATGAAGTTTGCAATTAATATATTATCTCTTGATATAGATGATGCCTGGACAAAATGGCCGCTTGCCCCAGTTGTCCCGGGCAACAGGACTGCTTAAACTGCAAGATGCTCAACAATATGGCTACAAACTGCTATCAAAATGATAAGCTACACTTTAGCAACCATTACACTACATGTTGAACAGCACTGTAAAGATTACAAGCAAAATGTGGATATATTTCCAGTGAATATTGTCGTAAATGCGGACATGGCTCCATGATGTACACAATGAGATGTAGTTGATGCTTGACAAGTGATACTTGAATATGAATGGACAGAAACCAAAGCAGATAACTGGATCATTTTTAAGTTGAAATTGTCAATATGACAACAAACTTAGAAAACAAAAGTCAAAAACAGGATGACTAAAAGGCCCCATTATCAAGAAAAAAACCTGCATCCAAAGCCAGCATGTTTTGTTTGAGGCCGACTCAATATGGCTTAGCAGGTTCTTTGTGGGAATAATCCTCGATGGTAGGTGATCGATTGAGTGGGTGTGGCTTTTAAAGCTGCTTGTAGCAATCTTACAGCAGGGAACACCAGAAATCACTATGGTTCACACAGTTGAATTTAACCCAGGTATTTGGTGTGAGGAGCAAATGCTTTAACCACAAGGCTTTGGTGAAAAATGAAGATGCTGAATATTTTTGTCTTCAAAGTGATATCTGGCCATGTATGTGCAACACATTAGTTAAGCTAGTGTCGCTCACCCCACCTGGTGAAATGGAACATTCCACAGACAGGGGGGATCAGGTAGTAACAATACTCTTGTACACACATTCATAGACAAGTGCTGGTCTAAACAGGTCCCAAACATACAGATTGTGGATTGGCTGGTCACAATGGGTGACCTGTATGTTTGTCTGTCATCATTTACCTGTTCCAGCTTGATAATTTATGGACTGAACCATCCTTCACCCCCTCAGTTTGAATGGACTGATCTCTAGGTTATATATATATATATAGACAGGTCTCATGAGCATTAAAATTGCTTGTGTTTAATGCTTAGGGCTCGTCATCAGTTAAACCACAGTTATAATCAGACTGTTTACAACACGACACCTCAACGTAACAAGAATATAAGAAACATTCTCAATGTCTGAGCAACAGTATGAAGATTAAAATATTAATCATAACTGACAGCAAATGAAACAAGGGCATTAAAATCTGACAAACACAACATTTAAATGATCTTGTTAGTGATGCTAAGATATAAAGCATACCATACAGGAAACATTTCACTAGAAGCAAAATATGCATTCAAAGTAACGTTCTTCACATCTCCATTATCTCAGAATTAAAATGAACCCACTGAAGACATGGTAAGAACAGTCAATTCAGGAAATAGGGGTGGCAGGTAGTTGGAGCATCCAAACTGAAAAGAAACCTTACAGAGCCTCCTCCACTCCTGCACTTCAATTATCAGTTCCTTAGCTGACAGCACTTTACACTAACGTGTCATACATTTCATTAAATAAAACACACATTGCATCATGTTCTTTCTTCACAATTTGACTCCGAGCACATCATATCAAATATTTCACAGTAAGGCCAGACCAATTTTATATCTTGTTTTACGGATTTTTGTCCTCCGAGAACCTAAGGGCAGGAGGGAATATTTGTTTTCTTCCAAAATTCACCACTCAATGCAAAAACCCACACAAGTTTCCATGTTAACTCTTTTGGTTTGTTATATCAACTAAAAATAAGTTTTTGTTTTTTCTTATTCTTGAAAAAATACAACCGGTGGATCCATAAAACAAGAAATATAATTAGTCTGGCCTAATGTTCATGTGAAAACATTTTAATACACCCAGTATATATCTGGTACATATCTTTAGAAGCCAATAGCAAATGTTCCGACTTCAATCCAGTAAGAACAGCAAACTACATAGAATGCAATAACGACATATAAAAAAATTATACAAGGCTGCTGAAGCTCGGTGCTTTTCATGTGGCAATAAATAAAGGAGGCACTGTGACCCAATAGTCTAGTGTGCTTCAAAATACTGTGCAGAGTTTCTTCCCTTTGCAAAGACAGGATTCAGTGATCATTAACCATGGTTTCAGTGAATTTTGGATCTAAACCCATGACAGTGTCACTATGCAAATCCACAAAGGTCCACAGTTGATTCTCATATTTTCTCCATTACACAATCTTTCAATTTAAAAAATGCTCAGGGGTTTTTCCAAAATGACAAATACACATGCTTCAATTACATATGACAACAATTCAATGATCTACTGACATACAAACTGTACCAGTGTCACGTTATAGTGAGTGAGTTTAGTTTTACGCCGCTTTTAGCAATATCACGGCGGGGGACAACAGAAATGGGCTTCACCCATTGTGCCCATATGGGGAATCGAACCCGAGTCTTTGGCGTGACGAGCAAACGTTTTAACGACTAGGCTACTCCACCGCACCGTGTAACGTTATCAGATTAGAAAGCACTCATAGGCCGGAGAATGTTGTGCTGAGTGACAATAAAAGTTTAATTAATCCCCTTGTTTATACGGTTTCTATGCATTGTCTGGACCTTAATTTTTTCCTCAACTTTAGGAGTAAGTATGGTTTGTTGCATTTGGCAATATTCCAGCAACATCCCTGCTGGGGACACCAGAAATGTTCTTCACACGTACCCATGCTGGGAATCGAACCCAAGTCTTCATCGTGACGAGCGAACGCTTGAACCACTAGGCCATCTCACCGCCCCTTTAACTTTAGCATGCATTACTGCATATGATGATGAAATAACAGCTTGCAATGAGTGAGTATGGTTTTATGCTGATTCTAGAAATATTCCAGCAATATCATGGTAGGGGACACCAGAAAGGGGCTTCACACATTGCACCCATGACGAGAGAATGTTTTAACCACTAGGCTGCCCCACCGTCCCGACAACTTCAATGACATTGGAGAGCTGACACAGTTTCACTATTTGCAATATATAACATCTCAAAAAGGTTACACATCTAAAAACACAACCACACTCTGTCATCAAACACATAACAAAATGTCCTTCATTCCTCTTAAAAAAATGTCTGATAAAATACAAATTAAAAACAATATCAGTTTGTTAAACAACAATCATGACAATACGAAAACTTTGGACAGATCATAAGGATAACTTCTTTCAGGGCTAGTTCATTCCCTTCATCAGGAGAATGATTCAGGTTGTTCTTTCTCCTTCATCAGGTGCATGATTCTTGCTAGCTTTAATGATTCTGGCTACTTCTTGTCCCTTTATCAAGAATGATTCAAGATATTTTATGGCTTCACTCTGGCGTTTTTCCAGGGTCCCTTAATCAAGCTATGATTCAGGCTACTTCTTTCACCTTAATCAAGCATGATTCAGGCTACAACTAATTACACAAAGGTTACTTGATAGCAGGCTTTCCAAAAGAATAGTAGACGTTCGTTTTTCTTGTATCTAAAGTTCATCAAGAGTTCATCAGCAAAGTTAATCAAGAGGTCCCATGCACTTGGCAGGTATACACCCTGATCACGATTAATTGCTGGTTTATGTCTCCTTATCATCGACAGCTTCCTGTAGTTTTTTCTCACGCCAGTCATTGTTATTGTAATGATATTAGGGGTGATTTCGAGAAATAACAATGACTGGCGTCGGAGAAAACTACAGGAAGCTGTCGAGATAAGGAGACATAAACCAGCAATTAATCGTGATCAGGGTGTATACCTGCCAAGTGCATGGGACCTCTTGATTAACTTTTGATGAACTTTTGATGAACTTTAGATACAAGAAAAAACGAGTCTACTATTCTTTTTGGAAAGCCTGCTATCAAGTAACCTTTGTGTAATTAGCAGTTGTTGTGTATTGACAATTCAACTTTCTACTCTATTATTTAGCATGAATTTCATCATTATGTAACTAACTCACTTATACAGTACTCTCCCTAGTGTACTGTGATGTCACTTGCATTGTGACGTCATAACTCAGTAATGACGTCATAGTCCTAACTGCCAGTTCACCTGATGAAGGGACCTGGAATGGTCTCGAAACGTTGTGAGAGAAATTAAAAAGAAGTTTAATCCATAAAAATATCTTGGACATCACTGTACAACTTCTAAATGCCACTGAAAGACATCATACTTCTTTCACCTTAATCAAGCATGATTCAGGCTACTTCTTTCCCCTTACTCAAGAATGATTCAGGCTACTTCTTTCACCTTACTCTAGCATGATTCAGGCTACTTCTTTCCCCTTAATCAAGAATGATTCAGGCTACTTCTTTCCCCTTAATCAAGCATGATTCAGGCTACTTCTTTCCCCTTAATCAAGCATGATTCAGGCTACTTCTTTCCCCTTAATCAAGAATGATTCAGGATACCTCTTGTGTCTTCATCAAGAATTATTCACCTCTTGAGTCAAATGTACCACTGAATTGTCATTAAAAAGAAAAAAGAAGTTGTTATTTATGAGAAGTTGCATGTCTTCAAACACCTATCAAAGACTTAGTCTCAACTCACTAAATGAACACTGTACCTACTGGCCTATCTGCACCATGGCCACAATAACACTACACTACTACAGGTGATCTCACCTACATTCACCCCATAAACCCTGAGGAATAGGTCACCATGACCTGGGCTAAACATATTATGTGATACATAAACATCATCATAAACACCATCTTGAAATATGCATGTGTTTGAAATAAGAAACAGAATGTACATGCATAGAGGGCTGCGAAAAGAACAAAACTGATTCCCAGCAACACTTTTTTACATTTATCATTAACATTTTAAAGTCATCATGGGAATGCTAAAAAAATTACTACTTGTAAATCATCATATGATCAAATGTAATTTTCTACACAAAGACAGGGTCAGTGCTGGTGAAAATATAATTTCTGTTTGAAAAGGGCTAGTGATATTACCATCAAATCAAAACAATTTCATTTATTACTGTTACAAATATACTGATGATGTCTGTCTGTTCATCCATTCAGTAAACAAAAAGAAAACATATTTTCTACTAACTAGTTAACCACCCTTAAAACATAAGATTCTAGTAAATCCTTTCTTTGACTGGTCTATTTGAGCAGATAACTTCAAGGACCCTTTGTCAAGGAACAATCAGCTTTGGTCTTCAGGCTTCCTGGTAATGCTATGTTGAAAGTGCCCAAGAACCCAAATTATGTTTTTTCCACCTAAAATGATATTGAGAAGTAATATACAAACCATTGTCTATTACAATTAAAATTTAAGAAAAACATCTACTTAAAATATTCATCAAAACAACAAACAAATCTCTGTAACTTTTCTACAGATCAGCATGATACTCAAACCATACTACTAAAAACAAGTTAAGGGCCATCTTTTTTTCATATTAATTTATATTACTCTATCATGACATCATTACCTGTGGTAACATAAAATAATAAATGATTACTTCACTAAAAACACTGCCATGTTTGTTTCAATGGAACCGTGGACGGAATCGGTTAAACCACAAGACCAATATCATATTCCCCACATGACATCTAATTATACATTTCACATGTTACACATTGTCTATTTTAGGTCATCATTAGAACTTTGAGTGGACCTGCAGAAATAACCTTACAGAGTGAGTGAGTGAGGTTTTACGCCGCTTTTAGCAATATTCCAGCAATATCATGGCAGGGGACACTAGAAATGGGCTTCACACATTGTAGCCATGTGGGGATTCGAACCCGGGTCTTCGGTGTGATGAGCGAACGCTTTAACCACTAAGCTACCCCACCGCCCCTCCACGGATATAGAGCAACTGACACTACATTACTGGGATGAAGAGGTGGTTCTCTTTTATTATATAATTACATACTGAACAATATTCCAGCAATAAGACGTCAACCTGTATATTATCAACATCTTACCACTCTAAGCCATATTTGTATCATCCCGACCTTAATTCTGCTACTATAGACCCAAATCATTGTCAAGACTAACCTGGAGGCTCTAAACCATAATCATGCCACACTAGATCAGAATCAAAACTCTAATTGTGCCATCCAAGATGCTAATCCTCTCACACTGAATCACACTAGATCCTAATCCTGTTGCACTATATTCTAATTCTGTCACACATGACCCTAATCCTGTCAAACTTGACCCTGATAATGTCACAGAAAATATAATTCCTGTCGCGCCTGACTCTTATCCTGTCACACATGTCCCTAGTCATATCACACATGACCCTAATCCTGTCATACTAAATCCTAATCCTTTCACACTAGACCCTAATCATGTCAAACATAATCCTAATCCTGTCACACTAAACCCTAATCCTGTCACACTAAACCCTAATCCTGTCTTGTCAAACTAATCCTGTCAAACATAATCCTAATCCTGTCACACAAACCCTAATCCTGTCACACTAAACCCTAATCCTGTCACACTAAACCCTAATCCTGTCACACTTAACCCTAATGATGACAAAGAATAATTCCTATATTCATCTAACTAGCATGGAGATGATTGACCCTCGTTGTGAACCCAATGAATATGATAGGAAGGCGGAGATGAGAGTGGCGCTGTCACCAGTAACAGTGGGTGGTGCTCTGCTGCAAACACATAGAGAATCTCACCCAAGTGTCTTCTGATATCAATTATATCAACACGAGTTGATAAAGTTACAAATATCCGAGGCTTGCCGAGGGTATTTTAACTTTTATCAACGAGTGTTGATATATTTGATATCAGAAGACACGAGGGTGAGAATCTATTTATCATCAAAAATCACTCTTCATTAGTTTCAATGAAAAATGTATATCTCTGAACACAGTACTGCCATTAGATTTACAGTGCAGCGATGTCATAGCATTGTGACGTCATCAAGTTCATGACGTCATAGCATTGTCAGGGCATTGTACAAAATCTACTGTCAAAATGATATCTCCTAGGAGAATCGTCTGATCTCACACAAGCGATATCTCCTGTGGAACACAGTTTTGGATGATATAAAACCAAATCCAAATATTGGGTTCCTCCATACATTGCCCCAACCAATACACTGCACACCTTAAACACACCTGTGTCTAACAATCCTCGAACAACACACAATCAATACAGGCCCACAATTAAGACACTCATTTAGAAATAAACGATAAAATCCTTTTGATTAATAGCAACATACTTCAGATTCCATGAAACAAGCGATTCTGCAAAAACCAAAACCGTTGACAACATAAGCAGGTAGCCACAATAAATGAACCACAAATTCGAGACTTTTATCTGAATATGTTTGAAAGTTATAAAAACCTTAGAATTCTGGGAATGAAAATACAAATCAATTCCTGCAAATTCAACATTGCACCTCCAGACAGTTACATAATGCTACAACAGCCATTATGATAATTAGATGAAGCAAGATAATATTTTCACGGATGCAGCGAGGGATAAAGGTCTGGCCCCGATTTCTCGAAACAAACTTAAGTCTGAGTTTCGACTTAATTTAGAGTTTTTACTCAAATTTGAGAAAATGCATTTCCCAGAATGAACTAAAATCGATATTAAACTCAAACATAGTAGAAAATTTGAGTTTGGTGGATAGATTACTTAAGTTGTTTGGGCTTTTTTATTTAAAAAATGCAGTTGAGTTAAAAATTCATCTGTTTCAAATTTTCCAACTCAGTTTGAAATTTGAGTAAAAACCTTAAGTTTGTTTCCAGAAATCGGGGCCTGATAATTACGACGTCAGTCGGTGCCAAGTACATGGAAGTCGATGCTGGGAACGGATGACGCGGAGGCATGTAGAACGGATGCTTATAGATGTAGTGATTGAAATGCACATGAAACATTTGAGAATGATTAACATGGTAACCATAGTAACTGTACACACATATAATATACATCGCTGAATACTTGAAATTTACAAACATGACATTAAATATACAATGTTGTTAGAAAAAGGGTATAAGCTTTAGTCCACAGAAATTAAAATATTCTTAAAACGAATCACTCTGTTTCTTAACCATTCAGTTTGCTTCAGAACAAACAATTATGATTCTAAAAGACACATCAGTGATCTCAAATACAACCTACAAAAATCAGATTTGTGCTCACTACAAACTATACCAAGACCAGAGGATGCCACATTACAGGTCACGTCTATTAGACATTTTGAAAACTTAAAGTGAATGAGTGAGTGAGTTTAGTTTTACGCTGCTTTTGGCAATATTCCAGCAATATCATGACAAGGGACACCAGGAATGGGCTTCACACATTGCACCCATGTGGGGAATCGAACCTGGGCCTTCGGTGTGACCAGCGAACACTTTAACCACTAGGTTACCCCACCTCCTTTGAAAACTTAAACTGATGACTGAAATGACAGAGAGGATGTCAGCATCAGCTTATCTGAAAGCTGCTTTCTCAAGCTTTACAGCTCTCATTTTGCAAATGTGACTTCCATTTCAGGAAAAACTTGAATATTTTGAAAGATGTCTTGATTCAAATTTGGAAACTGAACAAAAGAAAACTCTGGAATTTCAGATGAAATAATATATCAGTACTTCCAATGTAAGTAACGTCTCTTCTGATCCAGATGAAACCAGAGAAAGACGATGATGTTGAGGCAATCATACAGCCCAATAACATTTTTCAGATTGCCACGGGGGTAACCTTCCAAGGTTACAGGACTGACTGAGTTTAGTTTTACGCCACTTTTAGCAATATTCCAGCAAAGGTTACAGAAAGCTTCACAATTGTACCATGTGGGGAGAACCGGGTCTTGGTGACAAGCCAGCGCTTTAACCACTAGCTTCCTCACTGCCCCGGTTACAGGAAGAGAGAACACATTCAGACTTTTGCGATCTGGTAAGTGAACCTCTGATTGCTGGTACGACAACTCATTCTTTAATATATGTCACTAGCAATGGGATATCCTCAGATCTATGTGTAGTGTTAGCAAACACTATGATCTGATTTTATTTTAAAATTTTATTGATTTTAAACATTTTAAAAATAAATTTCAACTCAACTATCATCCACGATTAGTTTTGTCAATGACACACCAACTCTCAAAAGAAAACAAAGGTCAAGTAGAATGATTCGATTCATAAGAAATAAAACATGAATTTTTTTTGCTTCGGAATTCATCATTATGTCTCAGTACTGACTAAATTGTGCATGTGGACATGCAAACCAAGACATCTGAACAGACTTGCAGAGATTTCACCTGTAAAACAAGGACCAAAATAAGAATGATTTCAACAATACCAGAGCTTCTACACTGCCGGGATAAAAAAGAAAGCCCAAGTTACACAACATTGTATACAGTCATGAATAACATTCAATCAGCTTTTATTTTTATTTTCTTCCCAACGGGTTGCTGCATTTTCTTCTTCTTAACAAAACCTTTGGCTTCCTTCATCAGTGATCTCACATCCTCTTCCTCTGGGTCATAGTCCGAGTCTTCCTCCTCGTGATCTCCGTACGAAGACTCGCTCGCATAAGACTGCCCAATATCATCGATAAAACTGTCATTGTAGTCGTATGTGTTCGGTTCTCCGTCATCGTCATTGTCCTTATCAAGAACACTTGTTTTACCTGTAATGAGATCAAAAAGGGACTTACGTTTTTTTTAATGCTATTTCTGTTATAAGGTGTCTTGGTAAAGGCCAAACGTTTTATTCCGCTGTCTCAAGAATTCTGGCCCCAAAGTAATTGTCATGAGTCACCATGCATGATTTATGGCTAGGGGAGAGATGATGACTTTTAAGGCGAAGCATGTATAATGTAAATGACCCCCCTTAAAATTTATAGCAAATGACCCACCCACCCCTGCATGTGTACAAAATTGATGACCCCACTACCTCCCCAGAACGAAATGGGTAAACCCCCTTAAAATCATCATCACCCCGCCACAAATTATGAACGGTCCCTTAGATCATGAATAATGTAAAAATTCCAATTTCAAACACTTCATTTTATTTACTCAAAATGTTATGTAGATGGAGTGGGTGGGGATTTTAGTTATAGTATCATATCTTTATCATATGTTATCCTTACCTGACCTGACTTACCATACTGTGTCCTTACCATGTCTTATTCTTACATGCCTTCTTACATTGCCTGTTTGCAGTTTTAAATGTATTGGATATCTTTGCAAGATTCTCAGGACTAAAAATTGAGTTGAGTGAGTTTGGTTTTACGCTGCTTTTAGCAATATTCCAGCAATATCATGGCAGGAGACACCAGAAATGAGCTTCACACATTGTACCCATGTGGGGACTCGAACTCGGGTCTTTGGCGCGACAAGCGAATGCTTTAACCGCTAGGCTCCTAGGTGATCATTGCAAATGGCTTAGGTAAACAAATGTTTCATTCACAAGTAGAATATTAGGCATTTTCAATTTGCTGAATCAATGAATAAAATAATCAGTGAGTATACAAAATAAAATTGTGCATTTAAAATATGATTTTCACCGCACTTCCCTTATATCCACGAATTATGGTTACGTGAGTGTAGATGTTCACCACTATTTCAACACGGGTATGATGCTGTCAATTTCATATAATCAGGGATCAGAGTCCATGATACTAGTTACCTAGCAAGTCTAAGGGGCGCAACTCTGCAAAGCAAATTTGTCAACTGAGATGACTGGTCCCTCACTAAAGATATATCAGACAGACAGCAGCACACACATTGAAGCACAAGGACTGGGATATCATGGAGTGACAATCACATACTACATAGAGGTGAAACGGTATACCGCGGTATTTTGCCTTCAGTTTGGTATACCGTAACGCAATCCCCAAAATCATATATTGGTTTTCGTACCACCATTTTATTTACCTTTTTAAACCGTTTCTAAAATGTCTAGAAATCGAATCATTTTGTCAAAATCAATGCGTTTCTATTCTGCATTATAATCATAGCTCATAGACTGAACCGAAAGTCTTGTACCACAATAGGTAAGAGCGTACCATTTCACTCAAAACTATACGGTGAAGCAAGCTATGGGTGACGGTTATTGAAGCAAAAAGCAAGCAATTGGACAATAAAACAGCTTTGATAATCAATATTTAACACATGTACGAAGCAGCTTTCAAGAAAGCAGAGTCAACAATTTAAGTCGCTGAGTGGGAAGATAATGAAATTCGTCAAACATGTTTGGAGCAAAATATCATTTTCCTCTAACAATACAACAAAGCTTATCCTTCACAAATTGAAAAAGAACAAACACTTAACAACAAATTTGACCCAAACGAAAAATTAACATGTTCACTTGACCAATACTATGAAAATGTTTATTTGAGTTCTCTGACTGACTGAGTTTAGTTTTACGCCGCTTTTAGCAATATTCCAGCAATATCCCGACGGTGGCACACCAGAAATGGGCTTAACACATTGTTCCCATGTGGGGAATCGAACCCGGGTCTTCGGTGTGACAACCAACGCTTTAACCACTAGGCTACACCACCGCCCCAAATGTTTATTTGAAGTGACTGTTGTTTTATGCCACAGTTAGCTGTAAATATCACACCTGCATCTGGAGCTGAAGATCTACCTAGGGTACACCTACCATCCTTTTTTGCTTGTTTTCTCTTGGGGCGATCATCTGGTTTCTTTTTATGAGAATATTTCTTTACATGCTCGGCATTTTTCCTGCAAGAGAGTTGCATTATAGGTTTCTTCACTCTCAATAAGTTGGAGTTGTATGATCAGGAAACTTAATAATGTTTATGATGGGAACCCTGTAGAAACCTTGTGGAATGTCAGCTGTGAAACATTACTGGAAGCACAAACCACTGTCACAGGAGCATCCCATCACAAATGAATAGTAGCATGCAAATGACAATGCAAAGGGAGACTACTCCATGACCAAGCAGCCACTGCCCAAGCAACATGCAACAAGTGTTTTCATTGGCTGGAAAATTTAGCATCGATTCACTAACTTAAAACAGTCACAATACAGCAATAATCAAAATATTTATATGACAGATGTATGATATAGACAAAAACTCCTACCTCGACTTTCAACTGATCAGCTTCAATATTTATATATGTATATATGTGCTACTACATTCAATGTTTAAATTTGAATTTTCTATGCTTAAATTTTAATTTTCTGCTTTTAACTGTCCATCTTAACAATAGCAATTTTCACAAATTTAAAGGTTTCTGTGTCAGTATTAAAATTCATAAATTTGCAGACCCATGAAGATCCGGGTTAGAATCGATCTTTAGTAACCCATGCTTGTCGTAAGAGGCAACTAACAGGATCGGGTGGTCAGGCTCGCTGACTTGGTTGACACATGTCATCATATCCCAATTGCGCAGGTCGATGCTCATGCTGTTGATCACTGGATTGTCTGGTCAAGACTTGATTATTTACAGACCAACCAACCATTATTTCACCAGGATGCCCATGAACCCCAGCACCAGAAGCCAGCGCCCCACAAACCCTACACAGGTACAAAGATAAACGTAGCATGCATTGTGACATCACAGTCAGAACATTCATCATACACACCTGTAGCAATCGGTGCCAAATTCACAATCTGGTTTATCATTGTCACGGTCATTGTCGACTTCCTCCTCGTCTTCCTCTTCATCAGATGCTTCGTCGTAAGAGGAGTCTTCAGGGTGACAAACATCTTTAAAGTGGGCAGGATTTTTTCTACAAACAAAGATAATGAAAAGCTAGTTGTTGAGCCAATTCCGCAGTTTGACTAGTACACAGTACCCTTATAGTACCCTAGACATGTTGACAGTACCCTTACAATAGCCAATACATGTTCACAGTACCCAATTTTTCACAGTACCCTCACAGTACCCAACATGTGTTCACAGTAACGACAATCTACCCTTAACATCTTCAAAGGAACCTCACAGTATCCATGTTCACAGTACTTCACAGAACCCAGTACTTGTTTACAGTACCCAAAGTTTTTCACAGTACCCTCACAGTACCCAACATGTGTTCACAGTAATGTCAATCTACTCTTAACATCTTCAAAGTAGCCTCACAGTATCCATGTTCACAGTACTTCACAGAACCCAGTACATGTTTACAGTACCCAAAGTTTTTCACAGTACCCTCACAGTACCCAACATGTGTTCACAGTAACGTCAATCTACCCTAAACATCTTCAAAGTAGCCTCACAGTATCCATGTTCACAGTGCCTCACAGAACCCAGTACATGTTCACAGTACACATTTTGGCAGTACCATTACAGTACCCAGTACATATTCACAGTACCATGACAGTAACCATGTTCACAATACCTAATACATGTTCACAGTATCCTCACAGTACCCTGTACAAGTTCACAGTACCCAACACAATGCTGAAGTCCCCACATAGTGCTCAATTCATGTCAGCTGAGTAAGCGAGTGAGTGAGTTTGGTTTTACCGCTTTTAGCAATATTCCAGCAATATCATGGCGGGGGACACCAGAAATGGGCTTCAACATTGTACCCATGTGGGGAATCGAACCAGGTTTTCAGCGTGACGAGCAAATGCTTTAACCACTAGGCTACCCTACCTCCCCTCATGTCAGCTGACTGACCTGTAGCACTTCTTCCCATATGGACATCTGGGCCTCTTCTTTGTGACCGCTGCCCTCTTCTTGGCAGGAGTTTTTACTTCCTCCTCCTCCTCCTCTTCCTCCTCACTCTCCACCTTCTTCCTCTTTGCTGTGCCACCCCTCCGTTTGGAGGGCCGGGAACATACGCCTCATCATCATCTTCCTCTTCATCATCGTCATCATCATCATCCTTGACCTTGCGGGGTCGACCACGTCTGCCTGGCCCCCTTCTCGGCGGGGCAAGAGCTTTGCCTTTTGACTGTGCGATGAAAAGAAACATGTTATACACTGAAATAAAAACAGCTAACTTGGGAATATCATCAGTGCTACAGTGTATAATGACAACCTCTGGCCTGTGAAGGACCTAGAATCAACATAAATCCCTACACAACTACCAACAACACAAGCAGGTTTCTGAGAGCTAGCCTTTCTGAAAGCCTTCTATATAATGAACACTATGGTTGATTAGCAGCAATGACTCCACTCTATTTTGAATTAGTGAACCAATTCATTACCATATTTATATTTGGGAAGACATCTTCCCCACCTCATTGCCAGAGGTGTACAGTCACTTCTCCAAGGATTCTTCTCACCAGTGTTAGGAAGTAGGATTGCTATTAGCATTGAGTCAAAGAGCACAAACAAATCAATAATGCTATATAAATGGACTATTACTATGATTTACAGATTAAAGATTGTATGCAGCAGAGAGGGTTCGGTGATCCTGGCACAGTCAGGTGGTAAGGTCATCATCAGCATGGGGTTAACACGCAGCTCAGACAGGGTGGGATTTGAAATATTTTATCGTGTTTATTGACACATGCATCAACAATTTATAAAATGAACAGCCAAACATTTTTAGTTGTTGATTTGAAATATTTGTCGTGTTTATTGACACATGCATCAACAACAGCCAAAAATGAACAGCCAAACATTTTTAGTTGTTGTTTGTTGTTAAACACCGCACTCAGCAATATTCCAGCTATATGACAGCAGTCTGTGAAAAACAGGAAGTCTGAACCAGACAATCCAGTGATCAACAGCATGAGCATCAATCTAAACAGTTGGGATACAATGTCATGTGTCAACTAAGTCACATTTTTAGCAGTATACACATGTACACACAGGGGTGAAAGACAGTATACTGTGGTACAATAACTCTTGGTGCCCTTCTCTGGTGTAGTTCATCTACCTTTCCTCTCTTTCCCTTGCCCTTGTTTTCCCAGTCACTGCCGGAATCGCCGCCACCACCGTCATCGATCTCAAAGTCACTGTCGTCATCCTTCACCCGCTTCAGATGATCTGGTAGCGAAGCATCGCTGTCATCATCCGGGATGAAGTCATCAACTGGAAACATGTCTATATCAACACACTGTCCATCATGCATAGAAAAGTCACAAGATATCATAATCTTGTAATGTTTGTTTGTTGGAAAACGCCACACTCAGCAATATTCCACCTATATGACAGCGGACTGTAAAAAAATCAAGACTGGACCAGACAATCCAGTGATCAGCAGCATGAGCATTGATCTACAGAATTGGGATATGATGACATATGTCAACAGTTACGGCCTAATCCGTCGAATTTTGAACAGTCAGCAGTGCCGATCCGTCGAATCATGCTTGAGTGGTTCTGTGCTGATCAGTCTAATTTCAGACCATGTTAACACACTGGGAGAGTCTAAGTTCATTAATTAAGGGGGTCGGCTTGTATGGTGTGTAAGAAACAGATTACTGTACTCGTGTCTGTCAGATACCAATTATCTTACAACTTGTTTTTTCAAAATGTATTTAACTCGCTTTCGCTCGTAAAATACGTTTGGAAAACGACTCGTAAGATAATGGTATCTGACAAACACTTGTTTAGTAATCTGTATATCTAACACAAATATATTGTGCTTGAATGAGTTTATAGAGTTCATAAATTCTAAAAGGTTATCAAATTAAGATGACACTGCTCCCACTTTATAAGGGATATGAAGGTGATACTTCAATTGCAAAATAGACCAGATGTTTGCTATGCGAATAGCAGACATCATGGTCGGTCTGTTGTCAAGGGTCATAACTTTTTTTTGTGTGGTCACATTTTATATGACGAGTTGGTACGTTCTAGGTTTGAGTCGACGGTGTTAAAATATAAAAGGTCTTTTTTTATTTTTGGTCGGCGATATAATTAGGGTCGGTCGGGCGATGACAAAACACAAAAAATAAAAATTCTGCCCATATGAGTAGGCAAAGATAGGTACAACAGTACAAAAATAAAGGGAGTCAAACCATCCAACACCCCTTGTGTCATTTTTTTGGTATGATCCATTGTTTGGGATAACTAATTAATAGCTAAGATCACAGTGCTCATCCGTCGAATACATTTTACTACTTTGAAATCAGAAATTCGACGGATCGGTACGCGACTGTGTCAACGAAGTCAGCGAGACTGACCACCCGATCCCGTTATTTGCCCTACGACAAGCATGGGTTGCTGAAGATCAATTCTAACCTGGTCTAATCCAGTAATGAAAGAGGTATTTGTCTGAGAGAGCAAGACTACCTTCACATACTACCCACGACTACCCACATTGACTGAGATCATAAGTCAAGTACAACAATGTCATACACAAAGCTTAAGCTATACCAAGGCATGTCAGTTTGAAAGGCAGTTGCTGTAAAACCTACAGGTATGGAGCTTTCAAAGTGAGTGAGTCAGTGAGTATGGTTAATACCGCACTCAGCAATATTCCAGCAATATGACGTCAGTCTGTAAAGAATCGAGTCTGGACCAGACAATCCAGTTATCAACAGTATGATCATCAATCCACGTAATTGGGAAACGATGACACATGCATGCATTGTATTACTGTGCTGAAAGAAATTACTGACTTCATAGTAGCTGAAGTCATTTTTTTGCATTAATCTTTAATCAACTTGTGAAGTTGTAACCGTGGACACGTATATTTATAAGAATGGACTTACGCACACACACACACTCCCTCACTCACTCACATATCTGCAGTCATGGTGGAAGCCTCTCAAATCAATATCTCACCATAGCTGCCTCTTGATTCTCGTGCTGCCCGCTGGGGTCGTTTTCGAGGTGAAAAATCATCATCGTCGTCATCATCATATGCAGCAGCCCTCCGTGTCGGTCGTGCACGTCGTCGTGGTTTCCTTTCTTCCTCCTCTTCTTCCTCTGATGAATATGTCTTCCTCTTTCTCTTCTGCTTCCTCTGAACAGGTTCCTCTTCCTCCTCTTCATCATAGTCATCGTCATACGTTCGTTTTGGGGGAGCTCGTTTACGTGGGGAGGTGGATGTGGGCCTCTCAGCTGATGAAAACATAAACATGAAGTCATGGTTCATAACTGTAAAATAATCCACTTTCCTAACACACTGTCATTATCAATCTTATTTAATGCATAGACCCAACATGTACATTACAAACCAAATAAACAACATATACTGATTTGGGTGAAGCAAGTAAATGATGTTTATGTCAACAATACTTCCCGGACATGCGAAACCATCAATGTAACCATGGTAACTGGTATATATTAATACACTGTCAACCAAGTTCACTGAGTTACTACTCCTGAATCCCGCTCCACAAAACATTCGTACTTTGTATGGACGAAATTTGTATGGTTATGATAAACCATAGAGTTACGACAGCTCGTAACGTTTATGAACACTTTGTGGTTCGGGACCCAGGTTCTTGTGTGAAGTGGCATCTAGAACTAGCATAAACCTGATAAGCTGAGGGGGGTGTATTCATTACAGAAATCATAAACCTTTCAATTATTCAACATTTTGAGCAAAAAAATCATCTGTAACAAGAAACTGGTCAGGCTTTAGAATGACCATATAGAACATGACCATGTGATTGGCTATAGTGAGTGAGTGTGGTTTTACGCCGCTTTTAGCAATATTCCAGCAACATTACGACGGGGAACACCAGAAATGGGCTTCACACATTGTATCCACATGGGGACCAGAAATGGTATCGGATGTTTTCACATTTAGGCATTGTACCCACATGAATTTTAAAACAAATTGGGATTCGTTAACCAAAGGAGTTGGTGTATAAGGAAAGAGTGTGAACATGTTTCAGCATAACGTTGTTTGACAATAACACTTTAACCACTAGGCTTTGTTAAGAAAGAGAACTAAGAGTTTTTTCAGTGATTCCTGATATAAATTAGTTACATCCAATTGTTTGTGAAAGCATCGTGCGCCACTGATTGACTATCAAAGAAATCATGGTTCCAAATGACTTTCATTAAATGAACAGTGTGTGTGAATCACAAGACTGCTGTATAAGAAATAAAGATTTTAAAGATAAAGACTGACTACTGGAAACAAAACAAATGTTTTCCTCCGAGTTTGGGTCAACTTACCTCCCCTCTTGGCAACAGCTGGTATTTTTGCAGTGGGCTTCTTCTTCTTCTCTGGCACTGGACCCACGGCGGCCATCTTGATCATCCAGTCAGGCAGTGTCCGCTCCTTGTCTAGGGGCATCAGCCATCTTCGGCTTCATCTTCGGCCGGGACCTTAACCACCTTGTTCTGTAAGTAATGGAAATGAATCTCTAACTATTAACGGGATTGGCATTCATATTCTTTCATAAAAAGCCAGTACTAGTTAATTTAATGACATGGTTGTAAACATCAAGTGTCATAGAATGGAATAAAGGGTCGATTCTTTATTTGGATATTTTGTGAAACATTAAATGACTTTGACTTGTATCTTGAGAGTATTTAATACTTAGATGGGTCAGGGTAGCTTGGTGTGACTGGCTTTTGGGTGGCTGACTGAGTTTAAGTGTCATGGCGCAGGTGAGTGTCACAGTGTGGGTGGCTTTGTATGAGTGACTTGGTGTGGATACGTTATGTGGGTAGCTTGATACAACAAGTGGCTTGGAGAAAGTGGTAAGGTGTAAGTGGTAAGGTGTAGTTTGTAAGTGAGTATAATTTGACACCACACTCAGCAATATTCCAGCTATATGGCAGCAGTCTGTAAATAATTGAGTCTGGACCAGTCAATCCAGTGATCAAAAATATGAGCATCGATCTATGCAATTGGGAACCGATGACATGTCAACCAAGTCAGCAAGCCTGACCACCCGATCCCGTCAGTCGCCTCTTACGACAAGCATGGGTTACTGAAGATCAATTCTAATGGGTCGGCTGGGTGTACATGGCTAGGTGTACATATGTCTGTATACATCGGTATGTGCCTAGGCTGGCTGAGTATAGTTTGGCGCCATTTTTAGCAATATTCCAGCAATATCACGGCGGGGAACACCAGAAATGAGAAATGGGCTTCACAAGTTGTACCCATGTGCAGAATCGAACCCGAGCCTTGACGAGCGAACGCTTTAACCACTAGGCTACCACACCGCCCCAGTATGTGCCTAGGCTTGTTGGAAGTGGTATGAGCAGAGTGAGAGGCTTGGTGTCAGTACCTTAGTCTGTTTCCTTGGGGTGTCTTCAAGATCTCTGCCAACATCATCCAGGAAGTCGTCTGGATCTTAAAGTAACATAGAGTGTAGAGACATCAGAGGAACAGACCGAAATGTTAACATAACATCAGGCTTTGGTTGTTTTTATTCATTTGCTTAAGGATCTGTTAAAACAAAAAGGGTTTAAACACATAGGTTTCGTGATTTGCTATTTTACCACTTACGCCAAAAAACAATGTCACATTATTATTAGAGCCCGTAAGTAGGTCACGGCACGCAACACCTTATGTTGTGTAGTACTTTTTCGGTAATAAACAATGTTTCACACCTTTTCGAATGGTCTCATGGTTGTCACTTGACAGTAAGGAACTGATAATCCTTGCAGGTATAACAAATTTCCAATCTAACCGTCCCTAAATTTACCAACTATTATGACTACCAACAACTGTGACAGCCAAGCATGGTTGTACACTTGGTTCCGTCTAGTAAAGTCATAATTGGCAGTCACGCAATTTGGAACCAGAACTGGTTCTTGAATGTACGCTTGTCACCCGATATCTGGTACCGGAAGTATGCTGCACAAAGGGAGCCAGGAGCCAGCTAAGTAAAGGAAGTAGCGCCTTGCAAGACTTACAGGCCCTATTAAAAGAGGATGTTTTCGCCCCCTCTACTCTTACCAGGCCTGTGGATCAAACTAGGCCTGCCAACTCTCTACCCGGCCATGTTACAACTTACTCCTTGCCAACTAAATAGACTGAACAAAGGGTTTGAATCCTAAATCATGATTGTGGGTTTCATCATTTGTTAAACATCAATGACCTGCATTTAACTTTAATTCCATTTTAGTGAGTGAGTGAGTTAAGTTTTACACTGCTTTTAGCAATATTCCAGCATTATCATGGCGGGGGACACCAGAAATGGGCTTCACATATTGTACCCATTTTGAGAAATCGAACCCGGGTCTTTGGTGTGACGAGCAAAAGCTTTAACCACTAGACTACCCAACTGCCCCTAATTCCACTTTAAACTGACGCTCAATGATCAATATTCCAGCAATATCACTTTGGGGGACACCAGAAATGGGCATCACACATTGTACCCATGTGGGGATTAGAACCCAGGTTTTCGGCGTGACGAGCGAACGCTTTAACCACTAGACTACCCACCTCCTAATTCTACTTTAAAATGCGCTCAATGATCAAAGTTTTAAGCATTCATATAAAAATGATGGTGAGATTCTATTTATTATTCACCCTTCAGCTTGTAAATGGTAACAAGCAATGCCCAAAGTTTTAAAAATACTGAGACGTCATGGTCATCATAAATGTCTGCAAAGCATGGTGATGTAATTTTAATGCAGCAAATATTAAATGGGAAATATTGCTAGTTCTTTCCTAAGCAATATCTCCTGTGAAAGCCAGTTTGGGATGGTATATACTGAAATACTGTGTGTGTAAGGGGTGTCACGCCAACTCACTTACCAATGACTGTATACAGACTAGCCAGTACAATGTAATGGCGTTCATTACCTTCATCTTTCACTGTTCTGTCCAATGACTTTGGTTCCGATTTGACTGACTGACTCTTTGGTTCTTCTTTGACACTGTAAAAGATATTATTTGACAATAAGGCCATTTAGATGATGACAATTTTCATTAAAAAATTATACTAAACGATAATATATATTGTAAGAACAAACATGTCTTTAATACTGACAAAATATAATTTTTATGATAAAATTGATATTTTATTCTTATCCTGATTCATGATCTAAAGCCCTCCCAACCGTCCCCTCTCAGCATTACGGGCTTCACTCTAAGTCGTAATGTGGGCTTATTTCGGAAAGAGTGATGACAGCTGGGCTCAGGTCACGTGGGGCGTTTTGGCGGGAAAGTGGAGGCTACTCGTGGGTGAGTGAAATTACGATCGCTTCAGGGAATTGAAAGGGATTCAAGTTTCCACTTAACCGTCAAAAGGAGAAGGGGGATAAGGAAAAATAGACAGTTTACATAGTTTTAGAGTGTCTGGAGAATAACATAAAGAAATGCCACGGTAACTCAACATGTTAATGAGTTCTGATTATCAGTTCTGATAATGAGTTTTCCAAAGACATATTAAAGGAATGGTCAGTACTTTGCTGACATCAGGGTTGTCCCTAGCCTTGTACCCCTGAAGGTCGTGACAACAAATAAATGTTGGCATCAAGACAATAAATACTGAAGTGACTGATTTCTTATTGATATATTTAAAATGGACACATCCCAAACAGATGACAAACATTATGATTTTCATCAAACTTCAAGCTACAAATACTGTAGTGTCAGTTAGTTTTCTGAAACCACAAATATGTTGCAGCTGAAACCAAAACATCATTAAATACCTCATTAACAATAAACATGCATGAGTCATCTCCCCTTAGTGACAAAACAGTTGTGTTTTGTTTGCCTGTTATACACGATTAACACCACACTAAGCAATATTTCACCTTTATCATGTATATGAGTGAGTGAGTGAGTGTAGTTTTACGCCGCACTCAGCAATATTCCAGCTCTATGGTGGCGGTATGTGAATAATCGAGTCTGGACCAGACAATCCAGTGATCAACAGCATGAGCATCGATCAGCGCAATTGGGAACCGATGACATGTATCAACCAAGTCAGGGAGGCTGACCACCCGATCCTGTTAGTCGCCTCTTACGTGAAGCATGGGTTACTGAAGATCAATATTCTAACCCGGACTTTCACAGGTGTCTCATGCATATGACAGCGGTATGTATATTGATCCTGGACCTGACAATCCAGTGACTGACATCATGAGCATCGGTCTACAAATCATTGGTGAGATCACGATGTCCATGTTCTTTCTACATCTATAAAGTTGTTCTGTCAATATATTCACAATCTGAGATGACAACAAACTGTCCATGACATATGCTGAACTCACAGACAAAGTGAGCTAAAAATAGGTAACAGATTATCATGGTTTATAACCAGCATTTGGTATCAATTACCAAATCAAATATATCAATATTCACTCTCAGCAAAAAATACTTCCAGGCACATTTATTTTTTTTTTCGACGAGTTAATAATGACCCCTTACCTTGTACCATTAATGGCCCCTTGTTTCCCACATACAGTGAAAAACAGTTGTTCAGGAAGCAGTCCAAAGACATCACCAGTGGCCAGCTTACACTTGTCATCTTTAGGCAAGGCTACGTGATGTTCTCCCCCTCCTCGTCGCAGGAAGCAGGGGTTGGTGTGAGTCTGTAACATCAAAATGTCATTAGTAGTAGTAGTAGTAGTAGTAGTACAAAAATTAGAAGAATTTGTTCTCATGAAAAGTCTGAATTTCAGTTCAGTTGCAATGCTACATACATGTTTCTAACTAAAAGTTAGAGGGGGGCGGTGTGGTAGCCTAGTGGTTAAAGTGTTCATTTGTCACCCAAGTTCGATTCCCCTCATGGGTACAATATGTAAAGCCCATTTCTGGTGTCCCCCTCCGCGATATTGCTGGAATATTGCTAAAAGCGGCAAAAAACCATACTCACTCACTCAGGATAAAGTGCATACTTTCCTTACAGTTACACTGGAATATGGTTACAAATTGTGAAGAAATTTCACAGAAACTAAAACATGAAATATCACACATTATAACATGGTGTAAGTTGGCTGTAACACTGAACATATACTCACTTAGTACAAATTTAACTTACTGGAGTTATGTATAAAGTCTTGTCAGCAACCTGTAGCTCAGCATGACTCCGGGAAACTCTCTTGTCAGTAATCTGATGAAAGACAACGTGATTGTGTAATATAATTACAAATTAGATCACATTAGTATTTACATGAATGTTTGAGCATTGGTATCTCAATACAATTTACATTCCCTTCCAGTTCTCACTTATTAAATATCATAAATATATTTAAATACACTAGGTAAAGAACACAATATTAACAAATCATAAATAATTATTTACATATTGATATCTTGAACTTCCTCTGTGATTACCAAATATGTTCTTGTTTCAATATTTGTACTGATTAATTAGCATTATATTCTATTATTCCTTGCAACTACCTGTTCAAAGGTGATTCATGCATAAAAAAACACATAATTATTGAACCGAAGAAGTATAACATTGTTCATTCTGCACTTTCAGCGGAAACAAACATGTTGCAACATTTTAACACCTAGGTCACCGACGTAGGTAATTTTAGCGTTCGTTGATTTGTACCTGAAGGAATGGGCCTCTACCGATGACAGTTTTTCCCAAAGGTACTTCAATGACTTCCCCACCTTCCGTCGATTGCAGAAATATGCCCGACATATTTTGACCAATGTATATTACATTTATATCCTGCAATATTTTGCTGGAACGTGGAGTGAGAAACTAGGTCACAGAATTGATGAAGCCAACGCCGTCCCGCGAGCTTCCTTGATATTCTACTACCTCAATCGATGTTTGTTCAGCAAATCAAATGAAAAATATTTGTGCAAAACAATGGAAAAGTGCAAAAGTTGTTAAATTAGAGGCAGTTTTTGCCAAACATTCGTGGACGCATCACATTTTCGCTTGTTTTGGTCGCAAAAACTTTTCGATTTCCAAACAAAACGAGTGGATCAAGGGGGCGCTACTCTATTGTGTCTTTGCGGACGGTGTAAAGAGCTGTAATACAATTATGGCATTTGTTCAAATATTTGATAAGAATACTGAACCATATGATCAAAGTATGAATGAGAAAAGAGATCATTCTATTTTTGTCTGTGTTCTAATGAGTCGTTGAAAAAGTAGAAATCGATTAAAATAAGATAATACGATTTACCTGAAAACAAATATATAGTTATCTCCGAACACAGTTTAGAATAAGTATCTATATCAGTTTTGGATTTTAACACATGAAGAGATATAAATAAAAAACGTCGTGTACATTGTCATGCTCCTATTTATGTCCTAAACCTCATTATAATTAATATGTATCCCATAAAAGATATATTTCTCTCAATTTCAAAGTCATCTGAACACCTCTGTTTCTTGCATGTCTCTGTTATATGCTTTTGTTCTGAATGTAAAACAATATTGCATATTAACATTGTATTGACTGAAAACTAAAATATGGAAGTATTAATTTTACACACTGATCATAAAATACTGAGTGTTATCGCTTTCAAGTATTTTACATTTTGATGAGCAATCTAACGATTGGCAATATTGTGGCGGGTCACACTGCTTCACTGGTAACAATACGATATGACGTCATCCATTTATTGCGTCACTTTGATAACGTTACGTAACCTCAACAATATAGGCTGATGTCACTGACGTTTCTTTACAGGGTTTACAAGGTGCGCTTGGGTAGCCTAGTGGTTAAAGCGTTCGCTCGTCAAGCTGAAGACCCGGGTTCGATTCCCCACATGGGCACAATGTGTGAAGCCCATTTCTGGTGCCCCCTGCCGCGATATTGCTGGAATATTGCTAAAAGCGGCGTAAAACTAAACTCAGTCACTCAATATAGGGTTTATGACATTCGTTCGCTTGGGTCATAATCCGTAGCCGGTTGAAGATTGTCTGTGTCCCGAGATAGAATCGTGGCTTGACATTGCATATGAATACTTTACAACATTAGTTTCTCTTTTCGTTTTACCCAATCCCAAATTTGAGAAATAAGTGGCATTCTTCTTGGCTTGGCGAACTGGTTGTCATAGTATTCATATCAATATGAATATTTGTTTAGTTAGGGTACATTTTCCGCACATTCTGACAACCAGTGGGGTTTGGTTGTCTGTAGGGTAGTTCTCGGTAGCTGTTTTCTCCTCTCCAATAAATATATTGAAGTCAATAATCCTTCCATCATGCCATATCACCACAAAGTACCATGATGATCTTCATCAACCCATGCATGCTCATCAACCCATGCAGTTGGTTGGTGAAAAAAGTTCACTTCACTGTTTACACCCGTGAAGATCAGGGTAAGATTTGATTTGAACCCATGTTTGTTGTAAAAGGCTACTAACGGGATCGGGTGGTCAGGCTCGCTGACTTGGTTGACACGTCATCGTATCCCAACTGCGTAGATCGATGTTCATGCAGTCAATCATTTGGTGTCATCTCTGGGCTCGATTATTTACAGAGTGCAAACAAACAATGAGAACCCATACAGGTCCAGTTGGAGAAAATAGTGGTTGTGTTTTGGGGCTGATTTTAGTTGGCTGGCTATTTGGCGACGCACACTGTAAATATTCGTTTCTGGCGAGGTCTGTAAATAATCCTGTCTGGGCCAGACAATCTAGTGATGAACAGCACGAGCAATGATCTACGCAACTGGGATACGACACTTGTCAACCAAGTCAGCGAGCCTGAATATCTGATCCCGTTAGTCGCCCCTTATGACAAGCATGGGTTACTGAAGATCAATTCTAACCTCGATCTTCACGGGTCTTGTTTATAGCAATTTATATCATAAGAGCAGTTTATCTATTTTTTTACGGTAGCTTCGATTATCCAGACCTTGTAAGCTGTAATGAGATAGGGGAAAATCACGTCAACCAGATAAAAACAGCCTTTAGTGAATGTAGTCTATAAAATCGATTTTTCCTAGCAACCAATGCCTTAACATTTTTACGTCGATCTATAAATAACACGGGCAGGGCAACTCTTTCCGACGCTACCGATAAGCCATACCATGTGACGAGTTTCGGACCGAACTGTTTTCCGACACCCCACAGAGTGTCGTTATCGTCATGACCAAAGCTTACGCAATGGCCAAGGGCAAATGGAGGGGGTATTTAGACCTTCTTTTCAGAGATACTGGTTACTGAAAAAGTCTCTCTCATCTGTTTTAGCGGCACGGCCGTCTTGATGAAGCTGTCCTGTATGCTGTAACCGATAGTTCCGATCGTCCAACCAAATCGGGCCTTGGAGTAGCTTAGAGGTTAAAGCGTTCGCTCGTCACGCTGAAGACCAGCGTTCTATTCCCCACATGCAATGAGTGAAGTCCATCTCTGCAGAGATATTGCTGGAATATTACTAAAAGCGGCGTAAAACTGAACTCATTCGACGAGATACGGTGACTCGCGGTCGTTTGTCACCGAGTCTGACCACTCGATGCACAGAGTCGTCTTTCACTCCACGCTGTTTGACATTTGGATTGATTCCGATTTCATCAATCTCCTCAAAATCAAATCTCAGGAATCGCTACTGCTCAAAGAGATCTTTGTTTGTTGGTTGCGAAATTTAGATTTAAACTGAGATTGGAATTTCCCGTTCATGCAGAGCAGTAAACCAGTCACCTCCGGTTTATGGTGTCCATACTTCCAGTTTGCTTTGGTATACTGTGGTATATTATGCGTGCGTGTGCGTGCATACAGTACCGATGGGCAACATTTGTGAGTACCACTTGTCCGACTTCAATATTTGTGGAAGCCGCGGTGGCTGAGCGGGTTAGGCGGCTGATTTTGTGTGCTGGCGATTAGGTGCCTGCCTCTGAGGTTGTGGGTTCGAATCCCGGATGGGACTCAACCAGACAAACGTACTCGAATCAGTACTTTACAAAGAAAGTGTAATCCCAAATATAGCATATGTAACATGTAACATTTGTGAGTTCGATTAACGGTTTGACACTGGTTTTGACGTGCGTTGCTTGGCATCGAAATTATGGACATATCATGTTGAAACAGGGGCAGAACCAATCAATTTGATGTAATAAGTGTAATAATAACGAGAATATTTATAACACGCCTTTTCCAGGCTAGATATCTTGCTCAAAGCGCACAATCTGATCATTATTACCCCGGATAACCCAAGCTGCCTGTTAGGCGCTAGAAGGTTAATAGTCTCACGACTTATTTCACCGGGTACCCATTTTCTGCTGGGTGAACAGAGGCAATTTTGAATAAACTCACTTGCCTAAGGTGAGACCACATGTATCACATGTGCTTCGTTGTGGGGCAAGACTGCATGAAGTCCTAGACACTGAGGAGTCAAGCTGTCACACAGTCACCCATCCAAGGACTCTCCGCACCCAACGTTGCTTAATTTCAACTGATTGTGACCTGAGCTCTATGCACAGGACCACACACCACCACAAAGTATCATGGCGGCTCTTTGATTAATCATAACCAGAAAGAAACAATGGACGACAGTGTAAGCACAGATCATAGTTGACACTGGAGCGTTGTCCCACATTAGGACAATGACCTTTATTAGCATGTTTACTTTCTTTCATTTATTTTTTTTTTTTTAAATGTTACATTCAGCAATATTTTTGCTATATGACGGAGATCTGTAAACAGTGATTGACATCAAGAGTATCGTCTTACCTTGGCCCTTATTCTCGAAACGTTCGTAGCCCTAAGAATTCTTAACTTTTACCGTAGCCAATGTGTTAAGAATGGGCTTAAGAAGTTCGTAGCGTTACGAACGTCTCGAGAATAGCTAGCCTGGTGATATTCTTGTACATAGTCAGCGAAACTGACCACCCGATCGACTTGTGCCACAACCAAAGGTTACTGAAGACCAATTTCAACATGGATATCCCTGCAGATGTTGTTCAAGACTCCACTTTATCTACAAGCTCAAAGTTTATTTTGGCTGATGATTGTCTGCTTGTCGTAAGAGGCGACTAACGGGATCAGGTGGTCAGGCTCGCTGATTTGGTTGACACATGTCATCGCATAGAGCTTGGTGTCAATACAACTAAACATGCCCGACAAAGGTAATCGATTACAACAAAACACAGAATTAAATTGAGTTATTAGATGGCGTTCTTGTGACCAGTGATCACTTCGATTTGTTCTTCAGTTTCCGTTTTTTCGAAGATTTCACACTTTCTCCTTGTATCTTAGTTTTGGAACCTTTGCTTCTATCACGTGACGAGACTCAGAATGGGCGTTATTTTGATTTTCGCCTTTCGTCTCATAATGCCAGTTGCATATTTTGTCGATGACAAATTGAACGGTATTTTCTAGACCTGAAGATCTCACAACTAAACTGTGATCTGCATTTTCTAACCAACAAACAGAACTATTCTTCACGTTGTCTAGAACGTCAATAAGTCTCTTCTTCTCACACATGTCATCTCGGTCTCCGCTTACAAACAATGACGGCTGGCAGAGATCGTACAAGGGAGCATCCCTGATTTTTTCTGGTGAACCGGGTGGGTACAAAGGATAGGAGACACAGATTACTCCCTGGACGAAAGATTCAAATTCTGTTCCTTTCAGCTGATTGGCTACTTCAACCGCTGCCCTTGACCCCATCGATCTTCCTAAATGTCAAACAAAACAAAACTTACTATAAAATGCAATAATGTTTTACAATATTTATTTTTTACAACAGCCAATCGGCCATTGTCGGTTGGGGTTCCGGGTTAAACTGACTGGTCCCTCGAAACCATTGACGAGGCGGCTAATGGAACGGGAATTTGAAACCATTAAAACTGTTAAGGGAATCAGACTCGGTCACAATTTGTTAAACTCGATTTCGAGTGTATTTCGCCCTTTAGCAACATTCCAGTAAGATCACGACGGGGAAAATCAGAAATGGACTTCACATATTGTACCCATAAGGGGAATCGAACCTGGGTTTCGGTCTGACAAGCGGATGCTTTTGCCACTAGGCTATAGCTCTCGGTACATGAGAATTGACAGAACTTTGCAATTATTTCTTCAGCAGTAAATCCCCTCATTAAAGATATAACCAATATAATATCAAGAACGTCGTTCATAAGATACTTCAATAATATAGTAACACAAGAATGGTTGTTTAACGCCACGGCTAGTGCACTTACACAGCGACGATTATGCACTCCGTGAACCATAGTGACCTTACCGTCCTGCCCTTAGTGATCAAGACAAAGGGTTGTGAGAGGCGGTGGTGTAGCCAAGCGGTTAAAGCGTTCGCTCGTCACGCTGAAGACCCGGGTTCGATTCCCCACGTTTACAATGTGTGAAGCCCATTTCTGGTGTTCCCCGCTGTGATATTGCTGGATTATTGCTAAAGGGGCCATAATACCATACTCACTCATTCACTATTATAAATGAGGCAAGGCCAGAATTTCCAAAGGAGCATCTGTCTGTGCCTGACTGATTATTTTCCCCACCGCTAAGCACTTTCTGCAATGCTATAGCCCCAAATGAAGCGAGTCTAGATTTCTTCAAGTTCTGGATCTCCCATCGCACTGGGGCTCGTTCTCAGTTTAAAAGGAATTCTTTGTTTCGGTCAAAATTATATATATTCAGAGACAAGACGTTAGTGTACGTCTCCCAGTACGTTACAGTTTCCTTCCAATTTAAATGCAATTGACTGTTTCATCGGGGTCAGTCTGATCTATTTCCAGTGGTCCTGCTGTCCCCAATGACCTGTATTCTGCCAGATGGTCAGAGTTCGGTTATCGACTTAAACAGAGTGTCCAAGTACAGGTGAGATAGTACAAACCACGCCCTGTATACCAACTTCAGATTGTATTGATATCGATGAATATCTAACATTTTTCCGATTTCGGTAATACTTATTGACTATGTCAAGTATTGATTTTCTACAACGTCAGACTGAGTATTCGATCAAGTAATGATTGTCTACAATATCAGATCTGTATGGAACGGACATTGCGCCTTGTCGCGTCGTCACAAGCCACCCCTGAAGACCCGGGTAAGAAATGGTCTCCAGTAACCCGTGCTTGTCGTAAAAGGCGACTAACGGGATGGGGTGGTCGGGCTCGCTGATTTGGTTGACACATGTCATCGTATGCTTAGTGTGCTAATCACTGTATTGTCTGGTCCAGACTCCTTTATTTACAGACCGTCGCCATATAACTGAAATATTGCTGAGAGCGGTGTTAAACAACAAAAACAAAAAAAAAGCAAAAAATTTCAAGATTAACCAAAGTGCGACAGTGCGACAATGCCCTCATAAATGAAGCTTGGGATACAGCTCACCTGAAAAATGTGACGTCAAGAATAGAATGTGTCCATGCGATCACATCTGTGATGCGACTCACATACCTCATACGTTCTTGGAATGTACACATATTTAGCATACACGTAATTAATGGAAATATAATACCATTCTGATTTACTATTATTTTTTTAACTATATTTTTTCACATGATAAATAGAAAATACATATACCTCCTACAAGGCATCTTTGGACTTCGCTGCAGTTCATCTTGAAATATTTCTGAAAAAGTAAGCATGTTAAAGTTTTTACAGTAAAGGCAATGTTAGGGATACTTAGCCTTGCTTAACAATTCAATGACACATACATGTATTTAGTTTTGTTAACAGATTCAAAAGTTAATATAATTGAATCTAGATCTGATATCAGAGTCATCCACATTGAGGGTCCGGAACGAGTATGGTTTAACGCTATATTTAGCAATATCACAAGGTCTGTAAACAATCTAATCTGGACCAGATAATCCAGTTACTAACATCATGATGACCAAGTCAGCGACCCTGACCACCCGATCTTGTTAGTCGCCTCTTATGACCATGCAGGATGGTTTGCTCAAGGTCAAGTTTCGTATTAATGCTGCTGATTTGTGTGTTAATCATTAAATAAGCACTTTAAGAGTGAGTGAGTGAGTTTAGTTTTATGCCGCACTCAGCAATATTCCAGCTATATGGCGGCGGTTTGTAAATAATCGTATATGGACCTGACAATCCAGTTATCAACAGCATGAGCATCGCTTTGTGCAACTGGGAACCGATGTCATGTGTCAACCAAGTCAGCAAGCCTGACCACCCGATCCCGTTAGTCGCCTCTTACGACAAGCATGGGTTACTGAAGATCAATATTCTAACCCGGATCTTCACGGGTCCACTGTAAGAACTGACTTCAGTGTGTTTTGTGCTAAAGTACACATAACAGCAAAAACATTTTAAACACTTTGTTCCAAAGTTTTACATTTATACCTCCATATATTAACACATTTAATTCTACAAATACCCTCACCACAACTTCAGCATACACCTTTGTCCGATATTTAAGATTAAGGCTCTTGCAGGTAAATCTGAGGACAGTGAATCCTCTCTTGGACAAACCCTCACAAATGAGGGCAACTTGTGGAGTATCCATGTCTCCTCCCGCTCCGTGGGTAAAGACAATGCCTTGGTCACGTGGTCTATTGGGCGTGGTGAGGACAGCTGGTATCTGCCTGTCCTCATATTTGATTTCCAGTTTCCTGGGGAAAACAAGTTTTATTAGCAAGTTGGATTTGACCGCAATTTCCTTTTGCGTTTTTGTGGTATAAACCTAAATACATATTGGTAAGAAAAAATTGCCAAAAGAAACATGTGCAGGTGTTACCTCTAAAATATCTTTGATTTAATTCTTAAAATTAATTAAATTCGACAACAATAACTTCCGATACAGTTTATGCTAACATTAAGGTACAAATGTGGAGACTGCCTCCGTGGTGTAGTGGTTAGAGCGTCCGCCAGGAGAGCGGGAGGTCGCGGGTTCGATCCCCGACCGCGTCATACCAAAAGACGTTAAAATATGGTACTTGTTGGTCCTTGCCTGGCGCTCGGCATTAATGGGTACAACAAGGACTGGTCGGCTCGGAGTCAGTATAATGTGTCTGAGTGGGGTATTCATGCTTCACTGCGGCTTGGTATCTCAGTGGGCTAGCACTATAAAACCATCTTCAGTCTGGGCTAGTACAAGCAGCCGCACGCACATACACACGCATGCACGTCGTCATATGAGCGAAATATTCTCAAGCACGACGTTAAACCCAATGTGGACCTCACAAATGTGGACAATACGAAATCAGTGACATTGTTCAACGATGGAACAAGCCGCGCCCATTCTATGACCAGCCAATCATGAAAAAGTAGTCCTGTAGTGACAATGTTCTGTCATAGAACAATCCCCGCCCACAATATTATCAGCTAATCGGGAAAAAGTAATCCGGCAGTGACATTGTTCTGCGTTAGAACAAGCTCCGCCCACTCTATAGTCAGCCAATCAGGAAAATCTAGCTCAGTAGTGGAAGTCGTTGACAAACGGTCACTGGCGAAATTTGGATTCGAACCCTTTCTCAGGAGACGCTGTAACGATGATCTGCAGATCAGCAATTATCATTGTTTGTTTGTTGTATAACGCCACATTCAGCAATATTCCAGTTAAATAACGGCAGCCTGTAAATAATATTCCAGGTAAATAACGGCAGCCTGTAAATATGTCTTGACAAGTGAATAATTTGTTTAGCAAAGTCACGGGCACGCGAGGTCACTGCTCCAAGTCCATATCAGTCGCCAGGTATTGGTAACTGGGAAACAATTCAATCTGGATTACGAAGGGGTCAGAAAATGACAAGCACTGAGGTCAGCTCAGTACCTGGTTTACTGTTTGACTTTCTCTGACTTACTTTGTGAAGATGTTCTGTGCCAGATCCGCCATAAGGGAACAAATGTCTGTTTATAAAACGAAGGAGTTGAGTTTTAGAATGTTTATATGGAATAACAAAATAATGTATTCATGCACTTTCCCAAACCAAAATTGCTTCAGGTCACCGTAATCAAATACATACAGTACAGCAAAACACGTTAACGTGCCACCCCAAGTACCAATTTCACTACATCATAATGCTAAAAAAATAACAAAAACATTGTTAAATGACATTTTGACAAAATTATTAATGTTATAGTTAAACATTTTCATATCCTATATATTGCGCCAACACCGAGCCTCGGGGCTTACAGGGAAAGTAATATGCAGAGTTGCTTCCCTTTGCCACGCCAGGAACCTATAATAGTGGGTTCCGTTCACGATTTGCTCCGATATATTTCTGGATCTGTCAGTACCATGCCTGAGTGTTTCACCAAAGTGGTTAACATCTGGGAACTCCATCAATTCGGGGTTTTCTCCCACATTAAACTGTCACGCTGCGATACAACTGGAATATTGTTAGAAGCGGCGTTAATCCCAGCCCACTCCCAATGCGCCTGAAAATCATGATTTATAACACATGAAGGGAGACAACTCCGAATTCGCCTCCCGGCTCCAGTCATACAGAATGTTTCCAGTACTAACAGAAACTCATTGACATATAGTACAAAACGTATGGTAATCTACATTGTCCTTACGTATACATACGTTTAAACGTCTTTTTTACGTAGTCAAATGTCTCGAAGTCCCAACTAAAATCCACCTTTGCAAACCACAACAATGACCTTTTCCCGCCACATCTCACGCCGTTTTTACTTTCCTCCGACACGGAAGAGTTGAGGTCGAGTTACCTCCCTTCTCTTCCCTTTTGGTGTCGTTTGTTTGGGTTTGTTTTTTTTGTTGTTGTTTTTTGTTGTTGTATTCCTCCCAACACTTATATCGTCGATCAATTTATGCTTCTGGTCACTTGTAGACTCCAGTTTGTTTCATTTGCGTCCATTTTGTTGTGCCAGGATCTAAATCCCATATTCATTCCGATTGTAGTTCTACCGCACGGTTTAGTATTAATTGTCTGCATGTATCAAATCATGCTACAGTATGCAACAGGAACGGCAGGGTACGTCTACGGTGACGCATCATCGGCCACGCAGGGCACACATTCTAGCGCAGTCTGGGTCCCTACTTATACTCAACATTCGTGACTGAGTTTCGTTTTACGCGGCAATATTCCAGCAATATCACGGATGGGGACACCAGAAATTGGCTTCACACATTGTACCCATGTGGGGAATCGAACCCGGGTCTTCGGTGTGACAAGCAAACGCTTTAACCACTAGGCTAACTCACCGCCCCTTTTTCGGGAAAAAGTCTCATAACACCTATATGTGTACTTTCTTTTGTACGTCAGCATTTTATATTAGTGTATAGCTAGTGGTTTGGAAACTTAAAATATATAATATATTGCCAACATCTCATCATATCTATTTACGTAAATGGGGTAAACCTGGCTTACAACTTGTAAGTTTTTGTAATTAGTAATATAACCTTTTTCTGTGTATTTATTCTTATGTGCATAAGACTGACTGAATTTGGTTTTACGCCGCTTTAAGCGATATTCCAGCAACATCACGGCGGGGGACACCAGAAATGGGCTTCACAAATTGTACCCATGTGGAGATTCGAACCCGGGTCTTCGGCGTGACCAGCCAACGCTTTAACCACTAGGCTACCCCACCGCCCCTATGTGCATAAGAAAAGAATGTAAGGCTTTGGGGAATAGTCTGTTTTAAATGTGTTTGTGATTAGGTCTGTGTGGTGATACTGTATTGCTCTGGACATGGGGGCAGTGGGGTAGCCTAGTGGTTAAGTCGTCCGCGCGTCACGCCGAAGACCCGGGTTCGAATCCCCACATGGGCACAATGTGTGAAGCCCATTTCTGGTGTCCCCCGCCGTGGTATTGCTGGAATATTGCTAAAAGCGGCGTAAAACCAAACTCACTTACTTGGTTATAAAAGAACATGTTTTATTGAGATAATGTTCTGGATAGTTGTGGCACTATGGTACTCGGTGACCCCTGTCTTATCCATGGGGTAGGTGTGTAGTCTATTTCACATTTGTACAAAATGGAAGACGCATCAGTGAGTGAATTCTGTTTTATGCCATATGTCAAATACTCCAGCTACATCACCTGCACTCACTAATAATCGATTTAGAAGCTGCATGATGTAGAGGAACAATATTTATCGATTGGATAGACTTCTTTATTCTAATGAAGAATAACCCTTCCCTACCCCCTACCCCCTGCCCATCTGGCTTCATAGCCTTTATCTATAATCACAACAACTATAGGGGCGGTGGGGTAGCCTAATGGTTAAAGGGTTGGCTCGTCACGCCGAAGACCCGGGTTCGAATCCCCACATGGGCACAATGTGTGAAGCCCCGTCGTGATGTTGCTGGAATATTGCTAAAAACGGCGTAAAACCAAACTCACTCACTCACTCACAACAACTATAAGTCATGCCAGCATACTGTACATCAGCCTCTTCATGGGCGGTGGGGTGGCCTAGTGGTTAAAGCGGTTGCTCGTCACGCAGAAGTCCCGGGTTCGATTCACCACATGGGTACAATGTGTGAAGCCCATTTCTGGTGTCCCCCGCCGTGGTATTAGTAATAGTAATGGTAATAGTCCGCTTATATGGCGCTCATATCCAGGCACATTGCCTGCTCACGGCGCTACGTACATTACTATCCCCGGTCATAGGTCACTATCGTACTTTCCGTTACTTTTTCAACTCCCTGGGGATCATACAGCCATGCTGCCTGTTAGGCGCAATGAACTAAACACTCACATTGTCAGCACATCCTCACGGGTACCCATTTTACAGCTGGGTGAACTGAGACAATGTGGATCTAAGTATCTTGTCCAAGGATATTACGCAAATGTGCCCACCTCGGGACCCGATCCTAAATGCCTCCACCGGGGATCGAACCCGGGCCTTCAGCGTGATAGGCAGACACCTTACCACTGCACTACTGCGCTCCACAAAGTGATAAATGCGGCGTAAAAGTAAACTCACTCACTCACTGAACCTCTTCAATTTCTTTGACAGGCATTTTAGAAGTTGTAAAGATGAAGTTCTATGGATAGTCAGCTTCTTTATTGCAATGCATTTCTGGTGTCCACCGCCGTGATATTGCTGGAATATTGCTAAAAGCGGCGTAAAACCAAACTCAGTCAGTCAGTTATTGCAATGAATGCGACGTTTGGGTGTAGATACTAACACCGTTATCAAGCAAGTGATCTACACCGAAACGTCGCCCTTCAACCTCTGCAATTGATTAAACTCGAATATCCTTCATCCTTCATGCATATATTCCCCTTGTGGGTTATACTGTGTGTCACTTGGTAATGGCGGTAGCATATGCACGGAAACGTCGCATCCAGGGGCGGATACAGCTTTTTAAGAAAGGGGGTGCACACTTCATTTTCACCCGTTTTCACTGGAGTTTCAATGGTCATTTATTAGACATTCGGGACGGAAGGGGGGTGGGGTGTTGCGCGCACCCCTGCAAACACACACACACACACACACACACACAGAGAGAGAGAGGATCCGCCTATGGCATCAATTGCAATAAAGATGTTTTCAATCCATAAAAAGTGTTCCTCTTATAGTCGAGTCGGGACATCCGTCGGTAGACTGACAACTAGTCTCTGAAATGTACATATTTTACATAAAAAAAACAGTTCATAATATAAAAATAAAATATAACGAAAAGGAGCCCTGAGACTTTCTTCATTTACAGAACTGTGGAAATCTAGACTTGCCACATAATCCAGACGTGCATGGGTTTTCTTGGATATGTTTGTTTCAGGGACTGTATGACAGACTAGGACATCGATTGCTGATGTAATCCCGTTTACACAACAGAAGCCACATCACTCAACTCGTCTAGAGGCTCATGATAGTCGCACAAACATCCTAAAATAATACTTGCATTAATTTCCACAGAGTAACGTCCGATGCGCTTATCGTTCTTTGAGTGAAGGTGTGAGTTGGGTTTTATGCGCTTTTAGCAATATTCCATCAATATCACGGCGGGGGACACCAGAAATGGGCATCACACATTGTACCCATGTGTGGAATCGAACCCGGGCCTTCGGCGTGACGAGCGAACGTATCGTGTGTTGAACACCATATTCGTGTTGATTATGATCATAAACAACACAATGTCAATGAAAGGCAACAAAACAACAAATGCCTCTGAAATGGTCAAAACTATAGTTTGACCATGCTTGTCGTAATCAGATGGTCAGGTATTGCGGGTTCTTTAACTTTAGATACATGGTTTTTCGTCTAGTGATTTTACGCCGCTTTTAGCAATATGTAATCCGCCCCCATATGCTTTTCGTGTAATTTTGCATATTTCTGGATTTCAAAATGTCTTAATTGATAATGCTACTATTTCCTTGTAAAATCTAACATATTTAAGATATTAGCGGCACTTAGACAGATTTGTTTGGTAGGCCTGGGTTCGCTGACTTGGTTGATGCATGTCTTCGTATGGACAGTTTGATGCTCATGACGTCAATCACTGGGTTAGAAGTGACCTTCAGTAACCCAAGCTTGTCGTAGGCTAAGAGGCGACTAACGGGATCGGGTGGTCAGACTTGCTGACTTGGTTGACACGTGTCAACGTATCCCAATTGCGTAAATCGATGCTCATGATGTTGATCACTGGGTTGTCTGGTCCAGACGCGATAAATTACAGATAATTTTTTTTTATTCCCGTAATTATTGCTGAAGGTGTTGTTGTTAAACATCAAATAAACAAAACAATCACTGGATGGTCTGGTCCAGACTTGCTTGTTTACAGACACCATTTACTGCCGTCATATAGAAAGAAAATGCTAAGTGTAGTGTTAAACAAGAAAACAAAACATTTTTTAAAAAATACGGCATAAAGCTGTGAAGTAGAAACAAGAACATCGCTATATATTTCCACACCACTGTTGCTATGTTAGAATACATTGCCGGTGTTGGATATATGCTTCGTCAGGTTTAGGCACAAAGTTTTTATTTGAACTGTGAAGGCGTGATTGTTATCAAGTAAACATGACCTCATAAGTAAGGTCCGTTTCCAGTTTTCTTCCGTGTGGGTTAATAGCTGACGAACTCACGCGTGATCACGAATATTCTGGACATCGCTTGTACACCAATAACCTCGTACGAGTTGCCTCCTCTGCGCTGTAAGGAGTTGTACGGGCACCTGTTTGTAAATAGAGCAGATTCGTGCCTGTTACATTGTATATGTTAAACCTTCGAGAAAGATGGTACGAAAACTCATAGCTCTCCTTCCTTTGCTGGTGGCAGTGTATGCCCGAAGCGTAAACGAAGAGGCGAAACACTGGGCAGTGATCGTCGCGGGTTCCAATGGCTGGTATAACTACAGACATCAGGTAAATCTGAAACCGTTTATGTTCGTAATGTTTGATAGCTGTCAAAATGACTTGCAAAGATTCTTTCAATATGGGTATCCGAAATTCTATGCAAAGGGGGGTAACCCAGGCTGAGATCGGAGTTGAAAGGGAAATATATTCTCAAAACAAAGGCGTATCAAAGAATCAAAGAAGATCCTCCTACTAGATCGTTTCCATAAGTAATTTACATTGTGCAGAAACCTTATGTGTCAATATATGACCGAGATTTGGTTATCATCACGCCGAGATGTTTTTTTGTTTTTTGGGGGGAGGGGTGGGGGGCCGTATATCCCGTGCCTTTAATATGAGGAAAAACTGAGTTATGATTGGCGTCTTTTAAAAACGTTTAGATGTATCATTGTTTCGAGAAAAATCTCCATTGCGTCACTTTTCTGCTATGAGTTGAAATTAATTTCCAAATAATATTTTGCCAAGTGGCATCATTACAGAATTTGTGCTTTCCTCTCGACATACAGTAACCTCTGTGACATAGTTAACAATTCATTCTAATCAACCATCCATTCTACAACAGCTTGGATTCTATGGCCCCTGTCACACGAAAATGAAAGTTGCTATTTCCTGAGTGAAAATCCCAGTTTCAGTCATGTGATTGTGACAAACAGTCATGATACTTAAAACCACCTCAATAAAATCCCTGTCACTCATCCTGGTTTGACCTAAGCTTCAAGCCTCAGACAGGTGGCTGTGGAACAAAGAGGCCAATTAAGTTCCTTTGTTATTATGTACTTAGACTAACAACTAGTCTCTGAAATGAACATATTTTACTGAAAAAAGTTCATAGTAAAAAAAAATATAATATAATGAAAAGGAGCCCTGAGACTTTCTTCATTTTCAGAAGAGGAAATCTAGACTTGCCATATTTTCTAGACCTGAGTCTTGGATATATTTGCTTCAGGGTCTGTACGACAGACTATTGTGTACTGTGCTCTCAGGTGGATCTTTTGAGGGCGGGTGTAAAATCAGTATGCTTGAGTAAAGAGGGTATGCTGATGTTAATCAGTTGTACATATTTCCTAACAATCTGGTATAGTGAAAGGGAGCTATGATTATGAAGCCATCATAATTTAGATTTTCACAGGAAAGAGACCGAAAGAAAGTGTAATTAACATAACGGTAACTTTACATTTTTTAATAACAATATAATATATAATTTTTAATTGCTGACACTTATATTGATATAATTTGATTGTGGAAAAACATTTTAAACCAAGTTGGGAAAGGTTATGGCAAACACTAGTTTGAGTGATAGATTTGTTTGGATTTTTTCTATTAAAATATTGAAATATTTGTGTTTTGACAAAAACAACATGAAATATTGAACAATAATTTGACAAGTTCCTTAAGTTAAATGCTCGGCTCAACTTTCCCCAAGAACAAATTCACATTTTCATGAGAATCAAATGCTCGTCAATATTTACTTGAGGTGGAAAAAGTAATCTCTTCATATTGACAAATACGTTGAATGGAATTTATTCAGTCTAGTTGATGTGACAGCTGTGATTGGGGAACCATTATTATCAACATTCCACATAGTTAGCCAGGCTATCTTTATTGGTAATGCAGCATTAATTATTAATAAATGTAGGAAGCAAAAACGGTTTAAATACATTATTCATTGTAGTGTTATTGAATGAGCGGATCTGAATCACTACTTTGAAAATGTATATTTCAGCAGCATATGTTGTACATGTGTACAGTGATGCTTATTGATGCTATAGTTTCATGTAATATGAATTGAAAGCATAAGTTTGAAACAAATTTTGAGATGTTGAATTGGTGATTGCAAAATAACCTTTTGGTATCATGAAATCTTTTCATTTGCCCATCTACTCCATATTTGACTGGCTAGAAAAGATACCATTATGTCAAAAAGTGATAAATATATATTGTATACCCTCTTATCTTGCATTAATCTGTTACTTAATAAAACAAATCAGTAGAATCGGCAGAGGTTCAATACGGAATCTTGGGTTCAGTACGGAATTTGACCACGTCATCCGTATTGCACCCCTGTATTACTATCCTTAGTTTACATGGGTATATAATAAATTTTCTATAGGCATTCTAGAAAATAATTTATCAAATGATTGTATGTAAACTATTGCTGTTACACATGACAAACTTTTTCAAGTATAGAGATGGTAAATACCACTGTTCTGAAAAATATAAATTAAAAGTAAAAATTGTTTTTATCTACCAAAACTGTTTGTGTAAAATATGCAAATTGATATGCTATGCACAAAAATTTGTATTTTCATTTCAACAGACCAAAGTTAATTAGATGTTACAACTGTCGTGTCACGCTATTGTTTCAGCCATCAGATATCTCTGACGAAGTGACAATTTACTGACATACTTTCTGCAATGGAAATTTCAAGCTCCTGCATAATTTGGAATGTACTAGTGTTGGGAATTGGTTAAACTCTCATAATTGATGATTGGTTCATTACAAACGACCAATCATCGAAAATATTTAGTTCGCTTCATTTATCAAATTTTCTTCTTATTTTTGTTTTTGCACAAAAAGTAAAAAAAGACAAAACATGTAGTTTATAAGGATATTTTGCAAATTGCACAGAATTCATTTGCAAGTTTCCCATCTTTAAATAAGGACTTGTATGTTAGGGCCATACATTTCCTGGAGGCTTTAAGATAAATTCAATCATGACTTGGAACGAGCTCATAACGCTTATGAAATGTAAATTTAATGGCACAGACGAAAGAAACCTTGTGAAAAATATTGTTAATGCAAAGAAGTGTTCCAAAATTGTTTGATTTCGATTATGAGAAAACATGGTCATTTGTTTGATCGTTTAGTCACTAGCGACCAATCTTCGATTATTTCAATTAGTCAGACCACCACTAGAATGTACAGGCTACAATTATTAGTTCACACAAATGTACTTGCAGTGTGAATATGCAAGCAAACTAGGTCAAATAAAGTATAGCGGTAAAGATCCGGGTTAGAATTTGTCTTCAGGAACCCATGCTTGTCGAAGAAGGCGACTAACGGGATCGGGTGGTCAGGCTCGCTGACTTGGTTGACACATGTCGTTGTATTCTAATTGATCGATGCTCATGCTTGTTGATCACTGAATTGTCTGGTCCAGATTTGATTATTTACAGACCACCATCATATAACTGGAATATTGCTGAGTGTGGCGTAAAACTTAACTCACTCACCCACTCACCCACTCACTCAACTCACTCACTCACTCACTCACTCACTCACTCACTCACTCACTCACTCACTCACTCACTCACTCACTCACTCAAATGCAGTACAGATATTGAACCACAATGTTCCAGATTTTCATATATTATGAATCGAATGAACCCTTACACAGATGTACAGATAAGCTGCGTATCTGCGTAAATTACACAAATATTTATATGAAAACTCAATTCTGATTAGGTCTATTGCGTACAAGTATGCTTGAAGTTTTGTAAATACTCAATAAGTTTGATCTTACATGCGTACACACATAAATGTCACTTTTTAGCTTGCGCACCGGTGGTTAGATAAAATAACTGAGGTATATTGAGATGTTTTATTTCATTCAACACGTGAACTTGGCTACTTGCAGTCTTTCTTATCGTTTCTCATATCACAGATCAAATATGAATAACAACCATGTAAACCAACATTTAAACTTTGTATTACTTTTATACAAATTTATGGAAAATGGCAAAATACCCAGTTGAGTTGGATTGAGGTGGCTACAGTATATTTGGTTACTCAATGAAAATTAGGATACCCAATTGAGATGAACAAAAGCGAGTACATAACTCAATGACCCTTATCTGTAGCTCTGCTTACAATAAAGCCCTTGTGTTACGACAGGTTCAGGAAAACCGTGGGGTAATGAAATGCTCCCATTAAAGATACTTTCCGCAATGATCACATATCATTATTGGAAATAGTACATACCGTATATTACCGTAGATAAGCCAATCTCATAGATAAGCCGACCCCGTAACTTGACCCTTAAAATCACTATCCAAATGGTATGTTTCGTACATAAGTCGACCCAGACGAGAAACAACGGACAGTTACCGATAATTATAACTTTGGTCCACATTATTCACAGAAATCACAATAATATTGTGTCTACTCACGCTTCTGCTTTTCTATGGTTATATACGGTATATATCAACAGTTATGAACTTCACATACTCATGTATATTGCATTAGATGTCAACAGAGCATATCCATATTGAATTCATTTTCATATATATATTGATTTATTTAACTGTCAGACTGCTAATAACTTCTGATGACACATAATATTTTTTCTTGGATGTTGTGCTCTATGTCAGATTTCACATGCATAACTGGACATTTTTTACAGTTAATGATAACTTCTTTCATAGGCATTTTAGAAGTTGGGCAGTACAATACAGACAAACTTTATGGATAACAACTTCTTTATTTCGTAAGAGTGACGTTTTGGTACAGACACTTGTACCGTTGTCAAGCAGGATTCAGCAATGTCATTAAGTATACATGAAAAAGACTGTATAGGTTCTTCACTTATCCTGAAAAAATCTCCTGATGACAGCACAAGAATCTGTACTGAAATGTCGCACTCACAAAATAAAGAAGTTGTTATCCATAAAGTTTGTCCATATCACAATTAATGATAAGGCCAGACCAATTATATTTCTTGTTTTACAGATTTTTGTCTTCAGAAAACCTAAAGGCAGGAGGGAAAAAAAGAAAATAACCAGTCAAAATAATAGTCCTTTAAAATACTTAAAGTATTTTACTTTTGGCAAGTTATGAAGTGTATATGGGGCAAAAAACAAAAAATATATATATATTTTTGTAACTTTTACATTTTTGGTGAATAAAAACATTAGGATTTTATTTCTTGAGTTGGGAAAATTAGTTTATATTTTTTTTTCTTATTCTTGGAAAAAATACGACCTTTGGATCTGTAAAACAAGAAATCAAATTGTTTGGCCTAATCACCAGCTTGACTGTCTTACACATTATTTGTAATGAATGTCCTGCACTATCCTTGTAAAACTCTGTACCTGACCAGAAAATGTGGGCCATGGACAAGGGTTTAGTCACGTAGGATTTGGTCTACTTTAGTATGTCCCAAGTGACCTCATGTGACTCGGTCAGTTGACAGATCATGAGACAGGTCACAGGTGACAAGATGCCTGTGGTCACTAGGACCTACATCAGTAGATATTGCTACACCACGAGTCATGGAAATTAACAGGTCATGTATGTAGAATCTCAAAAACAATGATAAGCAATGTTATTGAACTGACCCGGGAATGGACACTATTTAATAGAAGTGATAGGTCTGTTTGTAAGTTTAATCAAGCTGAATAAAATGTAGTTTCAATTTTGATCTTCCAGCTTCAATAAACTGAATTTTTATAAAAGTTTAAAATATATATACTTCAGCTAGATCAGTATTTGTACTGAAAATCACAACAGTACTGTATTATAGTACTGTCTGAAATAGAAAAACACTGTTTTTAGGCTGTTACTCTGTATCCCTAAAATTGACACAATTGCAAATAGCATATGTCAAAATAACCCACTTCGGCCTAACTGGGCGTTCAGTGGGATGCGTAATACGATATCCAGAAAAGCATGTTTACTTGTAAAATCGGGCAAAACTTAGAAAAAATACGAATAGCTGCTGAAAACAATAGATCAGACTATAGATGGCAATTAGGTCGCTCAGCCAGGTATGACGACGGACCGTCGACTCACCTGGCATGAAATGCTTGGCTGCCTACAGGCACAAGGGGTCATCTCAAAGATATTTTGTGCTTTTTCATGTGTGTTGACTATGTCTCATCTACTGATTAACATCTTACGTGTCTTTCTTTCATAAAGTTTATGTTGAGATATGTAAGAGAGTATGATACCCGAAAACCATAGAAACACATAGTAGTATATAGGTGGCATGACCACCCGAAGATCGACAGGACTGGATATTATTTGTAAATTGTTATGACGTGCCGTGTACCTCCCCAGTATAATTGCTCTAAAGGATTATCTTATCTTAGCTGATATCTCTATCCCCAAGCCCGACTCCAGGTTTTGCTTTTGAGACGACCCCTCCCATCTGTTTGTTTTTATAGTGACAGTGAGACTGCATGGTAGCTACATCCTTAATAGTTTCAGCATAAAAGTTATTATTTTTTACGTCAGCTATCGTTTATAATGAAAATACGTCTAATTTCAAATTGGGCATTTAAAAAGTGTCCTTTGTAATACAATATCGTCGCACACTAATTTGCATAAAGCCATGGTCTGCTCATTTCTGCACTAATTTCCCCTCAGTAAAGTCCTTTTTCTCCGTTTCCTATCTCTCTACCACTGAGACTGTAGTTAGGCCGAACTTAGTTTAACAGATATTTCATACTTTCACATATCAACTACATAAATTGTAGATATAAATGAGAAAATACATTTTTTTCTATTTCCGACAGCACTATAGTTATTGGAACCAACTATGAAGCCTTGACATGTATATAAATACACAGGATGATGTGGGAAGGTGGTGTAGCCTAGTGGTTAAAGCGTTTGTTAGTCACGCCGAAGACCGGGGTTCAATTCCCCACATGGGTACAATGTGTGAAGCCCATTTCTGATGTTCCCTGCTGTGATATTGCTGGAATATTGCTAAAAGCGGCATAAAACTAAACTCAGTCAGTCTCAGGATGATGATATCCATTATGAATGAAAGCAGCAACAAATACAAACACTTCCGCAATCATTACAAACTGCTTCCTAAAGCAGATTCCATTGTCAAGTTCTGACTTTACCATTTATGAATCACAATCAGACTGCGATGATACTAGGGCCTAGATTTTCGAAGCTCGCTTAGAGCTAAGATAGTTGTAAGTGCCATACATTAACATTAACTTACGACTACCGGTATCTTAGCACTAAGAGAGCTTCGAAAATCTAAGCCCATGTTAATATGTCCCTGAACTACATTATTTTCCTTTCCTCTCAGCACTTTCTGAAATACAAAAGCCTCAAATGATTCTAGATTCTCCTCAGGTTCTGAATCTCCCATCTCACTGGGGCTCTTTTTTCAATTTAATTGGAGTTAATTGTTTTTATAAAAACAATATATTCAGAGACTAAGCATTGATCTAATACCAGGTGTTCGATATATCCAGCCCAAGAAGGGGAACATTTCACAAAAAACAAGCAGCTATGATGTAACACTAATGTGACAGCGAATTCCATACATTTTCAAAACCATGTATTGTCACAGGATCTTAATGAGTTTATGGATAACACTTGCAACCCCCAAAAAAAAATATTTCTACTTGAAGTCTTTATGTAGGGCATAAACTTGATAAACTGATAAAGATGCGTTTAGATTCATATTTTTTAGTATCTTTGTTTCTTTTTAGTCATTGTTACGGAAAATATGTGCTTCAAGGATTATGATAAACCAAAGAAATACGAGGAATTTGTAAAAGCAGGACATTATCAACAAACAATTTAGTTCACCATTGTTTTGAATCACTGACATCCATCATGTTTGAAGTGAAACGTTTTAATACTTTCGCAAACCATTGTTTCTGAATGAGGATGGTCGTCGTCGTCATCATCATCATCATCATCATCATCATCATCATCATCATCATCATCATCAGACCCGTGAACGTCCGGGTTAGAATTGATCTTCAGTAACCCATGCTTGTCGTAAGAAGCGACTAACAGGGTCAGGTGGTCAGGCTCGCTGACTTGGTTGACACATGTCATCGTATCTCAATTATGTAGCTCATGCTGTTGATCACTGGATTATCTCGTCCAGACTCGATTATTTACAGACCGCCACCATATAGCTGGAATATTGCTGAGTGCGGCGATAGACTAAACTCACTCACTCACTCATTAAGTTTGAGCAAAGTGGCCTCCTTGATGACAAATGATTCAACTTTTGTTAAAGGCTGATGCATGCCATGCGTACCAGATCGTGCGTAAGAATGGAATCCCAGAAGAGAGAATCATCACCATGATGTTTGATGATATCGCCAACAATGAGGAGTAAGTATTTCACCTATTAATCTAAATCAGCTTCCCAGGTGTCGCATGTCACATGGGTGATGGAACAGCTGGTTCTCTGCTGACTGACAGGTGTTTTTGATAAGGATTCTATAAATCCGGATATGTGGACGCTGATGTCACGCTACATGTGACTTCACATTTGGGGGCAATATGTTGTGTTTTAGCGTGTTCAGGGTTCATTTGGGTAAAACAATTAAGGAACAGAAGTAAAAAAAAATTGTGTGATTTATATACTGAAGAAGAAAAAAAGTTTGCGATCATGAATAGCTTTGGGATATTTTTTGTGCAGTGGTGTCTTACAACATAGAGATAATAAATATTTCTTTAAATATTTATTATCCCCAGAGCTCAAGATAAGATTTAGCTCATGTGGGTACTGTACCCACTGTATTTTTTTGGAGTGGGTATTATGAATGTTGAGTGGGTATTTCATTTTCCGTTACCCACTGCTTTCAAATATGTGCGTATTTCAGTCACTTCACTCACCTAAGTATTATGTCATTGAGCAAGTTTACTAAGCAGGTATGTTCTGCCTTATGTCATACCTAATCAAAACCAACTTAAATATTATGGAAATTATTTCATAACAAATCATTCATCCTATACTGACAGTACAACACTTGTCCTATACTAACAGTACAACTTGATAGCAATCGATGTCTTTTTCATTACGAAAGCGATTTTGATAAATATATTCTGTACGCATTTGTTTTAAACTTTTTGCGTATCTAACATTTTAAATGCGTAAGTGGTACGCAACAATTATTTTTAAATGCATAATTCTATACGTATTTCACCCGGATACGCAGCTTATCTGGGCCTCTGAATCCCTATCTGTTTGGGTCCTGGTAATTAATTATTCACTTTTGTCATGAGTGAGTGAGTTGGGTTTTACAACACTTTTAGCAATATTCCAGCAATATCACAGCGGGAGACACCAGAAATGGGCTTCACACATTGTACCCATGTGGGAAATCGAACCAGGGTCTTCTGCGTGAGGAGCGAACGCTTTAACCACTAGGCTACCCAACTCCACCCTTTTGTCATGAACTGCACGACACAGATGTAGACATGTTAATTTCAGCATAATGTAAGTCAGGATTCATTTGTGTTTACACATCTGTACAATGTGTAAAGATCATTTCTGGTGTCCCCACCATGATATTGTTGATACTGCTATAAGCAGCGTAAAACCATGCTCACTTGCTTATTTGTGTTTAGGGTAGACACATTAAATTTCCTTCTGAATCTCTTGTTCAGTACGAGAAGGGGCAAGAGACAGAATAAAACACAAACTAATGTTCATCACATCATGTACAGACCCGTGCCAGTTATATTCAGACACTTGACGTAACTTCCATAGACTTACATGTTAATTTAGTGTAGCATAAATAATTTTCATGAATTTAATTTTCGTATGATCCAAGTCAAATTTTGCATATTTGTGAGGAATCGTCTTACCTATAATCACATAATTTCTGTTTAATTTTCCGTTGCTTATTCATCGAATGGCAACAATTTAATCAACATATGTACATCCTTTGGGATTATGTATTGTTGAACTATACGTAAGTTGATAAATGTGATGTCATTAGTTAAATAGTGGTGGGAAATTGAACTGAAATTATGTGCGCAGAGCAGAGATGATTTCAAATTTGCCTGTCAAATTTTACAAAGATCTATCCTAAACTCACTTCTTGAAAATTATTTATGCTACACTGAAATCACATGTAAGTCTATGGAAATGGCGTCACGTGTCCGAATATATATGGCACGAGTCTGTAGTTATTACTCCCTGAAGGAAACTAGATAACTACAGGACACGAATTCCTGTGTCCTATACGCATAAACATTGACAATGGACGCAACGAAATTTATTAGCGTATCCACAGGCAGCAGAAAAGTCCAAATACTTTTGTATGAATTCCAATCAAGTAACAATAAGTTATCACTGAGTTTGCGACTAGCTGGTTTATGGTATCATTTGCACTTTAATTACTGTAACAATTAATGTGTTGATCATGATACACAATACAATAACAGTATTGATAATATTTAAGTGTCTGGGACCCCCATTTTGTTGTCCAGGACCCCTGAAACTTATAAGCATGAGTCACAGGGACCCTCAAATACAGGACTCAAGGTAAACCCCTGGGAAACCTATGCAAATCAATGTTTTAATCAGAAATGTTATTTATTTCCGTATTTTTTTTTCATTTAATAACACAAGTCAATAAATCAGTCTGTTTTAGTTTTTGTGTGTTTGTGTTCAGGCTTGATCGAGGTTTGTTACTTGTGATAGAAAATGAGAAAATGTTTTGTGTCTGTGGTTGAGATTGTGTCAGGCAATGAGACACAAGATTTATTGCCCATTGAACGTTGTTGGGCAATGAGACAATATTGTTACTTGAACAAAGTGACTTTTCAGAGTAATGATAAGTGATGTATTCAAAAATGCTTTACCTAAAATAAGAATGTTCCAGTATCTAAGATTGGATGGTATTTAGTAAGATTGGTTTTAGTCATTGTCAGACCATGCATTCTTTAGCACAGCTGATATTGTTGAAACTGATCAGCTGATATGGGTGGTATCCATCAGCTGATATCTTGCTGAAACCCAGAACTAGCTTTCTGTGATGTGTGACCTCAGGGTCAGTATGTGACTTCGGGGTTACATTACCTCCAAATGCATTAATAACCCTGACCCTTTCCTGAGTTCCCACATTCAGCTAATGGTGGCTTTAGTTTGTGACTTATGGTCAGTTGAGATAATAAGATACTCCCACTTGAAGGCAGTTTAAGATTATATGATGTTCCGGAGTAACTAAATCCCTGCAGTGGAATTTGATATCAGATTTATCATATGCAGGGATAGCTGTGCCTTGGGACAAACAGAACCAGATGTAGATATCTCAGACGCAAAATTGTCTGTGAATATACTCTGTCGGTTTGGGTAACAGATAGTTAGTAACAAGTTTGTTCCCATTGTTACAGATAGTAACACATTTCTTCCCATTGTTACAGATTGTAGCAAATTTCTTCCCATTGTTACAGATAGTAACAAATTTCTTCCCATTGTTACAGATAGTAACAAGTTTCCTCCCATTGTAAGAGTAACAAATTTCTTCCCATTGTTACAGATTGTAACAAGTTTGTTCCCATTGTTACAGATAGAAATAAATTTCCTCCCATTGTTACAGATAGTAACAAATTCTTCCCATTGTTACAGATAGTAACAAGTTTCCTCCCATTGTTACAGATAGTAACAAGTTTCCTCCCATTGTAACAGTAACAAATTTCTTCCCATTGTTACAGATAGTAAACAAATTTCTTCCCATTGTAACAGATAGTAACAAATTTCTTCCCATTGTTACAGATAGTAACAAGTTTCCTCCCATTGTTACAGATAGTAACAAGTTTCCTCCCATTGTAACAGTAACAAATTTCTTCCCATTGTTACAGATAGTAAACAAATTTCTTCCCATTGTAACAGATAGTAACAAATTTCTTCCCATTGTTACAGATAGTAACAAGTTTCCTCCCATTGTAACAGTAACAAATTTCTTCCCATTGTTACAGATAGTAAACAAATTTCTTCCCATTGTTACAGATAGTAATACATTTCTTCCCATTGTAACAGATAGTAACAAATTTCTTCCCATTGTTACAGATAGTAACAAATTTCTTCCTATTGTTACAGATAGTAACAAATTTCTTCCCATTGTAACAGATAGTAACAAATTTCTTCCCAATGTAAGATAGTAACAAATTCTTCCCATTGTTACAGATAGTAACAAGTTTCCTCCCATTGTTACAGATAGTAACAAGTTTCCTCCCATTGTAACAGTAACAAATTTCTTCCCATTGTTACAGATAGTAACAAATTTCTTCCCATTGTTACAGATAGTAACAAATTTCTTCCCATTGTTACAGATAGTAAACAAATTTCTTCCCATTGTTACAGATAGTAATACATTTCTTCCCATTGTTACAGATAGTAACAAATTTCTTCCCATTGTTACAGATAGTAACAAATTTCTTCCCATTGTTACAGATAGTAACACATTTCTTCCCATTGTTACAGATAGTAACAAATTTCTTCCCATTGTAACAGATAGTAACAAATTTCTTCCCATTGTAACCGATAGTAACAAATTTCTTCCCATTGTTACAGATGGTAACAAGTTTATTCCCATTGTTACAGATAGTAACAAGCTTTACATATTACTATCAGATTTTAGGGTGTTCCCATACTTTTTGTTTGTAGTTTACATAAACAGTCCTCCTCCATTTACCTTTACTTTTTCTGCCAATATTTAGGCCAAGTTTGGTAACTGGCATTCCATATTTTCCACTATACAGCTAGACCATAGAAAATATTCTGTTTTAAAAATATGATTACTAAGAATAATGTGGTCATGTTGACTGGCATTGAGCTGTCACAACTTACCAGTACATACGTTCTGTGAGTGAAAGAAACTATTTTTACTCCCCTCTTCCCTTAAAGTATGTATAAATAATTCCCAGCTAGGCTGTCTCAAATACTTTATCACAGAATTACGGTGCTAATTACAACGTGGACATTTTGAAGATGTTAGTCATTTGGTTCTGCATGTATCATTCTGAAATTTGTTCCTGCCTATCTATAAAACAATACAACTGTGTCTAATTGGTTCAGTTCAATTGCAGCAAGCTGTCTCAGTGGGTTGATCTGTGAAGAATTGGGCTTCAGTAACCCATGCTTGTCGTAAGAGGCGACTAACGGGATCGGGTGGTCAGGCTCGTTGACTTGGTTGACACATGTCATGGTGTCCTAATTATGCAGATCGATGCTCATGCTGTTGATCACTGGATTGTCTGGTCCAGACTTGATTATTTACAGACCGCCGCCATATAGCTGGTATATTGTTGAGTGCGGCGTTAAACAACAACCAAACAAACAAATAGCTCGGTGGGTTAGAGCCGACCGTCAGCAGTGTGGAGTCTGTTGTTGTTATAGAAGGGCAGTGCGACATGTTACCTCACGTGATCTCCCCTTCACCTCACCCTACCTCACCTCATCTCACCATTAATAGAGTAACGTGTCTGGTGAAATGTTCACCCCTTAACTCACTCCCCAACTCTGTTGAAGGAATCCCACACCAGGAAAGATTATCAACCGTCCCGATGGCCCTGATGTTTACCAAGGTGTCAAGATTGACTACAGGAAAGAGGTAGGAAGAGATATTTTCCTCCAGGAACAGATCGTGATCTAAGGAACACGATAATTGCATAACTTACAATACGAGGAAACTTCTAAACATTGTTTTCTGGGTCAGATGCAATCTTGTGAACAAGTACTTGGAACACTTGCGTGATAAAGTAGACACAGATTATGGATCCTTGTACCATCAGTGTTAAGACTGTATCAAGATCACATGATAAAGTAGACACAGATTATGGATCCTTGTACCATCAGTGTTAAGACTGTATCGAGATCACATGATAAAGTAGACACAGATTATGGAACGTTGTACCATCAGTGTTAAGACTGTATCGAGATCACATGATAAAGTGGACACAGATTATGGAACGTTATACCATCGGTGTTAAGACTGTAGTCAGATCACATGATGAAGTAGACACAGATTATGGAACGTTATACCATCAGTGTTAAGACTAGTCAGATCACATGATAAAGTAGACACAGATTATGGATCCTTGTACCATCAGTGTTAAGACTAGTCAGATCACATGATAAAGTAGACACAGATTATGGATCCTTGTACCATCAGTGTTAAGACTGTATCAAGATCACATGATAAAGTAGACATAGATTATGGATCCTTGTACCATCGGTGTTAAGACTGTATCGAGATCACATGATAAAGTAGACATAGATTACGGATCCTTGTACCATCGGTGTTAAGACTGTATCGAGATCACATGATAAAGTAGACATAGATTATGGATCCTTGTACCATCGGTGTTAAGACTGTATCGAGATCACATGATAAAGTAGACATAGATTATGGATCCTTGTACCATCGATGTTAAGACTGTATCGAGATCACATGATAAAGTAGACACAGATTATGGATCCTTGTACCATCGGTGTTAAGACTGTATCGAGATCACATGATAAAGTAGACATAGATTATGGATCCTTGTACTATCGGTGTTAAGACTGTATCGAGATCACATGATAAAGTAGACATAGATTATGGATCCTTGTACCATCGGTGTTAAGACTGTATTGAGATCACATGATAAAGTAGACACAGATTATGGATCCTTGTACTATCGGTGTTAAGACTGTATCGAGATCACATGATAAAGTAGACACAGATTATGGATCCTTGTACTATCGGTGTTAAGACTGTATCGAGATCACATGATAAAGTAGACACAGATTATGGATCCTTGTACCATCGGTGTTAAGACTGTATCGAGATCACATGATAAAGTAGACATAGATTATGGATCCTTGTACCATCGGTGTTAAGACTGTATCGAGATCACATGATAAAGTAGACATAGATTATGGATCCTTGTACCATCGGTGTTAAGACTTTATCGAGATCACATGATAAAGTAGACATAGATTATGGATCCTTGTACCATCGGTGTTAAGACTGTATCGAGATCACATGATAAAGTAGACATAGATTATGGATCCTTGTACCATCGGTGTTAAGACTGTATCAAGATCACATGATAAAGTAGACATAGATTATGGATCCTTGTACTATCGGTGTTAAGACTATCCAGATCACACAGACAGACACATACCACTCTCTCTGTCTCTGTCTGTCTCTCTCTCTCTGTATCTGTCTTTGTCTCTCTGTCTCTGTCTCTCTGTCACGCTGTCTCTCTCTGTCTGTCTGTCTCTGTCTCTCTCACTGTCTGTCTCTGTCTCTGTCTGTCTCTCTGTCTCTGTCTTTGTCTCTCTGTTTCTCTGTCTCTGTCTCTCTGTTTCTCTGTCTCTGTCTGTCTTGCTCTCTCACACTCACATACACAAAGACACATGCATACACAGACACTCACACACATCACCCATGTAAATATGAATTTTACACCACATATGAATATGCACTACAAACAAACACTCTAACTGTGTTCCATGGATAAAAGGATTCTTTATATTGTTTCCAGTTGTGCATTGTCATTTAGCGGATAGCTATGTATTCTATAACAATACGGTAAACTTTGTTTATAACAAAAACACTTATAATGAAATGATGGACATAACAATCTTGGCCCCGTTCGTCAAAGCGACCGTAGCGCTGAGATGATTGTAACTCCTATACTTTAACATACACTTACGACAATCGTAGCGCTATGATCGGTTTGAGGAATTGGGCCCTGATCTTTTTTGAGCTAATCACTTGCTGTATATTTTGTGCTATGGTATATTGAGCTATGGTTATCAGGAACTAAAATTTTAGTTTACTGAATATTCCAAACAATTGTTAATATTTTGACTGTTTCGTCCAGGAAGTGGATCCCAAGAACTTCCTGAAGGTTCTGAGTGGGGACAAGGAAGGAATGGTTGGCATCGGAAGCGGAGCGGGTGCTCGAGAGGTGGGTAGCAGTTTTCCACTTCACCCTCCTCCCTGAATCAACTCTCTCCTTTGAGAATCATAGGCCAAAGGAAAGCTGATGAGCATGATTTGCACCAACTGTCTTAGGAAAATGTTTAAGAGTTATCTCCCTTCCCCAGTTTTGTCAACTTCCTCAGATTTATCCAAGGTTATGACTGCACATGTGAATTTGTGGTGAAATTCTTTGTAGAAAATAACATTTCTGGTCTCTCAAGTTACATCTAGAAGAGGATCACAATAATTCCCATGCTTCTGAACTGCAATTCCACTCAAATTATTATAATTTGTGCCATTTTGAGTTTAATCCTCTTCGTTTATATATTTTTAAAATTGAGGTTTTTGTCCAAATCCTGTCAGATGTTGTTGACATCGCCTTTGTCTTCTTTCCAGCGGACCAAATGATCACGTGTTTGTGAACTTTGTTGACCACGGAGCTCCGGGAATTATTGCATTCGGGAGCAAGTTTGTAAGTTCATTGACATTTTTCTACTCATGGATTTTGTATGGTCCATCATGTTATTCTTTAGTTGTGAATTACTGAGAGCTATAGGGAACAAGATACGTAGACCAGGCTAACAGATGGAACCATATTAATTTGAACCAAGTTTTCAGTACTTTGTTAATTAAATTGATTCTAATATCGAAATGAAACTGTTTGAGTAGTATACACAATGACAGAACCCGACCACTCACCCTTATCAAGCCTTTTCACCCCGATTCCACCCCCACAGCCCCCACAAAAACAGACCAATTTAAGCAGAGCACCAAATTATGTCCCGCTAAATTTGTCCTGTTTATATGACTCGGCTCCTGTTGAATGGTCCCGTTCTGTCATTGTGTATACTACTGTTTGCACTGTCAAGTATTGGCTGCATTCAGAGAAAATTGAGGTAAATTTTCAAGAGATAGAGGTTCTCCTAAATTATAAGTATTGACTTAGTCTTATTTTTGTTAAAAGAATATTTTGTAAGAATACTAAGATGCTGTAGCATCTCTGTGAAACAGTTGAAAATTATAAAAATCTCTGCTATCTCCTTTTCAAAATGTTATGACCCCTGAAGTTCTGGCTTAGAATTTGTCCTCAGGAACCCATGCTTGTCATAAGAGGCAACTAACGGGATCGGTTGGTCAAGCTCTCTGATTTGGTTGATAGATGTCATTGCATCCCAGTTATGTAGTTCGATGTTCATGCTGTTGATCAGTGGATTGTCTGGTCTAGGCTCTAACATTTACAGACTGCCGCCATATAGCTGGAATATTGCTGAGTGCAGCGTTGCAACAAACAATTAAAATCAAATTCTCACATTTCTATTTCAACAGTCTTGTAGTTGCTAAAGCACACAGAATATATATATTTCATGAATTCTGGTGACCCGTGAAGGACCGGGTTAGAATTGGTCTTTATCAACCCATGCTTGTCGTAAGAGGCGACTAACGGGATTGGGGTGGTCAGGCTCACTGATATGGTTGACACATGTCATCGTATCCCAATTGCATAGATCGATGTTATGCTGTTGATCACTAGATTATTTACAGACTGTCACCATATAGCTGGAATATTGCTGAGTGTGGCGTAAAACTAAACTCACTCACTCACTCATGAATTCTGGTCCTATATAGATGTATAATTAATATTTTCTGAATAAAATGTTAGGTAAGAACAATGGTATTTGTGACATGGTTGTTCTGTTTCCAGCTCCATGCATCCGACCTCCATCACACCATCCTGAAGATGAACAAGGACAAGAGATATGGCCAGGTACAGTCACTGTGTGAACAACCCGTGAAGATCCGGGTTAGAACTGATCTTCATTAACCCATGCTTGTCGTAAGAGGCGACTAATGGGATCGGGTGGTAATTGGTATACAGTTATTGAAAATTTATTAGCATATGTTGTAGCATATATATATTTATAAAAAATATTTTAATAATAATTGTTTATAATCCCGATCTACTCTGTTCATTAATATATATATATCTTATGACCAATCAGATGGTGTTCTATGTGGAAGCTTGCGAATCTGGCTCAATGTTTACCAATAATCTCCTGCCTAAGGACATCAATGGTAAGACTTTATGATGTATATGTTAGTGATTTTAAGTACATTGGCCGACCTGTCCCTTTATTTCTTAACAAGCAGACCCATGAAGATCCGGGTCAGAATTGATCGTAAGAGGATTGTTGCAAGAGGCGACTAACGGGAGTTCAGGCTCGTTGACTTGGTTGACACATGTCATCGTATCCCAGTTGTGTAGGTCGATGCTCATGCCGTTGATCACTGGATTGATCACTGCTGCCATATAGCTGGAATATTGCTGAATGTGGAAACCAACAAAACAATATCAGTCCAGATTTGAATATGGCATTAAATAAGGATTAAACAACATTACAATTTGTCTTGTGTATTGTCATAGAGACTGTTTCAGTGTAGATTTCATGATTATTTCCTTCAATGCTGTTTTCATGATTATGAGTTGCCCCCCATCCCAAAAAATATAAACATTCATATAAAGATAGATTTCACTTGAGTCTTTTAAATATTTCTTAATCTTTTCATTGGCATTACCTGATTTTGGCTAGACGTGAATGTGAAACAAGAAAAGATATAGTTCCAAACTTGGAATAATTGTGTTTTAAATTTATTTTTTTGCCACCCAAATCATAAATGTGACTGTGGAATCCTAAATGTATATATCCAGTGTTATTTTACCAGTGTTTGCCACAACTGCTGCCAACCCTCACGAGTCTTCCTATGCTTGCTACATGGACAAGGTGCGAAAGACCTTCCTGGGGGATGTGTACAGTGTCAGGTGGATGGAAGATTCCGATAAGGTAAGCTTCTGGATCAGATAATCCAGTGATCCTGTAAGTCATATTTTACCGCATGAATGGGTTGCTGAAGACCAATTCTAATCTGCATCTTCACAGGGATGATGACACACTGTCATCCATATCATTGAGTCTGAAACCTGATGCTGAGAAGTCCATTTCTGGTGTCCCCCGGGGATTTTGCTGGAATACTGCTAAAAGCAGCATGAAACTAAACTCACTCACTCACTGAAACTTGATCCAATTTTACATGAGGATTTTAGCACTAAGAGATTGACAAAGATGATGGTTGTGTTTGATTGGTTGTGGTTGTGTGTTACAGGAAGATCTCAGCACAGAGACGCTGACCAAGCAGTTTGAGATTGTCAGGAGGGAAACCAACACAAGTCATGTCATGGAATATGGAAATCTGGTGAGTCGTCATTTCAGTGCTTTGCAGTACGGTGCTGTTTTATATCAGTTCTATAGTTTGTATAGCAGGGTGTTGTCATTAAATGTTTGCTATACATTGTATAGTGGGGCACTGTTATTAAATGTTTGGTATACATGGTATAGTGGGACACTGTTATTAAATGTTTGGTTAATACTGTATGGTGGGACATTGTTATTAAATGTTTGGTAAATACTGTATGGTGGGACATTGTTATTAAATGTTTGGTTAATACTGTATGGTGGGACATTGTTATTAAGTGTTTGGTTAACACTGTATGTGGGACATTGTTATTAAATGTTTGGTAAAATTTGTATGGTGGGACATTGTTATTAAATGTTTGGTAAAAACCGTATGGTGGGACATTGTTATTAAATGTTTGGTTAATACTGTATGTGGGACACTGTTATTAAATGTTTGGTATACATTGTATCGTGAGGCACTGTTTTATGCTTGGTTAACACGCTACAGTGGGACATTGTTAAAAAATTGTTTGGTAAACATTGTAATATGGGAACTGTGAATAACTGTTTGGTAAATATTGTATTTGGGGATGTTGTTATTAACTGTTTGGTTAACACATTTAAGGTTAATGAATTAAATGAGACAGATTGTGATTTATATCTTAAACATTTGGTAATTACATTGCAAGCAAAAACTGAGAATGAAGTGAATGTTTTTAATAGTAAGTGGAAGAAAATTGAAATGGTGTTAATCCAGATTCTTATAGCCTAGATTAGGAACAGGGCCAGTGTGGTAGCACAGTTGTTAAGGCATGCGCTTGTGACACCTTAGGCCTGGTTTTGATTGCCCACATGTGTACAATGTGTGAAGCCGACTTATGGTGTCCACCGCCATGATATTGCTGGAATATTGCTAAAAATGTTGTACAACCTGACTCAACTCACGATTTATTTCCTGGTTTAACCCTTTGTTTCTGTTTGGTGGGTTGTATTGTCACAGACTGGAGAATGTTTTGCCAGCATGTAAAATAATCAGGAATCTTATTGCAGACTATGGGAAATATGGATGTTGCTGAATTCCAAGGGAAGAACCAGCAGATGCATATCTTTGACAAAATGCCCATCCCCAATCCCAATGTGAGTATGAAATATCATATATATATTATATAATAATTATAAAAATGGTTATTTATAAAGCGCCTGTTTCCATGCACTTGTGCATGCCCAAAGCGCTAACACATTATCAACCCGGATAACACAAAGCTGCCTGTGAGGTGCTAGAAGGTTAACAGTCATATGACTTATCCCACTGGGTACCCATTCACTGCTTGGTGAACAGAGGCAATTTTGAACAAACTCACTTTCCTAAGGTGAGACCACATGTGACACGTGTGCTTTAGTTGTGGGGCAGGATATATCAATACATTCTCTACTACATTTCAAGAAAATCATCAAGAGATTATTCCATCCTTTGTTTTGGTGTGTGTACGTACATTGTGAGAGTGGCACTGTGTATCTCGGTGTTGCAGCTGGATGCTGTACCATCAGAGGATGTTGAGATGAACATCCTTCAGTTGAAAGTGGGACAGGCCAAGACAGAGTGGGAGCGAGAGCTTCAGAACCAGAAGCTGGAGGATCTCAAGAATGTACGTACAGATTCCACCCACTGCCCCAGACCATCATACTCAAGAATGTATGAAGAGACCCTGTCCAGACCATTATACTCAAGAATGTATGAAGAGACCCTGTCCAGACCAGTATACTCAAGAATGTATGTAGAGACCCTGCCCAGACCATTATACTCAAGAATGTATGTAGAGACCCCACCCAGACCATTATACTCAAGAATGTATGTAGAGACCCTGTCCAGACCAGTATACTCAAGAATGTATGTGGAGACCCTGTCCAGACCATTATACTCAAGAATGTATGTGACCATTATACTTAAGAATGTATGTAGAGACCCTGTCCAGACCATTATACAAGAATGTATGTAGAGACCCCACCCAGACCATACATAAGAATGTATGTAGAGACCCTGTCCAGACCATTATACTTAAGAATGTATGTAGAGAAGCTGTCCAGACCATTATACTAAAGAATGTATGAAGAGACCCTGTCCAGACCATTATACTATAGAAGAGACCCCAAGATATGCAAGAATATATGTATAGAGACCCCACTCAGACCAATCATACTTAATGTAGAGACCCCCACCCAGACCATGTTATACACAAGAATGTATGTAGAGACCACCCCCAGTATACCCAGACCATTTATACTACTTAAGAATGTATAGAGAAGAGACCCCTGTATGTAGAGACCCCACCCAGACCATTATACTCAAGAATGTATGAGACCCAGAGACCCTGTAGAGACCCACCCAGACCCAGACCAGTATTATACATTATACTCAAGAATGTATGTAGAGACCCTGTCCAGACCATTATACTCAAGAATGTATGAAGAGACCCTGTCCAGACCATTATACTCAAGAATATACTTAAGAATGTAGAGACCTTGAGACCAGAATACTCAAGAATGTATGTAGAGACCCTGTCCAGACCAGTATACTCAAGAATGTATGTAGAGACCCTGTCTAGACCAGTATACTCAAGAATGTATGTAGAGACCCTGTCCAGACCATTATACACAAGAATGTATGTAGAGACCCAACCCAGACCATTATACACAAGAATGTGTATAGAGACCCTGCCCAGACCATTATACTCAAGAATGTGTGTAGAGACACCTTTCGCTGGCCGAGAACTAAATCCAATATGCACTGATCCTGAAATGAATGTATCAGATCCTTACCATCGATACCTTTCAGACCCGAAGAAGGACGGAAGAGACATTCAAGCATATCATCGCACTGTCCGTGAATAACAACAAGGACATGACGTACGACATAATGATGGAACGACGCCCCCTGCTGTCACATGACTGCTACAAACCAATCACAGAGTACCTCAGGACCAACTGCCCGGGTCTCAACCTCGCTCAGGTGGGTACAAAATTGTTTAATAACATGCAACCTGCTCTAACCCCGAATACCAATGGTGTACAAGTTGGATACAGAATAAATCTCTTGTCTTCGTGAAACAGAAGCATGTTTGGTGTGGGCATTTATCTTTAACCTGTGATCTGAACCTTTGTAGTCATGATGTGATTGTTTGGAAAGTTCCCTAAGCTAATGGAGAATGAAGTCATCTTCATCTGATACAATGGCCACACTATCTAGAATAAGAGTGCATGCAGAGATATGGAATGTTTTCATTTTCATTCATTTAATCTCTATTTGCTTTGTCTTGAAATAACATTACTTTGTTTATATTTCTATCCAGAATGACTATGCTCTGAGACATCTGTACACATTCGTCAACCTCTGTGAACGCCGAACACCCCAAGAGGCAATCATAGGAGCCATTGACAAGGTTGCAGAAGATACAGATCTTTGTTAAGTACCGGATGGGATATTTACCTTCTCTGATCTTGCCTACTTTTCGAAAGGTCAAGGTTATGACCTTCCATTTTGATGGTCAAGGTTATGACCTTCCATTTTGATGGTCAAGGTTATGACCTTCCATCTTGATGGTCAAGGTTAGGACCTTCCATTTTGATGGTCAAGGTCAAGGTAATATCCACCATTGATATGATCACGTTTGCCAAAATGCTTTTTGGAAACAAGACCTTTAATACCATTGACATATGTACAGAATAAGACATCTTGTTCAGAGTTTGTCAATTACAAAGCAGATCCGGTTTCAAACAAGAAACTATCCATTTTCTGTGTGTGTGTAAGAATTAGTTCTACCTACAACCGTAGCCATATTTTAGTAAAGATTATTTTCACTTTTTTGCTTAAATTGTGCTTTATCCGATTTACAGTTTTCCAGATTTCTTGAGTTTCTTAAACAGTTTTTTAGCTGTTTCAAATGTGAAAATTTAAATATACAGAATCCATATATTTTATTCGTATTTTAGCATGTACTTTAGGAAGTACAACATTTGTGAACACAAGAGTTGAGCTCTCGTCTTTCTGCGAGCTCTGTATTTTCAAACCAACATTCCTTTACATAATGGAGCATTTGAGGCATGGGCGGATCCAGGAATTTAGGTGTGGGGTTGGGTGGTCCCCAGTGGGTTCAAACCCCCTGAACCCCCTCTTGGATCCGCCCATGTGAGGGCTGTCTTGTCTGTGATGGAATCAACGTTGTATGTTTTGTTTTGTACAGAGGCTCAAGTACATATCTGAATCAAAATGTTGTATATGTGATTCTTACATGATGTGTTCATTTTTCTTGATTGTATTGTACTACACAAGTGACGAGTTTCACCATCCAGTTTTACATGAACCGTACTTATTCTGTATATTTACATTTTAATGTCACAGTGGTAATATTTTGGATAGGATTTGAGCTACTTTTAGTGTTGTGGTTGTTCGTTTAGACAATATGAAGTAAGGCCAGACCAATTTTATTTCTTGTTTTACGTTGTCCTCAGAAAACCTAAAGGCAGGAGGGACATTTTTTTTTTTTTAAATCTCCAGTCAAAGTAATATTCCTTTTAAATACTTAAAGTAATTTTAAGTAACTTTTGGCAATTTATGATATATATATTTATTTTTTCTTATTCTTGAAAAAATACAACCGGAGTTTTCGTAAAACAAGAAATAAAATTGACTTTGCCTAAAGGCAAATGTTCTTAGTGAGTCAAAGTGAAGTTTTATTATACAATTACAGTTTAAATAGAAGGGTTTTTTCATGTCGTATATTTTAGGTTTTGTACAAATCATATCGTTTAATGGAATATACAAATCTTGTGCCAAGTGATTTTAAAATAAACTGTGAATCTTAGGTTTTGTTTGTCATCATTGGAGAAGAAAGTGGAGAAGAAAGAGTGAAGAGTGAATGTTGGTTTTCTTTTGTAGTCAGCAGTATTCCATCTGTATCAGTGCATGTAAATATGACTGAAAGCTTGACCTACTGTTGTCCCATAGAACCAGTGACTGAAAATATGAGCAATGACTAGTGTCACAAACAACAGTGACTGAAAGCATGAGAAACAACTATTGTTGTGCCATAGAACCAGGGACTGAACTACTGAGCAATGACTAGTGTCACAAACAGGTGATTGAAAGCATGAGCATTGACTTGTGTTGTGCCAGCCAAGGCAGTGACTGTAAGTTTGAGCATTGACTTGTGTTGTGCCAGCCAAGGCAGTGACTGTAAGTTTGAGCATTGACTTGTGTTGTGCCAGCCAAGGCAGTGACTGTAAGTTTGAGCATTGACTTGTGTTGTGCCAGCCAAGGCAGTGACTTTAAGTTTGAGCATTGACTTGTGTTGTGCCAGCCAAGGCAGTGACTGTAAGTTAGAGCATTGACTTGTGTTGTGCCAGCCAAGCCAGTGACTGTAAGTTAGAGCATTGACTTGTGTTGTGCCAGCCAAGCCAGTGACTGTAAGTTTGAGCATTGACTTGTGTTGTGCCAGCCAAGGCAGTGACTGTAAGTTTGAGCATTGACTTGTGTTGTGCCAGCCAAGCCAGTGACTGTAAGTTTGAGCATTGACTTGTGTTGTGCCAGCCAAGGCAGTGACTTTAAGTTTGAGCATTGACTTGTGTGTGCCAGCCAAGCCTGTGACTGTAAGTTTGAGCATTGACTTGTGTGGTGCCAGCCAAGGCAGTGACTGTATGTTTGAGCATTGACTTGTGTGTGCCAGCCAAGGCAGTTACTGTAAGTTTGAGCATTGACTTGTGTGGTGCCAGCCAAGGCAGTGACTGTAAGTTTGAGCACTGACTTGTGTTGTGCCAGCCAAGACTGACTGTAAGTTTGAGCACTGACTTGTGTTGTGCCAGCCAAGGCAGTGACTGTAAGTTTGACTGACTGACTGACTGACTTTAGTTTTACGCCGCTTTTAGCAATATTCCAGCAATATCACGGCGGGGGACACCAGAAATGGGCTTTACACATTGTGCCCATGTGGGGAATCGAACCTGGGTCTTCAGCGTGACGAGCCAACGCTTTAACCACTAGGCTACCCCACCGCCCCCTGTAGGTTTGAGCATTGACTTGTGTTGTGCCAGCCAAGCCTGTGACTGTAAGTTTGAGCATTGACTTGTGTGGTGCCAGCCAAGGCAGTGACTGTAAGTTTGAGCATTGACTTGTGTTGTGCCAGCCATGGCAGTGACTGTAAGTTTGAGCATTGACTTGTGTTGTGCCAGCCAAGCCAGTGAATGTAAGTTTGAGCATTGATTGGTGCCAAACAAACCGATGACTGGAAGCACCAACAATGGCTTGTGTCATGGTGCCAAACAGTCATGTGAGCAATAGCAATACAAATAACTTGGCAATAAGTGTCATGGTGCAGGCTATCACCTCTACTACCACGCACTCACATATGATGATGTGCCAAGAGTGAGTGAGTGAGCGGTTGGCTGCTTTGAAAATCATTTTAGTTCTGTCCAGTAGCGTCATCTTTCTGTTGAATAATGTCGGTGATAAAACTGGTCTTATAGGCATTTACCGTGTTGGTGAAGCACAGGAACAGGCGCTCAGTGCTGACCAAACTAGAAACGTGATAAGGCAATGTGGTATTTTTATACACCGTCATTTCTGGAGCAACCGGACTGGGTGGGGTAGACTAGTGGTTAAAGCATTCGCTCGTCACGCCGAAGACCCGGGTTCGATTCCCCACATGGGTATAATGAGTGAAGCCCATTTCTAGTGCCCACCGCCGTGATATTGCTGGAATATTGCAGGGTATGAAACTCCCAAAACCTTCAGCCAAGATGTAAATCTTGCCAGCCCTGACCAAAACTTACCTTCCCACAAATAATTTAGGTTTGACAAGCGACGTAGTTTATCACCCAATTGGAATTCATCATTTATTTTTACGAGTGAATTAATAATGATTTATTATCCTGAAATATATATCTATATATCCTGAATATCTTCATATACATGTCTAAATTCTAACCCGACCGTCGGGCAGGTGAATTTGAGGATCTGGCAGTCCGTGTTGAAAATAACCCGTCCCGGGCGGTCGGGCAGGCAGGTATTTCGAACGCTGAATATTGCTAAAAGCGGCGTAAAACCATACTCACTCACTGCCTCTGGAGCAACCAAGGGAAGCAACTCCTCATGACAAATTGCCTTAAGGACTGAACTACCCGAGTTGTAGATTCCACGCAGTATCACTCGAGTAAACAGTCTTATCTGTGACACTCATTTATTAGTAAATGTGAGCGAGTGTTGACATAACAGTCACCACAGATCATAAACTCTGGCCAGATCTGTTGAACATTGAGTAGCCTGGAAACGGCGCTTGACCAAAACCTCATTAATCATACAGGCCAGAAACACTCAGCGACGCCTTGCGTTCAAGGTCATCAGACACATGGGATAGATGTTGTTACACGCCGTGCTGTACAATATTAGTAGTTTTACGAACCCGACATGAATTTCCGAGGTTAACCAAGCGATGGGTTTGCTACATTGTAAAGTTAGCAAATAACCACACAATATCAATGAACAAGCAAACAAATTATAGTCATGATCATTTAATACTATTTATATAATCATTTCTTCTTTGAGTGGCATTTTCTAAATTGGGAAGTACACTATTGACACACTTTATGGATAACAACTTACTTCCATTTCGTTGTTGCGACGTTTCGATCAGGTTTCTTGAACCATTGTCAAGCAGGAATAATATTGTTAATATTATAGTATGACCAGAAATTATTGAGAATTTTAGGAATATGTTTAATTGGATTTCTAAGTATAAACAACCTTGACCAGCTATCAAGTGCTTGGTTTCATTCAAGAGAGACAACTCCGTTAATCCTTTTTCATTAGTTTGTGAAGAGTTATCCCCCTTTGTTTACTTGCTAGCAGACGACATTTTCAGTGATCCTCGGTATGGATGATTTAGAGAAGAGGAAGTTGATTAGAGTATTATAACAAGGACATCAGATCAGCTAAAGTCATTTCAAGTAGAACATGCATCCCTTTGTCCACTGTTTATCGTGTTTTGAAAAATATTGCAAATGGATATGGCATTGAGCACCAGGGAGGCGGAGGTAGGACCAGAAATTTGACTGTCGGTGACAGGAGGCGGCTTGGTATTCTTGTTTCTAAAAACAAACGAAGAAGTTTAGAAAACTTAAGGCTGGATATGATTTATAGAGGAACTGTGGCTGTCTGCAAGGAGACAATTAGAACTGAGCTGCATGCAATGGGTTGGCAGAAAAGTCAAGGAATTCCATCACCGATCATGAAACCTGAACAAAAGGAGTTCACCTGTCTTTGAATCTGGAGTTATGTTCTGCTAATATTCACATTTAATACGTGAGTAAAGAGTGAAAATTTAAAAAAAAATTACAATCTTAAATTCTCAATAATTTCTGGTTGTACTGTATATCATTATTATATTTAAAACGCAGGTTTATGATCATAAAAGGCAATATAAATAACTAGAGCAATAAGAATTTACAGACATTTCTGGCACGACACAGTGTTGGAGACAGGCAATAGGTCATTTTTTTTACAACATGTATCTCGTACGCAAATGGCAAATAGATCAGGCGAAAGTCGGTCTTCACAAGTCGTTAAATCGCTCTAATCTATCTCGAAAACAGGTAGAGCCAGAAACTAGGAACTACCCCAAGAAGTGAGTGAGGCGTGTTTAAAAACAACAAACAAACAAGCACATCTCCTTATATCACCAACTGACAGATTCTGACCCTATCCACAGTTAGTTTACATCCATAACAACTGTACTACAGTTAATACATAGAGCGACAGCGTAACCTCGGAATGAAAATTCCTATTAG